AGGGGGGAGGGGGAGCATGGGGGAACGTTAGAGGCAGTACAAAGGCCTGACTGGCGAGGGTTTGGGGAAGCGCGAGCATGGGCGAGCGCTGCAGCGAGGCCCCACCTTGCATTGCACCACCCGCCCGCCCGCTGGGCGCCCAGCCCACTCACTTCTCCTTGTCCCGCCGCACTTGGTCCAGCAGGCCCGCCACCCACTCGGGGTCGTGCAGGGGCTCAGCCCAGAAGGGGCCGCCCATCTGGAAGCCGGCGCCCGTCTCGGGGCACTGCTGCGGTACCGCGGGGCCCGCGCCTGCGGGCAGGCGCGCAGGCAGCCGGCCGAGGGAAGGCAGCCAGTCGGGAGGGCCCGGAAAGCCGCCAGCCAGGGGGAGGCGAGGGCGCGGCAGGAGCGGCGGCAGCCGGGCGTCGCTGCACCTGCAGTACCGCCAGCTGGCGCGCCGCCCACCTGGCATGTACTTGACGCTGTTGCCGCCCCCCTTGACCGCCTTGCGCCCCACCCGCTGCCAGTAGAAGGAGTCGCAGCCGGTGCTCTGCCACACGTAGCCCAGCCGGGTGGCACTGTTCTTCACCTCGGCGGCTGCAGGCGGGCGGCGGGCATGCGGCGAGCAGGGGGCCGGTGGGTTGGGGCCGCTGAGCGCTCGCCATCCCTGCTTTCCCTCAGGCTTTAGCATCGGGCAGCGGGTGCCGCGCGCCCGCCCGCCAGCCTGGCGGCCAGCACACGCGGCAGCTGCCCGGCAGCTGCGCGGCAGGCGGCGCACCCGAGGTGTAGACCCTCACAAAGATGCGGATGTAGAAGTCGATGGAGAGGGAGAGGACGGGGCGGATGTGGCGCTTGTGCCGCGCCGCGTGCTGCTCCAGGCTGGCCAGCAGGATGCGCAGCGCCATCTCGTGGCAGTACGGCCTGGCGGTACGGGGTGGCAATACATGGGCCGGCACGGTGTGGGAAGAGGGAGGCGGTGTGGAGCGGCGGGCTGGGCGGGTGGCCCTCCTCGGCCCGCCCTGCGCCTGCTGCAGAGCACCTCTGCCCCACCTCGCACACAGACTGCGAGGGCACGCACTCTCTCAAGCACGGAGCACCGCTCACTTGTGCAGGGGGTAGGATCCGTATTTGGCGTAGCAGGCCTCCCCGTTGTTGCCGCACAGCACCGCCATGTCTGTGGCCGTCACCAGCAGCAAGCCGCCCTCTGCCACCGCCTGCAGCATGCAGGCACGGCGCTTCAGCTGTGCGGGCAAGCAGGCAGGCAGGCAGGCGGCGGGCAAGGCAGGCGGGGCAGAGGAGGAGGTGCGCTGTGGAGCTGCCCGGAGTGCGCCGCGCCGCCTGCGGTACGCTGCCACCTGGTCCTTGCCTGTACCGCCGAATCCAGCAGCTTGGAGGGGCTGCCATACGGGTCCAGATCTACAGCATCAAACAGCCCCATGTTCTGCAGGCAGGCAGGCAGGCAAGGCAGGTAGGCACAACCGGTCGCTGAGGTGCATGGGAGGGCGCAGGCACAGTCCCGCCGGAAGCAGGAGCAGGGAGGCGCGCGGGTGGGTCCAGCAGGCGGCCGGCGCGGCGGGCGCCGCCGACCTGCAGGCACGCGAGCCGCGCGTCGCCCACGCTGGGCGTCACTTTCTGCTTCGCCACGCCGCCGTTGAACTCGATGTTGCGCTTCATGCTCTCCACGACCGAGGGGTCCAGGTCGTTTGCCACCACCTCGCGCACACCTTCCAGCTCCGCAGCATACCTGCAGGGCAGCAGGCAGGCCGCCGGGCGGCAAGAAGGTCGGAGCCGGGGCATTGCGGCAGCACTGGGGGGCCTCCCGTCGTCAGCCTGGCCCGCCGCAAGCTCGCCCACGCCCGCAGCAGTCGGTCAGATATCGTCGGGACCAGCCTGCACGGGCTCACCTGATGGCACGCAGGCCTGAGGCTGCTAGCCCCTCCAGCACTCTGATGCCCTCCCCCGCCTGCGGCGGCGCGGCGCCCTTGCCCGCCAGCCCCGCGTTGCGGACCTTCTGGAACATCTTGCGGGCCGCCCCGCTCTCAATCTCACGCTCCCGCTGCGCAATGAAGTACTTGAGCACTGCGGGGAGGTGGCGCCGGCGTGGGGCAGCAGCCAAGGTGAGGCGATGCAGCCAGCAGGGCCCCAGCGCCGCCGCCGCACCGACTGCATCCGCCGCCTGCTGCAGCGCATGTGGAGCTGTAGGTCCATGCAGTTCCTATGGCGGGCCCATCCCACTCTGGGCGCACCAGACAGGCTCATGTCTCTGTTGATGACCTGGGCAGGGTTGAAGAAGACGTCGTTGCCGCTCTGCAGGATGCTGGCCTTGCCCTCTGTGCGCACCGTGAAGCCATCTGGCACGGCGGGCCTGCTCAGGGGTAGCCAGCATGATGGCATCATGCAAAATCTGCTTGCCGCAGCACCCAGTGCCCAGCAACGACCGACCCGCTCGAGGCGGCGGCGGCGGCAACTGTCGGCCCTTGTGGTGTCGGCCGCAGAGGCAATGCGGTATGCCCCCGTGCAATCCAGACACCCATTCTGCGTGTGGAGGCGGCAGCAGGGCAGTTGGGGCTCACTTGCTGCAGGACTCCACAGCCGCCATTCTCGCGATGTCGGCCGCCGCCTGAATGCACGGCCTGGACCAGCTAAGCGGCGCTATCCGCTTGCAGAGAGCGAGTATGTTGGCGCCTCAGTCAGTGCAGACGCGAATGTCAGGGCACATGCACGTGGCTTGCCGGGTCCTGGGCTGCCGGTGAAAGGATTGCACACTCAGAAATGCATGCATGCCCAAATGGAGTCGCCAGGCGGTGTTGGAAAGTTGGCGGCATGGCGGCGGCGGTCGGCGACGGTGTGTTCCTGTTAAACTGGGCAGAGCGAGCATGCATGCAAGTCTTCTACCGAGCCAGTGAAATGCACAGGATACCAGCTCCCGATACAAACTCTGCAGCAGGCAGTGGGCCCGCATGGCGGAGGTTCAAAGCGTCACCTTCACCCAGCACCGCTGCCCGCTGGGCACCCGGTGCTTCCAAGTGCCACGCATGGGCATCCCAGCTGCTTTCGATTGACCATGATGCATGAAAGAGATGATGAGAGGCTGTACCAGACGGATGCAGCCATCCAGGGTACAGGAACAGGCACGGGACGGCCACTCCCTGCTTTGCCGCCAGCCAGCCTGGCGGCGAGGTGGCAAAGATGGTTTCGGGGCGTCTGCCTCCCCGCCGGCACTTGCATCGCCGCCTGTCAACTGAATGTGCGCTGCTGCAACATGCAGCGAGCGTTGAGCTTTGCGCACAGCGTGCTCGCGCTGCAGCAGGTCCACCGCTGGTCTCCAGACGTGGCGCTGGCCATACTGAGCTGTGGCAGTCTGCGTTCGTGCGCTGCCGCCCCCCAGGCTGCGCACCGAGCGGGGCGCCTCCACGTTGTTGCGAGCAGCGCGGGGAAGGCCGCTGTGACGGCCCAGGAAGCAGGGGTTCAGCCCGAGCTGCCGCTCTGTGAGCGCGAGGCGCGGCATGCCGTGCCCCTCAGCGACTTGCTGGCCTGGCAGGCGGCGGCGCAGCGGCAGGTGGAGGCAGTGGGGGACAGCTGGGCGCAGCAGGACGAGGGCCCCTCCGCGGAAGACCTGCAGGCAAGGAGGCCTGGCGCGGGGGCGGGGAGGTGTGGCGGCCTTTGAGCAGTATCCGCCGCTCGTGCAGGTGCCCCTTTCTCCACCGTCGCGCGCTTGCTCTCCCCCCTTTCCGGGCTTCCACAGCCTTGCCATCATGCTGCAAACAGAGCTGAACTGGCTGCTGGACGACTCCCTGGCCGCCTGGGCGCGCCCCGGCGGCGACTGGCGCAGCATCAGGTGGCAGCAACTGGAGCGGGACCTGAAGGAGGCGGCAGGGGTTGCGGGTGGGCGCTGCCCAGTACCGGGTGAAGCTGCGGGGCCGCTGCATTCGCTGGGTGAGCCGAGCCACACGTGGCGCATGAGCCTGCCTTCGTGGGGCTGCCATCTGACCCTGTACTGACCGCTGCTCTGACCTCACATCTCCTGCATTCACTGCATGCACTGACGCATGCGCCTGCAGAGGCGGTGTGGGAGCAGCGGCTGCAGCAGCGCATCCCGCTGCAGTACCTCACCGCCACCGCCTTCTGGCGGGACATCGTGCTGTCAGGTGACATCCTGGCCGCCTGGCCTGCCAGGAGGCAGCAGGGCTAGCGTGTATGCTGCCTCTTGCAAGCCGTCCGTTCACCGTCCTGGCGCCCGCCCGCTTAACTTGCTCTGATGCCTTGGCCTGCTGCTGCCCACCAACCGCTTGCCTGCCCGCCTGCAGTGGGCCCAGGCGTGCTGATTCCCCGCCCGGAGACGGAGCTGGTCATCGATTTTGTGCAGGAGGCGGTGGCCGCCGCCCCCGAGCTGGCCCGCGGCGCCTGGGCAGACCTGGGGACGGGCAGCGGGGCGCTGGCGGTGGGGGTGGCGCGGGCGCTGCCGCAGGCGCAACAGGTGGGCGAGGCGGTGCACGGGCTTCACGCGCTGCCTGGCGGTATGCGACAGCCCACAGCCGCGCTGCAGTGCCCCCACAGCCGCCGTCCCGGGCCTTGTCCATTGTCTGCTGACCTGTGCGCCCGCTGTTTGCCGCTGCACCCTCACTGCCCGTGCGTCCTCTCCCCTGCCTGGCGCTGTGCAGGTGTACGCAGTTGACTTGAGCCCAGTGCCGCTGTCGTATGCGGCTTTCAATGCGCGCAGGCTGGGCGTGGGGGAGCGCGTCTCGCCGCTCCAGGCAAGGCTCGGCGCGTGCCTTCCTGGCCAGCGCCTGCCATGCCGGCTGCTGCACAGCCATGATCGAATCTGCGCTGTCTGGTGCGAGGGCAGCCACTGCCCGCCATCCACCTGTGCTGCCCTGTTCTGCCTGCAGGGCAGCTGGTTTGAGCCACTGGAGGCGGCGGGGATGCCCCAGCTGGCCGGGGTGGTCAGCAACCCGCCCTACATCCGCTCCACAGACATGCCCAGCCTGCAGGCGGAGGTGGGCAGGTGCGCTCGGAGGCAGGGCGTGGGCGCACAGGCGGGCAGTCTCTTTCCTCTGCTGCCTCTGTGCCCTGAGGCCACACCGCCAGCTGCACTCCCCTGCTGCTTCAGCAGTAGAAGTGCAGCACGCGATTTTGAGGCCCTGGCCGGGCCTCCCGCATGCATGTGCCTCGAACTTCATACGAGGGTATCCCCATGCTCCGTAGGCACGAGCCGCACCTGGCGCTGCACGGCGGCGAGGGCCTGGGCATCGACTGCCTGCTACCCATCTGCATGGGGGCCGCCCGCCGCCTGCAGCCCGGCGGCTTCCTGGCGCTGGAGACGGCGGGAGGCGAGCAGGCACACTACATCGCCGACCTGCTGTCCCACATGCGGCGCAGCGCGCTGGGCGGCTGTGGCCCCGCAGACGGCATCACCGGGGGCAGCGGCGTGCCGGGCAGGGAGCAGCTGGCGTTTGAAGACGTGCGGGTGAGGAGGGACCTGAGGGGCGTGGACCGCTTTGTGACTGCCAGCCGCGCCGCCGCACCCGCCACCGGCCCAGAGGATGAGTGAGGAGGCGGCGGGGTGCGCGGAACAGCGGCTCCGTCTCGAAGCCCCATTTCCCAGCCTGCACTTGCATCGCTGCACGAGCGTACATCGCTCGCCATTTCCACGTTCAGTGCAGTAGGTTAGAGTACTCGTGCCTACTATTTTATAGCGCCCCATCCTGCCTCTACCCCACCCCTGCAGCACCCCCATGCTAGTTGAATTGCCACCCCCCTTGCCTGAATCCCTCTGTGCGGTTACTGACTGCCAAATGTACGTGCTGCCAACACATGTCCTGCACTAGTATTTAATACCTGTCTGCAAATCCAGCTGCCTGGTGACACCTGTAGGTGTGCTTTGCTAGCAGCTCACAATCCTGGCGCCCAATCCGAGGTGTTAACCGCAGGGGCGCCCCTCTGCCAAAACAACAGCTGGGGTGAACACACAACACAGCAGGACGTTGCTTGTCTCTGCAACCTGCTTCTCTCGCGCGGCGGGGCCGCAGCTTTCCCAGCTGCCGCTGCTGGCGCTCAGCTGTGGCGCCTCCCTCCGCCAGCATGTCAGTCGGAGGGGGCATAGTCCGACTCGTTCTCGCTCTCGCTCTCCTCCTCCTCGCTGCCGCTCTCCCTGTACTTGGGCGCCGGCTTGTTGACCGCCGCGCGGCGGGGCGCCACCTGGCGGGCGGGGGCGGGGGAGATGGTCATGTCCACAACGTCGTCCTCGTCCTGCAAGAGGGTGGTAGATGGAAAGAGGACATGAGGGCGGGCGGGAAGGCAGAGCGGAGCAAAAGGAGGGTGGAAGGCATGGGCGCTGCTGGAGAGGATGTGCCACTCCCACGCCCACGTCGTGCCCGGCAAGGACAGGGAGGGGGCCCGGTGGCAGGCGCCGCCCGCTGCGCAGTAATGGCAGCAGGCCAGCCACGGGGCACAGGGGCGGAGACCTACCTCAGAGTCGGAGGAATCCACCACAGCCTTGCCCTTGCCCTTGCCGCCCGCCGCGGGCGCCGCCGCCTTCTTGCCCAGGTTGCTGGCCGGGCGTGGCGCGGCGGCGGCCGCCGCCTTGGGCTTGCCCGAGTTCTTGTTGAAGGGGCTGGGGCGCATGCGCTGGACCTGCGGCGGGGAGGAGGGCGGGGTGACGGCAGGCTCAGCAACACACTCGCACAGTAGTAGCCTAGGTATGAGCATGCCGGCACTGCATGAAAGGAGGTGGTGGGCCGCTTTGACCCAGCACCAGCACCAGCTCATCCACCCCTGTGCCACCCAGGTCCCATTCCCAGCCGCTGCTCTCCTCCCAGTGTGCGCACGCGCACACACACACACACACGCGCGCATACCTTGGCCTTGGGCGCTGGCACGGGCGAGGCCGCCTCTTCGTTGGCCAGGTCGAAGTCGTAGGAGCCGCTGCCGCTGGGCTTGCTAGTGTTGGCCATGGCCTGCGGGTTGGTTGGAGGGGAGGGCGGGCGGGAGAGTGAATGCACTGGCAAGTCGAGCAAGTGGGTGGGGATGGAGGGAGGACACTGCCAGCCGGGGCTTGCTGATGAGCCATAGACCACTTCTGCCCCAGGCTCCCGGCCCAGGCGGCACACCTTGGCTGCCAGCGTCTTCTTGGGCTCCGGCTTGCTGCGCTTCTTGGGCTCCGGCTTGACGGCGGGGCTGTTGACCTGCGCAGGATGGCGTGCAAAGACCGGGCTGAGACAGCTGGGAACAGCCGGGGTGGCAGGCTGCCAGCACGGCCCGACAGACGCCCGACCCCCAGGCATGGCAGCAGTTGCGGCGGCAATAAAACAATAACATCACGGAGGAAGAAGGGCAGCAGCAGGAGGTGGGCAGCACCAGCAGCAGCAGCCACACCTCGTCGTCGTCGTCGCTGAACTCCAGCTCAGACTCAGACTCCTCCTCGCTCTCCTCATCCTCATCCTCGCTGCACCCAACCAGCCAGCCAGCCAAACGACGCAGCTCTCATCAGAAGCCGTGTGCAGCAGCTATACAGCGACCCGAAGGCTCAGCTGCTGCAACCCACCACAGCGCACCCACTGGCAGCCCAGCTGACGCACCTGATGACCACCACCTTGGCCGTCTTCTTGGCCGCAGCGGCGGCGGCTGCACGGCCCGGCCGCGCCCCCGCACCCGTGGCCGCTGTGCCACGGCTGGCAGAGGGCGTGGGCGCCGCGGCGGCAGGGCCGCCGGGGCTCAGCCCCAGCTTGCCCATGCGGCCAGCCAGGCGAGCCAGCAGGCTCATCTCCTCCTCCGGTGGTGGCGGTGGCGCCGCCACCGGCGCCGCCTCCTCCTCCTCCTCGCTCTCCTGCCGGCTGGCCGCCGGCTTAGCTGCCGCAGCCTTGGGCCTGGCTGCAGCCGGCTTGCGTGCAGCCGCTGCCGGCTTCTTGGTGCCCGCCGCAGCGGCGCCCGTCTGCTGGCTGATCTGCATGCTGGTGGCGCCCAAAGGCGCAGGCGCGGCGCGGGGTGCTGGCACGGCCCGCTGACGAGGCGCTGGCGCCTTCTTGGGCTGCGGGCGCTCATCCTCAGAGTCATCGAAATCGTCTGAAGGCAGGCAGGGCAGTTCAACCCACCAACACGTAAGCCGCCACCAGCCCACTCCTGCAGCATACTACCGCCCCTCCAACCGCCTCCATCCGCCTATCCATCCATGCATGCCAGCCCACCCTCTGAGCTGGAGAGGTCGGCGTCGCTCTCGTCGTCGCTCCACTGGTTGCGCTTGCCCTTGCTCTTGGCCGCCGCCTTCTTTGCTTGTGCCTTCTGCCCTGCCTTGGCCCGCGCCTGCTGCCGCACCAGCTGCGACCCCTTGCGCTCCGCCTCCTCATCAAACCCATCCAGCGCCTGCAGAAGGGGAACAGCAGGGCAGGGCACAGCTCAGCGTGCACCTCAGCGCAGCGAGGCACTCCCTGGCATGCACGTCCGACCGGCAGCATCCCTGCCACTGCCATGCCCCGGGGCAATTCCCACCACCACCACCACAATTCCCAAGCACCAGCCAGCCCCAACCGCCTGCCCCCTGCTGCCCAACGGCCCCTAGGGCACACGAGGCGCACCATCTCAAACGCGTCCAGGTCTGACCGCCACATGTCCTTCTCCGTGGTGGCCCGCAGCCGCTGCACAGTTGCCTGCCAGTCCTCCGACTCCGACTGCAGCGCCTGCACCTTCTCCAGCGTCAGGCTGGACAGAGGCATGGACAGCAGGTAGTCGTAGGAGGCGGGCGCTGAGGCGCCGCCCTCGCCGTCGCCATCCTCGCCCTCGTCGATGGCTGCCTGCGGGGGGAGCAGGAGGGGCAGGAGCTGATTGAGTGCGACGGTGGTAGGCCAGCGGCCGACGTGCATGGGCCGGGAGGCAGGCGCCGCTTTGGTAGCCATCCAAGCGCCAGCCTGACGTTGCGGCACGGCCTGTCGAGCTGTTTGCATGTGCAGCCGGCAGGCCTCGTCCACACCCACCAAACACACCCACCGCGCCGCCCACCTGCTGCGCCGCCTTCTTCTGATTTGGCAGCTTGTCGTAGCCCTCATCCTCCAGCTCGCCCTCCACATCCTTCTTGCGCCGGTTGCTCAGCTTCAGCTGGCCGCCCACCACCGCCAGGATGAAGCGCACCTTGTTGCTGATGCGCAGCAGGTCGGCCTCGGCAGCCTGCATGTGTATGTGTGTGTGTCGGCATTGCTCAGCACAGCCCAGCCTGAGGAGCATGCAGCAGCCAGCCCAAATGCCACCCCAGCCCTGTGCAGCAGCTCAGAACAGCCAAACAGATGACAGAGCATTCCCCCGGCGGGCCGGCATGGTCCCCGGCCCCGCCGGTGACCAGCAGCAGAGCACAGCGTGGCGCACCCGCAGCAGCGCTGCGCGGCGCTTGACGTAGTAGGCGAGGCGCAGGTCGTAAAAGTCGCGCAGGATGTCCTCGGGGGAGGCGTACTTCTGGATGGCGCCCTCGGCGTTGAACAACATCATGTTGCCTGGGGGTGGAGCGCAGGGCGACGTCAGAGAAAGGGGGTGTGCGGGTGTGGAGGTGGGCCAGCAAGGCAGAGGCTTGGAGACGAGCATGAGGGGTGTGGGGAGTACGCGGAGGCCAGCAGGCACAGGCCGGCAGCAGGCACAGAGCTTGGTGCCCTGCGGCCTGCCTCGCCCGCCAGCCCGCCATGCCGCCTCGCCCACCTGTGGAGATCTTGGTCTTCAGCTTGAACTTGTCCAGCAGCCCCGCCGCCAGCGCCTCGCGCATCTTGGACTCGCTGAGCGTGACGCGGAAGTGCACCACCAGGTCTGAAGGCAGCAGGAGGACACGGCAGGCGGGGCGGGCGTCAGGCAACAGGGCGCCGGGGTGTGGCAGTCCTGGATGACGCGTGCACGCACGCGCACACAAATATACACACACACACACACAACCCTCACCCTCCCTCCCTCCCTCCCCGCCCACCCGTGTGGTACTCCTTGTAGTCCTGGATGAAGGGGGTGGCGTTCTTGTCCTCCGGCTTCACCATCTCCTCCAGAAACTCCTTGTAGTCCTGTGGCGAGCGAGCAGGCAGGCAGGCAGGGGCGGGGGCGGCAGGCACACGCCGGTGAAGCCACGCGAGCGTGGCGGCGCTGCAGGCATCCCCGCCAGAGCTGTCCCATGCCAGCAGCTGGCACGAGAGCAGGCCTCAGTGCCAGGGTGGGAGAGGAAAGGACGCCAACCTGCGTCCACTTGCGGATGGGCAGCTCTGTAATGTCCAGGGTGGTGTCGTCCACCTGGTTGATCACGCCACAGATCTGGTACGACTTGCCGCTGGTCTTGGTGGGCACCTGCGGGGCAGCGGTAAGGGTGGTGGCAGGCAGCGGTAGGTGGCGTGGGGGGGTCCACAGGTGGCCACGCACAATGGGGCCTGAGCTGGGCGCGTGCTGGCCTCGCCGGTGCCACCCAGCTCCCAGGCGGCGGCCCTGCTCTTGCCGCTGGAACGCGAAAGAATAAGGGTCTGTACCACGTGCTGTGCAGTGGTCGTACCTCCTCGATGGTGCCCTTGAACCCACGGTACCACGGCTTCATCGCCACGGGCTGCTCGCCGTCCAGCATGAGCCGCAGGTTGGCCACAATGTCGCGGGGGTTGAAGTTGGGGATGGAGGTGGACCAGCCGGTGCCGATGCCCTCTGCGCCATTCACCAGCACCGTGGGCACAACGGGCATGTACCTGCGGCAGGGGGCGCGCAGCAGGGTGGGCAGGCGAGGGCAGCAAGGAGGCCTGACGAGAGGCAGTTTCAGCGCCACAGGATGGCCGGCTGGTGGATAATCCTCACAGGTTATCCTGCACAGGTCCGGCAAGCCGCTGCCCTTCCAATGCAGCACCCCCAGGCCCGCGCAGCCCCACCCACCACTCCGGCTCGATGCTCTGCCCCTCCTCGTTCAGGTATGCCAGCAGGCGGTCGTCGTGCTCGTTGAACAGGTGGCGGGTGAGCGGCGCCAGGCGGGTGAAGATGTAACGGGGGCTGGCGGCGTCCTTGCCGCCCTGCAGCCGCGTGCCAAACTGGCCTGCAGGCCAGGAGGCAGGCAGGCACGCGGATAAGGAACACAGCTGGTGGCCCCGAGTTGGTGCTGCGCTCGCTCCCAGCCCCCTGCCAGCCTTCCTGCCATCCAGCCCAGCCCCAGACCCGCAGGCCGCAGCCTGCACCCACCCTGCGGCACCAGGTAGTTGACGTTGTTGGACCCCACAAAGTCCTGGGCCAGGCCCACGATGGTGCCCGACAGCGAGGCCTCGCCGTGGTGGTAGGCTGCAGGGAGGGGGGCAGGCAGGCACACGCGTCAGGCACCAAGGGCGGCGGGTGAGCAGTGGGGTCCAGCAGCCCCCTGGGGGCAACAGTATCTCCAGCTGGCAGGCAACAGCTCCTGCAGCCCGCCGCTCAGTGCCCTAACCCCAGCCTGACTCAGGCCTCCACCTCACCCGAGTGCTCCGACACGTAGCCCGACAGCTGCGACACCTTGACGTCGGTCTTCAGGTTGCGCTTGAAGCAGGCAAACATGATCTTGCGCTGCCCCGGCTTCAGCCCGTCCACCATGTTGGGGATGGAGCGCTCCAGGTCGGCCCGAGAGAACAGGATCAGCTCCTGAGGGCAGAGCAGCATGGGCAGGGGGAGCGCCAGGCAGTGGGGCAGATGGGCGGGGCAGAACCCCACCGACGGGCGGGGTTTGGGAGCGGGACCTCCAGCTGGAGACGGGTCAGAGCAGCTTGCTGGGACGCCGAGCAGCCATCTGTGCTGAGCGCGGGTTTTGGGCCATGCCAACCCAACAACTCAGCTACCCAGAGCCCTCCCTGATGGCACCCTCCCACACACCAACACACCTTGTGCACAAACTGGGAGTAGGAGATGGTGTCAGCGGTGTGGTCCAGGAAGGTGCCGGGCGAGAAGGCCTGCAGCCACTGCTTGCGGTCCTCCACCTTCTTCTTGCTGAACGCCATCTCCAGCGCCTGCCCGTCGGCATCGCCTGCAGCCAGGCGAGGCGAGCCAAAGCAAGGCGGGGGAAGGCAGACCGGTGACGCTGGTGGCGGTGGGGCTCCCAGCGGCAGACTAGGCCCGGCCGCACCGCACAGCCGGGGTGCCTTCAAAGCTGCTGCGGCAAACAGACAGGCCAGGCGCCAGCAGCCGGCCACCCACCGTCCCACACAAACTCCTTGCGGTGCGACTGGATGTTGGCAAAGTACTGTTTGGCCTCGTCGGCGGTGGAAGTACCCAGACCCTGCGGGGAGGTGGTGTAGGGGCTGTTTTGATGGTAGAGGATGCTGGTAAAGCAGTGAAGTGGCATGGCATCATGGCAGTCCCTGCCACGCCAGCAGGCAGCCGCTGTCCCGAAACGGGAGGCGGCCGCCTCCTCAGCCAGCTCGGCGTGGGCAACCACAGCATGCGCAGCGCCCCACCCGCACAACCCACCTTAAAGTACTTGATGGTCCAGCCCCGCGTGTTGTGCGTCTCCGACCACTCCTCGTACTCGGGCATGGTGTAGAAGCTGATGGTCTCCTTGCCCTTGGTGGCCTGTGGCACGGCTTGGGGCGGCGCCAGGGAGGCGTGGCGTGGGACGCCAGCAGGAGGGGCAGGCCAGGCTGGCGGGCCTGGCGTTCTGACAGCTGGTGGGACACACTTGGCAGGGCTGCTTCTCTTCCCCTTTTCAGCCAGGATGTCTCCGGCGTACCTTGATGATGGGTGTGATGAACTCCACCAGGAAGCCGGGCAGCTTAAGGAGGGAGGGGTAGAAGTGGTGGAAGTAGTTCATGATGAGGCCCTTGATGTGGGAGCCGTCGTGGTCCTGAGAGCAGGCATGGGCGCACGGCGAGGGCGCACGGCGAGGGTGGGCCGAGGGAGGGAGGGAGCGCGGCAAAGTGCCCGCTGCCAGCCTTGGCAACTGTAGAGTCTGGGACGGGACACCATTGCGTCCCTGCCCTGCCTGGCTGTCCCTGCCCTGCCTGGCTCCAACCGACAGCCTGCCCCAGCCCCACACCTGATCCGTCATGATCATGAGGTGGCCGTAGCGCAGGCTCTTGGCGTCAGTGTACACCTTGCCGTGCTGCAGGCCCAGGATCTGCTTGATGTTCTGGATCTCGGCGTTGCCGGTGATCTGGGCAGCGCTGGCATCCCGCACGTTCAGCAGCTTGCCCCTGGGCGGAGGGAAGGGCGACGGAAGGGCCAGGCGCGGTGTGGGTGCACTGCGGCGCCTCAGACCCTGGCAGCTGATGTGTGAGCTGGCTCTGTCCAGGACCCTCCTGGCCATCATCCCCAGCAGTTACCCAGCCCCCGCCGCTGCGCACCTGAGGGGGAAGACGCCGAAGCGGTCGCGCCCCACCACGCTGAGCCCCGCCACCGCCAGCGACTTGGCCGAGTCTCCCTCGGTGAGGATGAGGGTGCAGCCTGCGCTGTTGCGGCCGCCCGCGTCGTTGGCGTCCTCCAGCTTTGGGATGCCTGCGGGCAGCAGAAGGGGGAGAGGAGTTTCAACCCAGGGGAGTGGGTTGTTAAGAGGGCAGCAGGCAGCAGCAGCACAGGCCCCCTGGTCCCACAGTAGCAACCAAAGCCCTGCCGAATTCCAGCAGCACTGCAGACTGTGGCCACTGCTGCCGGCTGCCTGGTCCTGTGGTCAACAGAAACAGTGTGCCACTCACCGGTGAGGCGCTGGCGCTTGGCTCCGTCTCCCTTCTTCAGCTCCTTGTCTGCCTTGAAGGAGGCAAAGGAGAGGATGGAGTTGACCACGCCACAGTTGGCCACCTTCTTCAGGAAGGCGTCGGGCAAGTCGCACTTGGAGCCAAAGCTGCTGGCCCGCAGCGTCAGCGTGTCCTTGGTCTGCAGATGAGGGGCAGCGGAAGATGGCGCGGTGGAAGCGGTGAGGCACAGGAAGGCGAGCAGGCACACCACGATGGCAGGGGCGCAGTGCGAGCCGCTGGTGAGTCCGGGTCGTCTCCCAGGGTCCTGCCCTCTGCTTGCTGCTGCCGACTCTGCCCACCTGGGAGTCAAAGGCGGGGTTCTCGATGAGGCAGTTGACAAAGACCCACAGGTAGTTCTTGGCCATGAAGGGCTTGACCTGCGAAGGGAGGGGCGGCGGGGAGCAGCAGGGATGCACGGGTCAAGAGAGGCAGCAGCAGCAGCATGGCCCATGGCAGCAGCTCTGGTGCAATGCACGACTGGGCAGAGCAAGCAGAGAAGCAGGCAGCGGTGCAGCTCACGTTGGCCTTCTTGTCCTTCTTGTTGATCATGTCACACAGGTATTTAACCACCTGCAGTGCAGCGGGAGGGCAGGGGGTGATCGGAGGGTGAGCGAGGCAGGGAAGGCAGGACAGCCGGTAGGTTTTAGAAGGGTGTGTGGGCTGCAGCCAGGCCCCACCTGGTCTGAGATGTAGTTGACGTGGGTACCGCCCTTGCTGGTGCAGATGGCGTTGACAAACGACACCTGTGCAGGCAGGCGGGCGGGTGGGAGGAGTTGGCACATGCAGGCTCCTTCCCTGGCCCAGCCCCCTTCTCTCACGAGTGCCGCCCTGCTCTCACCTCTCCTCTCCCACCTCCCCTACACAGCTGCCATCAGTCAACCTCTGCTCCTCCCCCTCCCCCTCCGGCTCCCTCCAATCCACCCGCACCCACCCACCCACCTGGTTGAACTGGCCCTCGGTGGGGGCGATGCACACCTCCCAGCGGTCTGAGATGCGCTCGTACACGCGCGTGGGGCCCTCGTCCTTGGGGCCCAGGTACATGTCCACATACTCCTGGAACGACTTCACCTTGAGGCGCTGGCCGTTGTAGAAGACCTGCAGCTTGGGTGCAGGGGGTGAGCAGCAGGCAGGAAGCTGAGCGGGCGCCGCTCGCCACCCCACTCCCCACACCCACCTTGACCGTCTTGCCCAGCAGCCCCGCCATGTCATACACCCGCTTGCGCATCAGCTCCACCGACTCCTGCTCCAGGTCCTCCATGCCAAAGCGCGCCAGGTCAGGGTAGAAGGTGATGCAGGTCCAGTTCTCGTCCGCCTTGCAGTCGCTGCGGGGTGCGCGGGAAGGGACAGGCGGGGCGAGGCGCGCAGGGTGGGCGCTGGGGGCGCAGGCAGGGAGGCCGCCCGGCCTGAAATGCACCCCAGCATGCTGCCACACCTGCTGGGCCGCACGTCTGTAGTCCTTCCCCAGTCCCACCAACCACCACACCACACCACCCCACCACCACACAACCCAGCCCGCGGCCACCACATCCCCCCTCACACATGCACACACACACCGACAGGCAGCAGGCGGCCACGCACGTGATGACGGGCTGCCCTTTCTTGGACATGTTCTGGGTGAAGGTCTGCTTGTAGCGCCGCCCGCGCTTGCCGTCGCACGTCTCCACCACAAACTTGGTGGAGAAGATGTTGGCCAGCTTGGCGCCGTACCCGTTGCGCCCGCCCGTCACCTGCGAGCGGCAAGCCAGGCAGGTAGGGTGGGCAGGCAGGCAGGCAGGCAGGTGCAGCCAAAGGAAGGTCCCGCTCTGCTCTTCCCCAGAGCCTCAGGCAGGCCTGCCGCAGGGCCACCTGCACGCCAGCTCCCCGGACCCGGTGCACTTGCGGGAGCCCCCTGCCCCACTCTGTCCTGTCCTGCCCAGCCCCCGTCCTGCCCCCTCCCACCTTCTTCTCGTTGTCGTTGTAGTTGGAGGAGGTGAGGAGGTTGCCAAAGATGAGCTCCGGCACGTAGATGCCCTCCGTCTTGTGCACCTCCACCGGGATCCCAGCCCCGTTGTTCATCACCTTGATGGAGCCCTTGTCCTGCAGCGGGTGCGGTGGCGCGGAGGGTGGGGCGTGCGGGTCGGAAGGTGAGCAGGCGAGCGCGTGCCGAGCGACACGAGAGCAGCGAGGAAAGGCCGTGCCCGGATGCAGACGGCTGCATTTCTCTGTGTGCAGCAGAGGTTTTGCACATGCCCGCACCACAGCCCCGTGCCCGCCGCGTCCCAGCACCCAGCTCACCGCATCCACGTCCACCCGCAGTGTGTCCATGCTTGCGTCCCGGACCTTGTTGTCGGCGGCGTTGACCAAGATCTCGTCAAAGATTTTGTACAGGCCGGGCACGAAGTCGATGCTCTTGTGCACCATCCGCTCGCCGTCGTGCACCCACAGCTGCTGCTGCTGCCGCTCGGTGCTGCCGATGTACGTGTCGGGGCGCAGCAGGACGTGCTCCACCTGTGGCGCGGCGGCACGGTGAACGAGCCGCCGGGTGGGTTGATGGAGGCACTCACGAGGGCAGGGCTGGCGGCAGTGGGCATCGGGCAGGGGGCAGGGAGGCAGGCAGCAAGCCCCCCGGCCTCCCTGCCATCAGCCAGCGCACCTGCGTAACCTTCTGGTAGGTCTCCTCAATCGTCTTGCCGCCCTTGTTGGCAACCGCCAGGGGCGCCTTGGCGGCCTTGACCTTGCCGCCCTGCAGAGAGCAACGGGGCAGGGTGGGCGGCTGGTTGGCGGCGGCAGCTGGCGGCGGCAACGCCCAGTCGGCATCCATCTGCATAGGTGCCACCCCAGTGATTCCAGCCGCAGCATCGAGACCCGCCAGCAGCGCCCGGAGAGCCATGACGCAGCGCTCGCTCCTTCCGACAGCCAGCCGGCGGCACCCGCCCTGCCCCCATGTTCAAATCCCCCGTGCCTTGGAGGGCTGGGCCACATTCTCAGAGACAGCGTCGACCTCCATCGCGGCACGCTGCCGCTGGCTGTCGGTCGGGAGGTGCTGCCAATGCGCTGGAGGCTCTGCACAGCCCGCACACAGCCCAACGACACAGGCCACTTCCCCGGCGCCGCACCTGTCGCTCCCCTTCTTTGGGCACATGCGTACCGCCTGTACTGGCCATCTCCTAATCTCCTGACCCGATGCTTGCGGTTGCCCCTGCCGATTGTGCAGCTGCACACCCGCATCACTGCAGGCTTTGGTTATAAAGGGCAGGCGGCCCGCCGTTTTAGCTTGCCCGCAAAACACCCCTTATCGCCCCCTGTTGCGCCCGCTGTGGCACATGCATCCCCCATTCCTCCTATATTCAGATTAGAAGCGGCTCGCAAGCTGGCCAGCACGAATGGTGCAGCTGGGGCGGACACCCCTGACGACAGGGGCCGGGGCACTGGCAAGGTGGGCGTTTTGCCAAGAGAGATGATGCTGATGTCAGTGATGCGTTAAGCAAATGCGCGTCGCGCTGCCGCCCCACCCTGCCAACCCCACCGCCGCCGCCGCCGCCACTACCACCTTGCAGGGCCCGACCACTGCCGCCGACACCCAGGGGCCGGGCAGCCGCAGAGCAGCGCCCCGTGCATTGCACAGCGGCTGCGCAGAGCGCCGCCGCTCCAGCAGCAGCTGATGCCACAGCAGCTGAAAGCTTGGAGGCACAGTCCACGGGGGCTCTGGAGGCTGCGCTGCCGCCGCCACCAGCAGGCGCCGCCGCTGCCGCGGCGGCAGCCTCGCCAGCAGTGGATGCCTCCCCAGCGCAGCCTCCAGTAGCCCTGGTGACGGCACGCACGCTACCGGCGCAGACGTCGCTGCCGGCGGCAGTGCAGCAGCTGCGTGCGGCGGTGCTGGAGGTGCCCGCGCAAGCTGGGGCCTATGCCAGCGGCCTAGTGCGGCTGGAGGTGCCGCTGCCGCAGGGCGTCAAGGCACTGTGGTGGCTGCGCGGCCAGCCCGAGGCAGCAGCCGATTGCGCCGCCCTGCTGCACCCACGCATCTACTTCTCCCCACGGCGCACCACCGCCGCCGACACCGAGGGCAGCGCGGCGGCGGGGGCGGCCTCGGCCGGCGCGGCCAGCGTGGCGGGCGCGGGCGCGGCCTGGCTGTGGCGCGGCGCGCCGGGGCAGGCGCTGGGCGAGGGCGTGGTGCTGGACATGCAGCGCTTCTTGGTGGGGGCGGCGGCCTGGCCTCGCATACGCGCCTTTGGAGGCTCCCGTTTCCATGCGGAGCAGGCGCCGTCGCCCGAGTGGCGAGAGTTTGGCTCCTACTGCTTCCTCATCCCGCGCCTGGAGTTCCTGGAGGCCTCGGGCTGCTGCATCCTGGCCTGCACGGTGGCCTGGGACGCCGCCCACGCAGCGCCGCCGCCAGCTGCCGCCGCCAGCACCAGCAGCGGCGGCGACGGCGGCAGCAGCAGCAGCAGCGCCGCCGCGGTGGGCTTTGCGTCGGCGGCGGCGGCGGCCATGGACGCAGCGGCGGCGCTGGATGCCGTGCAGGCCCCCGCGGCGCCCGCGGCCGGCGCCTTCAAGCTGCAGCGACTGGCCTCTCGCCACGTCCCCGACGAGGCCGGCTGGCACCGGCTGATGGAGGGCACGCACGCTGAGCTGGCGGTCGGCGCCGCCGTCGACGCTGCTGCCGCCGCGGCCGCGGCGGCGGCGCAGGGCGAGGAGGCGGGCACGCCGTCTGTGGATGCCTGCACTCCGATGCTCAAGATCTGCCCCGAGGCGGCCCGCGAGGAGTACCTGCTGAACGGGCAGGAGGGCCTGGACGATCTGCTGGCGGCGGTGGAGGGCGGGTTCCATGTCACTGCGTCGCCGCAGGTGCGCCCGCTGCAAGCTTGCTGCAGCAGCTGGCCGCCGCGCCGCTTCCTGCAGCTGCCTGCCGCCGGTCAGGGGCTTGCCGGCATGGTGGGTGTGGAAACCACCGCTCGCCGCCTTGCGGTGGGTATGCTTGTGTGTGTTCCATCCCACAGCCCCGCCCGGCCCTGCCCTGTGCGCAGGACGGCGGGCTGACCAAGGTCGTGCTGGCGCGACGCACCGATGTGAGCATCCGCGGGCGGGTGGGCCCCCTGGCTCTGCTCGAGGCGCTGCAGGAGAGAGACCCCCGCGCCTATCAGTTCATGCTGCAGGCAAGCCGCTGCTGCCGCCGCCGCTGCGGCTGCAGCTCCTGTTGCTTGGCCCAGCTGGCTAGGCCCCGGCCTCGCTGCTTGGTGGTGCCTCATGCCTTGGTGGTGTCGGCACCAGCTGGCCTGCCTTGCATGCGCCCATCACCTGGGCTGGGCGCCTATCCGATCCCCCTGCCGCCGCCCCCTCCCACCACCACCCCCTCCTCCTCCGCTGCGCCTTCTCCTCTGCTGCAGATGCCCTCTGGAGCCTCCTTCCTGGGATCCACGCCCGAGTGCCTCTACACCCGCACCGGCACCGCCGTGGCCAGCGAGGCGGTGGCCGGCACGCGCGCCAGGGGGGCAGGTGCGGGCGCCCGCCGCGCCGCCTGCATGCCTGCCTTGCCTACCTGCCTGCGCCAGTCGCCGCCGCTGCCGGAGTGCATCTTGCAGCCCGCTGCGCCAGGCCTCAGCAGCAGCAGGCACGACGGGCCCTCCGCGCCGTGCCAGCCGCCTCGCCATACCTCTTACGCTTCCCCCGGCTGGCCCGTGGCTGCCCCCCTCTGCCGCGCCATCCCTGCGCAGGCGGCGACGTGCAGCGCGACTTTTGGCTGGCCTTTGACCTGCTGCGCAGCCACAAGGACCACGTGGAGTTCACTGTTGTGCGGGACTGGGTGCAGCACGCGCTGGGCAGCGTGTGTGAGGCGGTGCAGGTGGACGTGGCCAAGTCGGTGCTGAAGCAGGGCGCGGTGCAGCACCTGTACGGCAAGCTGTCGGCACAGGTGAGCCTCCCTGCCTCCCTGCATGGCTGCCTGGCTGGAGGCTGCACTACGCAGACGGGCTGATTGATAGTAGTGTGGTTGGGCGGCCGGGCAGCTTGTACGTGCTGTGGGCTGCCCTTGCACACCCGGCTTTCACTGGGCGAGCCTCGCTCTCGTTCCGGCTGAATGCCTCACCCCACCGCCGCTCCAACGCCAACATCTCAACACACGTCATGCGCGATCCCCTGCCCCGCAGCTCAAGCCGGGCGCCAGCGATGCACGCCTGCTGGCCGCGCTGCACCCCACGCCCGCCGTGTGCGGCCGGCCGCGGGAGGACGCGCTGGGCCTGCTGGCCGCCGCCGAGCCCTTTGATCGCGGCTACTATGCGGGACCCTTTGGCTGGATCAGCCACGGCGCTGCAGAGTTTGTGGTCGCCATTCGCTCCGCGCTGGTGCAGCCCGGCGGCGGCGCCGACGCGGCAGGCGCCGGAGAGCTGGCGCAGCGGCGTGGCAGCCACGCCGCGGCCGGCCCCGGCCCGCAGTCGGCGGCCGGCGGCGGCAGCAGCGGCGGCGCCTCCGCGGCGCCGCTGGCTGCTGGGCCCTCCTCGCCCGCCACGCTGGTGTCTCTCTTCGCGGGGGTGGGCATTGTGGGGGGGTCTGAGTCGACGCAGGAGTGGGCTGAGCTGGACCTCAAGGTCAGGCAGTACGAGCGCCTGCTGCAGGGCGTGCCGCCGCTGGCGGCCGCGCCCAACGTCAACACCCTCTGGGCCCGCCTGCTGGTGGAGGAGCTGTGCCGCCTCGGCTGCAGCACCTTCTGCGTCGCGCCAGGTGAGCGCGGCCCAGCAGCGCCCCGCCCCGCAAGCCGCTGGCTGTCGCCACAGGCAGAAGCTGGTGCCGCCGTCGCCGGCCTGAGCTGCAGCCGACAGGCATGGCAACTGGGGTAACAAATCGAGCCAATGGAGTGGTGATAAACGCATACATTTGGTATTGGCGTGACGCCGACGGTGTTGTGTGTGCGCCCCCACGCAGGCTCCCGCTCCTCGCCCCTCACCGTGGCTGTGGCGCAACACCCGCGCGCCCGCATCGTGCCCTGCATAGGTGGGAGGCGCAAATGCCAGCCTCCTGCTGCCCACGCCGGCGTGCACAGCGGGCACAGCACCGGCCTGCACCTGCGCTGCCCGCACCTCCCCAGCCTGCCCACTTGCCCCCCACACTCTCCCCGGCACTCCCCCGCAGACGAGCGCTCTCTGGGCTTCTGGGCGCTGGGCCACGGCCGCGCCACCGGCCGCCCCGCCGCCGTCATCACCTCTTCCGGCACCGCCGTGGCCAACCTGCTGCCCGCGGCGGTGGAGGCCAGCCAGAGCGGCGTGCCGCTGCTGCTGCTGACTGGGGACCGCCCCGCAGAGCTGCGGGACACGGGCGCCAACCAGACGGTGGACCAGGTGAAGCTGTTTGGAGGGTACGCCAGGTGGCACGCCGACCTGCCGGCCCCGCACGACGCGCTGCCCGCGCGGCTGGTGCTGTCGGCGGTCGACACGGCGGTGCAGCGCGCCACGGGGCTGCCTCCGGGCCCCGTCCACATCAACTGCCAGTTCAGGTGAGGGCCTCGCCTGCGGTGGTGGCGGCGCTGGGCCCGCGGTGCGCTGCCTGACTCTGCCTGCCCCTGTCGGCCGGCATTGTGGCTGATACGGCCGGCCGGTGCAGCCCCATCCGGGCATGTGCATGATGGCTGGTACAAGACAACAACCGCCTGCGCCCTGCTGTGTGCAGGGAGCCTCTGGCGCCTGTGGATGTGGGGGACTGGGACCGCAGCTGCCTGCAGGGCTTGCAACACTGGGAGGCCGGTGACGCACCTTTCACATCGGTGGCTACCTTGCAGCCGGCTGCGGGCCCACTGGCGGCTGCCAGCCTGGCGGCGGATCCAGCGGCCGTGGCGGCGCTGCGGGCGATTGCGGGGGCGCGGCGGGGGCTGATAGTGGCTGCTGAGCTGGCGCACCCCGAGGACGTGGTGGCGGCGGCGCAGCTGGCGGCGCTGCTGGGGTGGCCGGTGGCTGCAGACGTGCTGTCCGGCCTGCGCGCGGGTGTGGGCCCGCCTGGCGCCAGCTCATCCGTCCACGGTGACGCCACCTCAGCGCCTGCCCCAGGCCCCACCGCCGTCATCCACCACTTTGACCACCTGCTGCTGGCAGACCGGTCGGAGTGGGCGGCGCTGCGCCCCGACGTTGTGCTGCAGCTGGGAGGCCACCTCACATCCAAGCGCACCGCCCAGTTTCTGGAGTGGTGCTGCACAGAGCCGTGGCAAGAAGAAAGCGGAGGCGGGGAGGAGAGCAGCCAGCACGGGCGGCAGCAAGGGCGCCCGCTGCGGTGGCTCCTGGCTGACCGCAGCCCGAAGCGTCACGACCAGTTCCACCTGCTGTCGCACCGCCTCCAGGCGCCGCTGCCGGCGCTGGCGGCCGCGGTGGCGGCGCACCTGGACGCCTCAGGCGCCGCCGCCGCCAGCGGCAGCACCATCGGCGGCGCAGCAGAGGCGACGGAGCTCCAGCGGCGCTGGGAGCAGCGCCGCTACTGCCGCCTGCTGCAGCTGCTGGACGGGGAGGCCTCGGCCGCTGTGGATGCCGCCCTGACCCGCATGCCAGAGCTTACCGAGCCGCATGTGGCGCGGGCGCTGTCGCAGCAGCTGCCCCCCGGGGAGGGCCTGTTTGTGGGCAACAGCATGCCCATCCGAGACCTGGACATGTATGCCTGCCCAGCGCCAGCAGCGGCAGCGGCGGCGGCAGCAGCAGCAGCAGCGAGCTCTGCCGAGGGCACCTTCCTGGCTGGCGGCGCCGGCGGCGGGGCTGGGCAGGGCCCCACCCCGCAGCAGGGCGTGGTGGCTACGGGGCTGGGAGCTCCTGTGGCCGCCAACCGCGGCGCCAGCGGCATCGACGGCGTGCTATCCACAGGTGGGCGCCCCTACGGGCGTGTGGGTCTGATGCCGCAGCATATCAGTCCCCTGCTGCACTACGCTGGCTGCCTCTCCGCGCTGCCTGCCGCAAGCCTGCGCTGCCCCACTCCTGGCTGCCAGCCGCTGCTTGCCCTGCGTCCGTCATGGCTGCCCTACCGCTCAAGTGCCGCCGCCTGCTGCGTGCAGCCGCGGGCTTTGCCGACGGCCTGGGTCGGGGCTCCACTCTTGTGGTGGGCGACATCTCATTCCTGCATGACATCAACGGCCTCAACCTGCTGCGGTCGGGTGAGCCGTTGTGGAGGAGCCATGCACTGCCACGGGGCCCGCACCGGAGAGGTGCCAGCCGTGCGGGAGTCCCTTGCTTCCAGCATCCTCATTCCTGCTGCGGCCGCCGCTGCGCGGAGCGGCGGCGCGGGTGCCCTTGCCGCTCTGCCTTGCCCTCGCTTGCCTCCTGCTCGTCTTGACCTTCGCGCGCGCCTCCCTGGCTGCCTGCCGCCTCTCCTCCCTTCCACTCGCTCGTGCAGGCGAGGCGCGGCCGCCGCTGACGGTGGTGCTGATCAACAATGCTGGCGGCGGCATCTTCTCATTCCTGCCCATCGCCGAGGCGCTGCCAGAGGATGTGTTCACCCCGCTGTGGGCCACGCCGCAGCACGTGGACCTGGAGGGTGAGGGTGGGGGGTGGGAGGGCTGTGTGTGTTGGTGTGTGGGATGGGGGCAGGGGTCGGCATGGGTTGGATGGCTGGGCTGGGCGTTGGGTGGGGTCTGGTGGTTAGGCGTCGTGTGCTGGGGAACCGAATGAAAGGTGCTGTCCTCATCAAGCAGCACTAGCGGCTGCCGCTGCTGTGCGGCCACCCGCGCCCACAGACTGAACACTGCCTTGCACCTGCCCCACCCGCGCCTGCCCCTCGCCTCCCCGCCAGGCATGTGCCGTGCCCACGGCATCCCGCACCAGACGGTCACCGCCGCTGAAGGCCTGCCCGCTGCGCTGCGCTCCGCCTGGGGATCCAACCGACACTCCGGTGCGTGCCGCCGCCTGCAGCACGTCCCCACCACGCATGCGCCTTGCCGAGAGCAGGCAGCAGCTTGCGCGGCAGCGCCCTTGCGCTCTCGCGTCTGTCCACTCACGGCGTGCATCCTCTGCTGCCACCTGGCTGCTGCAGTGATTGAGGTGGTGACCAGCCGCACCAGCAACCTGCAGCGCCACCGAGAGATCCAAGCTGGGGTGAAGGAGGCAGTCGGCGCCGCGCTACGGCTGCTGGAGCAGCCACCATCGGGGCCGGAGGCCTCCTCCTCAGCAGGGCTTCTGCCAGAGGCCTGTGCGCCGTTTGAGCTGGCGGTACAGTCTGCCAGCTACCACGCGTACCGCCTGCCGCTGGCCCGCCCCCTGACCACTGCCGCGGCAGCGCCCGGCGAGCAGCAGCACCGCCGGGGCTTCCTGCTGCAGCTCAGCCTGGAGGGTCCGGCAGGCGGCGGCCCGGTGCACGGCGTGGGTGAGGTGGCGCCGCTGCCTGGCCTGCACGCCGAGTCGCTGCAGCAAGCCGAGCAGCAGCTGGCGCTGCTCTGCCAGCTGCTGGCGGGCGGCGGCGACAGCAGATCACCCAGCAGCAGCGGCAGCGGCAGCAACGGCAGCTCTCCGCCTGCCAGCCCCAGCCCCAGCCGCCCGGCTGTGACGGTGCCCCTCACGGTAGCGCTGCTGGGGGGCAGGCTGGCGGACTGGTTGCAGCAAGGGCTCGGGGTGGCCCCAGAGTCGCTCCTGCCATCGGTGCAGTGCGGGCTGGAGGCTGCGCTGCTGTTGGCGTTGGCGCAGCACCGCGGCGTGTCCCTGGCGCACCTGCTGGCCGGCTGCCCGGCCGAGGCAGGCGGCGCGCAGCAGCAGCAGCACGTGGCGGTGAATGGCCTGCTGGATTGCCAGGGCAGCCCCGCCGAGGCGGCGCAGGAGGCTGTGGCCCTGCTGGCCCGCCACCCTTTCAGCGCCCTCAAGGTCAAGGTGGGGCGGCGCAGCGACCCTCTGCAGGATGCGGCGGCGGTGCTGGCCATACGGCAGGCGGTGGGCCCCGGCGTGGCACTACGGGCTGATGCCAACCGGCGCTGGAGCCTGGAGCAGGCGGTGCAGGTGGGTGGAAAGCGGGTCGGAGCTGCTGCGGGTGTGTACTGCTTCATTCTTCATGCCTGCCTGGCAGCTGCTCCCTGCACCAGGAGCTGGCCTCCCATGGTAAAGGCCCCGCCTCCGTTGTGCTGCAACACCTGCTGGTGCAGTTTGGCGCGGCGGCGGCGGCGGCGGATCTGCAGTACGTCGAGGAGCCGGTGGCATGTACCGCCGACCTGCCTGAGCTGTACCGCCGCACTGGCCTGCCCCTGGCTCTGGATGAGTCGGTGGATGAAGGTGGGTGGCACGCAGGAAGCCGCGGGGTGCTGGGTGTGGACTAGAGCAGTGGTGGTGGTGTGTTGTGCCGGGGCTGCGGCCGCATCCTGGCCTCCAATTTGCTTGGCACATGTGTGTCGTGCGATTGTGGGGGCTTGGTGCTCTGCTGTTTAGGTACCCAGCAAGCGCCGCTGCCACTCGTGCTGCTCCCACCTGCCGCTGCAGGGCTGGTGGGACCCGGGGCTGCCGCCGCCGAGGCGCTGTGCGAGGGGGTGGTGGCGTTGGTGCTGAAGCCGGCGGTGCTGGGCGGCTACGAGCGCGCCGCTGAGCTGGCGGCCTGGGCGCAGCTGCACGGCCTGCACGCTGTGGTCAGCTCCGCCTTTGAGACCAGCCTGGGCATCGCCCAGCTGGCGCAGCTGGCGGCGGCGGTGGATGGAGGCGCACCTGGCGGCGGAGGCGGCCCCATGCACCACGGCCTCGCCACGCAGAGCTGGTTTGCCCAGGACCTGCTGCCTGCGGCGGCCGCGCAGCTGCTGCTGCAGCCACGCACGGGCCCCAGCGGCGGCGATGGCGGCAGCGCCAGCATTCAGGGCATGGACATCAGCATGGCTGCTGCCGAGGCTGTGGTGAGCAGCGGCACGGCGCTGGCTCTGGGCTTGGACGCGCAGCAGGCGCCGGAGCAGGCGCCCCGGCAGCGTGCCCAGCGGCGGCGCTGCCACGTGGCCACTTCCAGCGGCAGCTACCACTTCAGCCTGCTGGAGGTGCTGCCTCCCGTGGCGGCAGCCTCGCCTGCGGGCGGCGCCGGCCACCAGCCGCCGGTGCTGCTGTTGCACGGCTTCCTGGGCGCAGCGGGCGACTGGCTGCCCGTGATGCACGCCCTCGGCCTGGAGCGGCGCTGTGTGGCGCTCGACCTGCCCGGCCACGGCGCCTCCACAGTCCTGACTCCCAGCCATGGCTCCGCCAGCAACGGCAATGGAGCTACCAGCAATGGCAGCAACGGCACGGCTGCTGCGGCTGCGGCCGAGGCGGGCGACCCGCAGGCGGCACACAGCCTGGAGGCTGCGGCGGAGGCGGTGGCAGCGCTGGTTGAGCGGGAGGGCCTGCAGGGCTGCCTGCTGGTGGGGTACTCTCTAGGGGCGCGCCTGGCCCTGCTGCTGGCCGCCCGCTGGCCCCACCTCTTCTCGGGAGTCGCCAGCGTCTCAGGTGTGTGTTGTGTTGTGTTGTGTGGGCGTGGTGCAGGGCATGTGTGTGAGCTGGCCTCTTGTTTGCCTGCCGACACAGCTGCCCTGCGAGGCCGGCACGGTGATAGGCCTCGTTTGCCCTCCTCCCTGCTGCTCCCAACCTGCAACCCGCTCCGACACAACCACTTCTGTGTGCTGTGCCCCCCCGACTCCTTCTTGCAGGCACTCCGGGCTTGCCGGGTGCAGCAGAGCGTGCGCAGCGCGCCGCGCGGGACGATGCGCTTGCCGCCGCGCTGCGCCACGGCGGCCTGGACAGCTTCCTGCATGACTGGTACCAGCTGCCGCTGTGGGTCCAGCTGCGGTCCAGCCCTCGCTTCCAGGCCATGCTGGCGCAGCGGCGGCGCGGCGGCGACGCCTGCCAACTGGCGACGGTGCTGGCGGCAGCCTCCCCCGGCCGTGCGCCCAGCCTGTGGCAGGAGCTGCCGGCGGCGGCGGCGGGCGGCCGCTTGCCCCCGCTGCTGCTGGTGGCTGGCGGGGAGGACGCCAAGTTTGTGGGTGTGGCAGAGAGGCTGGCCGCAGAGCTGCGGATGACGGCTGGCGGCCCCACCCAGGCAGCAGCACCGATCTTGCAGGTGGAGGTGGTGCTGGTGCCGGGCGCCGGCCATGCGGTGCACATTGAGCGGCCCGTGGAGCTCCTTGCGGCTCTGCAACAGTTTTGCGACGACCTTGCACGGCAGCAGCTGCAGTTGCGGGGAGTTGTCGCCCCCCTCAACAGAGTTTCCTTGCCATAAATGCAGTTTTGGCATCATCTGTGCCTGTCTTACACTATTACTTCCTCCAACCGGCATCCTTTTGCCGATGATCTCATTTACTGTTTAAGAATCCGTAACAATGATGAGGGCAGCAGTGGCAGGGTTGACGGCTAGGGGCAGGCCGGGTTGACGGCAGTCTGTGACGCGCCGAGGCGCCTCATGTGCCTGCTGTCAGTGCAGTCACCGACCTGTCCAGGAGCTGAAGATCCTTTTCAATCCTGCCCTTCGCAGCTGCTGGGCAATCGGTGAAATCATCTGCACAAACCCCGCTGCCGGTTGGCGGCGCCGCCCTTGCCCGCCTGCCTGCCTGGCGCGCCACGGCGGCCCGCCTGGCTTCCCGGAGCCCATGGGCGCCCATAAGCAAACGCCACCCCATTGCTGCTGTGCTGCGGACGCTGCAGAGCCCCTGACGCTCCTGAGTCTCTCCCCAACTGCGGCACTCAGCACTCATGGAGGGTGCGTTGGGCTTTTCAACTGCGCTGCTTGCCTTTCGCACGTCGTAGGCACATGCGCTTGCGCGGCTGTAGTAGTTGCCGCTGTGCCCGTCGGGAGTAGTGCAATTCAGCCGGAGGAGGCCTTGCAGGGCCTGGCTGTTGTTCCCATGGCCGCTGCACATCCTGCTGCGCCTTCCCCGCCGCTCGGCGGCGACGGACGCCGCACGCGGCACTGCACTGCCCGCCGGCCCCCACCAGATGCCCTCGTCCTGCCGCCCTTGCATGCCCCCTGACGCGCAGCCCTGCCCCCAGGGCCCCTCCCTGCAGGCACCAGCTTCCCCAGCGGCGGCTTTGCCTTTGCCGGCAGCAGCGGCTGCCTGCCGCTTGACTGCTTTGAAGCGCCGGCGCGCACGGCGTCGGGAGGCTTCCGCACGGCCGGCTCTGGCGGCGTTGCAGCTCTGGACCTGGGCCAGCCCAAGCGCTCAGACTCCATCAAGTTCTTCGGGGACGATTCCCCTGCCGATCTGCTGGACGAGGCCAAGCTGGCCGAGCGCCACCGCAAGGTGCAGGGGACGGCTGATGACCTGTCTCCTGTGTCTGATGTCGGCGCCGAGGAGGCGGCGCCCAGCGTGGTGCAGCAGGCGGTGCAGGCTGTGCAAGCCACCAAGTAATTGCTTGATTGATGTTTGGCACACGCAGCCAACTGGCTGGCGGCAGGCGTTCCCCGTCAGTTGGCTGCTCCTTCCCCCGCCAACACACCGCAGCCCGCACGCCACTCAGGCAGCAGCTCCCGGGCCACCCTTATTCTCCCTCTCGACCTCCCTGGTCAGGTTTTATGTCGCTGTCAGCCCTCCGTATGCAATGAATCACATGCCAGACGTATGCGCCAGTCCCGCCTTTGGTTGCCTCCTGCCATCGGTCTTTCATTAGCACCCACTGTTCTCAGCCTGTTTCGTATCCTGCTTGCCCTCCGCTCAGCCCACCGATCGACCCCTTTTCGGCTCTGCACTTTTTCTCTGAAACATATTGTTCGCCTGGCGACTGCCTCATGGGTCTGTGACATGCGCGCATAGATGAATGCCCAGGATACCAGGTAGTCGTACGGTCACAATAACGGCTGTCCGCAGCTCACTCTGTCCTCTACCCCGCCAGCTCCCGCCACGCCCACGACAGCGTGGGTGGAACAACACAGGTCCACAGGCTGTGGACATGCAGCCAAGAAGCAGACACTGAACCACATGCAAATGGCATGCAGAGTCGCATGTCGAGCAGCCCTAGCCCCTTGGACCTCTGATGCGCTCGCAGACTGTGACATGGTCAGGGGATGTTTAATGAGAAACAAACATGCAAACAAAACACGTCCATGTTGAAACAAGAATGCACAAGGGGATTTTGGTAGCAAGTAGCATTGAGCACATCACATGTAGTGTCGCATGGCTTGATGACGCTACAAGAAACAATCGAAGTGCAGGCAGCCAGACTGGGCAAGCCGGAGCTACATGATGCTGCAGCACTGGCAGCTGGCTGTGTCGACGGACAGCTGGGGCTTGCTGCACTGCACGCCCGGGTCGGGCGGTGAATCGGTTGCAGGCCTGTCCTCGCCCTCAACGCAGTCGTGCCACACCTCATCCTTGCCGTCCTCTGCCGCTGTGCAAGCCGCTGCATGATGCTGCGGCGCCTTGCGGGCATCGGGCGCAGCAGGCGGCGGTGCACCTGCTGCGGGCTGCCCCGCACCCTCTCCTGCTGCTTCTGCTGTCGTGGCCTTGTCGCAGGCAGAGATGCAACAGGGCGGTTCGCCGGCCTCGGCGACGAGCCGGGACAGGCTCAGGTTGCGGCTGCTCCGGTTGCGAATGCTGGGGCACAGCGTCACGCCTGCTCCTGCCTGCAGCTGCTGCAGCTCCTGGGTAACCGCACGCTGCAGCAGCTAGCGCTGCTGCAGCGCCGCATCCCTAGCTGCCGCCACCTGCGCCGCCTCGTCCCGTGCCGCCAGCTCCCTGGCCGCGTATGCCAGCGCCGCCTGCTGGCGCGCCTCCTGCCGCCGCGCCTCGATGCTCTGCGCCACCTCCTCCCAGCCGGCCTCCTCGCCGCACGCCTGCCGCTGCTGCGCCTGCCTCACGGCTGCCTGGTCTCTGGCTGCTTGCAGGCGTGCCTCCAGCTCGCGTCGCGCCTCCTCCAGCGCCGCCAGCACCCTGGCTGCCCGCTCCCTGGCTGCCACGTGGCGGGCGGCCTGCTCTCGCGTGGCACGGTAGTTGGCTGCCTGCTCACAGGCCGCCTGCTCCTGCGCATGGATGCAGCGGGCTGCCAGGGCACACAGCTCCTGCCCCCTGCTGCTGCCCCAGCTGCCTGGCGACGGCAAGGCACCGCAGTCGCCGGCGCCAGGCGTGCCTGGCACCATGCCACTGGTGCTGCTGCTCATGCTGACGCTGCTCCTGCTGTCTAGGTCCTCATCTGCAGCGGAGGGGCAGGCGGCAGGTAGGTAGGGTTTGGCGCCGGGACGGCCAGACGCGCGGTCCCCGCCCGCTTTCCCCCCTGGCGTAAACCTGGAGCCTTGCCGCAGCGACACAGTGAAACTCTGCGCTAAACCCCGAGGGGGAGCTAAGCGGACCGTGTGGTCCCAACCCACGATGCGGCGCGCTGCTCTGTCGGGCATACACAATCGGTTGCTGAGGCCTCACCTAGTTGTGAGCAGCCGCCGCTTCCCGCTGGGAAAGCCGCCAACACGCACTCGGTCATTTTGCGACTATGGTTTGCGCCTGTCAGTGATGCACCGTGATTTGTTGCGCGCATGCGTAAATAAAGCAAAGAGTTCGTGCCCCCTGACACTCCTACCACCGCCGCCGCCATGGCGCGCCACGCTGTCGCGACATGTCGCCGCCACTCGCCACACCGTTTGGGAGGCAACACTAGGTCAGCAAGCTCATCATGCTGCACAGGTACTGGTGCCCTGCTGAATGGTGGCACGACATAGGAAACTGGGTCAGAAATCGCACAAGGACGAACACGGGTCGAAAGCAAAAAACTACGGCAGCCTCTTGGCACCCACGGCTGCCTCTCGCAGAGTGGGAGACAGCAGCCCAACGTGATCCAGTCCCTCCCGTACAATGCTGACGATGTCGGGGTGGAGTGGGCGGCACAGCGCCGCCATTCTCAACTGCGGCAGCAACGACACTTTTGCGCCTGCAGGCCCGGCAGCAGCATGCCACACGGCAGGGTCAGCGCATGAATCAATCAAGGTGTCATCCAACCAAGCCTGCTCATATCTTGCCCTGCCCACTGGTGTGACACACCGACTCGCCCCGCCCGCACCCCGACCCCGCCCACCTGCCGAGTTAAAAAAGTCCATTGTCACAAACAGCGCGGCGTGGGACTGGCGGTGCAGCTGGCCAGCGGCATCAAAGACACGCAGGTATTGCTTGGCAGCCGTGCTGCAGTTGCAGGGGAAGCAGGCCACACAGGCAAGCAGGCGTCCTGGTGGAGCTGTCAACAGTGCTGGTTGTGGGTACAGCAGAGCTGCGGTTCCCGAGCGTCCTGCTGGAGGACGCATGCATAGGCAGGCGCCAACAGCTAGAGTGAAAGGTCCCGGCGCCCAGCCGCTCGCGTCACCTCAGCGTTGACTCCAGCATCTTGTCCGTGAGATGCTGCAAGCGGAAAAGGGATGGTCCAAGTGCTTGATTGTGGGCTCGTTTGCTGACGCAGCCCTCCAGCAACCCCAGCCAGCTACTGCGGGATACATGCCAGGCCAGAAACACTGCTCCGAGCCAGAATCAGGCACAGCCAACCCACCTGCTGCACCTCCTGCAGCGTCTCCAAAGAGGCGGCCGTGTCGGCGCTCAGCTGCTGCATCCTTTCGCAGTAGGTCTGAAACAATGGAACCAGGCACTGCACCTCTTCAGCCGACATCTGCATGCCAATCTGCAGAGCGAGGACAGAGCCACAGGCGGCTTTGAACACAGGTGCAGGCGTGCAGGCAGCTCCTGTGTGGGCCAGTACTGCAGCGGCTTCAGCTCTCAAACGCCTCACAATAAGCATGTGGGCAGCACAACAGATTGCCATGCTCAGGTGCTGGCTGGTTGGACGAGCCGCCGAGGCGGCGGTGGCCCTGCTGCATGCACTCACCGCCACCTCGCGCCACCTGCGCCTCTCCTGCTCCTCTGTCTCGCCCGGCAACCTGGAGAAGTCCCATAGGGACTGCAGCACCTCCGGCTTGTGGCTGGTCAGAATGTTGCCCAGTGTCTCCTGCAGCAGCGCTCGCAAAACAGCAGGGGGGTGGATGGGAGGCGTGCAGGCCAGCAGGCAGGCTCGCACAAGCTCCGAGTACAGAAGACAGCACATGGGATCCACAGAAGCGTATGCGGGCCCTAGCCAGGAGCCTGCACATCGACTCGGTGCTCCCCAATGCAGCCAGCAGGCAGGCTCACATAATACCTGCACAGAGGGTGAGCATGTCAGTGCACGCGGCGCCCCGGCCGCTGATGCTGTTACGCCGCAGGCACCATGACATAGGCCAGGCAAGAACCGCCAGCCTGCTTACATGATCGGGTTGCACATGCGCTGCATCACCCCCTCCTCTGTCAGCTCCCCATCGTCATACAGCTGCACCACCTCCGCCGCCAGCTGGCCCAGGTCTGCCCACTCCTGCGGGGCCAGGGTTGAGCTGTGTTCAGAATTGCAGCCAAGGATGCATATGCTGGCACGTGCCAACCGCAAGGTGCATGAATGAGCAGGTCGGCAGCGGCCTTGTGTGCACGCTGTCAAAGGATAAGCACCACCCTGGGTCTGGATGTGGCATTCACCTTGAGCAGCGTCTCGGGTGTTATGAGCAAAACAGCCTCCAGCAAGTCTGGAAGCTGCGCCGCCGTCAGCCCAGCCAGCGCCTTGTAACTGCGGGGAGAAGGAGAAGGGAGCCTCGGTGTGTGCCACTCCCAAGAAGCCACTGGTCTTGCCCCAGCCACACGCCCACAGCCGGTGCACAGGGGCACACAGTTCCTGTGTAAAGACGTTGTTCGTAACCCAACTGCCAGCCATCTTCCTAGTGCATCCCTCAAAGCAGGCAGCCAGGCCAGCTCACTCGGTGTCCACCACAAGGCCATCGGGGCTGCCGCCATCCTCGCCGCCGGTGTCAGCTATGGCCTTGGGAGCTGGGCCCGCCTGGAAAAAGAGGCTGCAGCAGCGATCCGCACGCTCCCGGAAGGGCAGAGCCCACAGCTCGTCTGCCAAGATGGCGTTGCTGAGCTGTTTGTCGCTGCCTGTGCTCTGCACATGCACAGCGCAGCCAGCGGCACGGCCTTGCCTCATGAAGCCGTGCAGACAGCGTCTGCAGGCTTGGCATTGCATCGCCATGCAGCGCTGGGCAGCCAGCGCCAGTCGCGTTCCCAGCTCACCTGCTGCTGCTGCCCCTGCGCTGGCTGTTCGGTGCCGGCCGCTGCCTGCAGCACCTGCACCATGGCATCCCTCTGCTCCTTCACCGCCTCCAGCGCCGTGTATGTCTGCTGGATGCTGCCCTGCAGCTGCTTCTCGCGCTCCAGGTCTGCAGCCGTGGCCTCGAAGTGAGCGGCCTTCTGCGCGTTGAGCACCTGCTGGGGCAAGCGCGAGGTGGCAAGAATTGCCGGTGCAGTCTTCGCCTGCCACCGCCCCACGCACCTTTTGCCTCTCTCTCCACCGCGCCTGCTTGGCCCTGTTTTGGGCCCGCACCCTCTCCAGCTTCTCCTCCGCCTTGGACAGCGATTTGACGGCGTCGGTGCCCGTGCTGCCGCCGCTAGAATTGTTGTGGGCGGGTAGTGGCAGGGTTAGGTCAGCGCCGCCCTCGTCGCCCATCCACTGGGCCAGGGCGGCGGGGTCCAGCAGCTGGCTAGGCGGCTGATCCATCAGCAGGATGTCAAGCTCCGGCAGCTGAAAGTCGTCCATGCCGCTGTCGTGTGGGTGCGCCATGAGTCGGGTGCTGTTCTCTGGCGATCCTACCACCTGTGCAGCCCTCACAAACAGCAGATCCGAGTTCCAGACCCTGCAGAGCTGCCATTAGGCTCATCAGGCTCAGCACCGCCACCTCAGCTGCCGTCCAGGTAGCTTGCCTTTGCGACCAATTATCAAATAGGCTTATTACTTCATGTACACAATCCCTCGCAGAACGAAAACAACAAGTTAACGGAGATTGGAGTACATGGTTATGGCGGTGAGGAAAAGCAGAATGGAATCGCTGGGCGGTGTCAGTGCGGCATCAAGACCACCAATGAACAGAGTCAGATGTAAGTACAGGGGGTGCATAAACGTACAGAGTCGCTCATGGCGACTTGATGATGTGCCGGAGTGCACTGTAGCTACTTCCTCCGCATGAGGAAACCACATAGCTATCCTGACATGCTCCATATGCCCCCACCCAGCCGCAGTCAGCACTGCTGCTGCTGCGACTGCGGGCCGGGTGCTGCCGCTGCGGCCACGGGCGGCCTGTTGGGCTGCGCAGCCGCATCCCTGGCCTTTGGCAGCAGGCCGTGATGATCCAGCCACTCCCGCACGATGCTGACCACGTCTGGGTGAAGTGGGCGGCACCGCGCATTCATCCGCGCCTTTTGCAGCGGGGTGACCGCGTTGCCTGCACCAGAAAGGGTTGGTGGGCAACAAGGCGGGGGTGTATGAAGATTTCCCGCCTCCCACGGGCATGCCCGAGGATCCAGGCATACAGCCTGCAAGTCCTACGGCCCAGAACCGCCACGCCCGCCATCACCCACCCGCAGTACTCATAAAATCCAGCGTGATCAGAAGGGCGGCATTGGACTGGTGGCTCAGCTGGCCCGCTGCCTCAAACACGCGCAGGTACTGCTGCACGCTCGAGCTGCAGGCAGGGGCGGGGGCGAGGAGGTCATAATGAGCAGGCAAGCTCAATGGGGTGCACACAAGGAGACGGATGCAGATTAACTGCACTGCTGCATGAGGGCAGCAGCCGCGGCAACTCCTAAGGCAAAGTGGAGCGGCACCAGCCGCTGTGCTCTGCTCCCTGGCTGTGAGTTCAAGCGCAGTTCACAAAACGTGCAACTCCGCCTCACCTGAGCCCAGAAATTACCATCTGCTCGGAGAGGTGCTGCAGGCAGGAGGGCCAATACGGAGGCAAGAGAGGTGACCAAAGCAAGGCAGCTGAGGTGCCGCTGCCGGGGTTCCCTGTGCTCGGCATTGCACAACAGGCGCTGGCCAGCGCGCCCACCCACCTGCTGAACGTCACGCAACGACTCCAGGGCCACAGCCGTGTCGGCTCCCAGCTGCTGCATCCTGTCGCAGTAGGTCTGGAACAGCGAGAGCATGCGCTTCCCTTGCTGTTCAGGCGAGACACCCATGCACAGCTGCGGAGGGGGGAAGGGGGGGCGGCACAACCGCGAGGCAACCAACGAGTTTTACAATGTGTCGGAGGCATGCCGCATGCTGCCTGGGAGTGCAGTAGCCTGCATGGCTGTTGCACCTGCTGCGGCAGCGCATGCCACTCACCGCCACATCCCGCCACCTGGCCGCCGCCTGCTCCTCCGTCTCGCCAGCCACCTTGGAGGAGTTGAGCAGGTGCTGCAGCACATGCGGCCTGTGGTTCATCAAGATCCCACCTAGGATTGCCTGCAGCAGCGCATCACGGGTGGGTTCAGCAGCGTGCCAGGGCAGCAACCAGGCAACATATCCCTCTGCCCACCCATGTCTCTCCCATCCCTCCGTGGTCACGGCGAACCCCAATCCCTGCCCACCCTTCAAAAGTACATCCATGGGGTGCAGAGAAGCTCATTGACACCCTGCTCTGTCAGCTCGCCATCATCATACCGCTGCACCACCTCTGCCGACAGCTCGCCCAGCTCCGCCCACTCCTGCAAAGACAAAACGAATGCAACCCACCCTGCCTGCCTGTTAGGTGCAGCGGCAATGCTCAGAGCGGGCTGGCAGCCCCGGATGGGCGAGCGACAGGCAGGCTGTGCCCTTTGGGGCCCCACCTTGACCAACACCCGGGGTGAGATGGCCAGCGCCGCCGTCAGCAGGTTTGGGTGGTGCCCCGCCATCTGCTGGGCCAGCTGCTTGCGAACGCTGCAGTGTGGCGGCGCCGGGAGGCAGAAAATCAAGTCGTGAGGCTGAAGTAAGCAGCGCATGCCACCTGCCAGTGTATAGCTGCATGGAGCACCATGTGGCAGGCAGGCAGGCAGGCAGGCAGGCAGGCCGGCCGGCCAGCGTACGTGATGTGCAGCGCAAAGCCGTCGGGCTTGCAGACGCCCTCGCCAATGTGATCGTGCAGGGCCTTGTGCACCGGCTCTGTCTGGCAGAAGATGCGGCAGCACACGTCCACCCGCTGGCGGAACGGCATAGCCCACAGCTGCTCCGCCAAGATGCCGCTGCTGAGCTCGCTGGCGGTGCCCGATAGCTGGACCTGCATCTGTGTCATGGAGAGAGGCAGCGGCACGCTCGCAACGCATAAGCAGCAGGCACTGTAGTGCTCCGGGGCGGCTGGAACCATTGCTAGGGGCGGCTGGAACCATTGCTAGGGGCGGCTGGAACCATTGCTAGGGGCGGCTGGAACCATTGCTAAAAGCGCAGGGCCAACGCCGCCGCCAACCACACCGCTGCGATCTGACTCGCACACATCAGAGCGAGGGTTCCCTGTGGTAGCTCACCTGCTGCTGCTGCTGCCCCTGTGTGGGCCCATCAGCGCCAGCCGCCTGCAGCACCTGCACCGCAACATCCTTTTGCTCTTTCACAGCCTCCAGCGTCGCACATGACACCTTCATGCTGGCGTTCAGCTGCTGCTCGCGCTCCAGGTCTGCTGCCGTAACCTCGTACTGAGCTGCCAGCTGCACCTTGCGCTCCTGCGGTGCACGGCAAGAGAGCGTCGTGCTCAGGGCAACAGTACTGCATCACTCGCTGCCAGTTGGCGCGTTGCCTGCCCCACCTTTTGTCTCTGGCGGAACCGCGTCTGCTTGGCCCTATTCGCTGCCCGAGCTTTCTCCTGCTTCTCTTCCTCCTTGGACAACGATGTGGTGGTGTTGGTGCCGCTGCTGCCGCCACCCGAGCTGGTGAGCTGCAAAGGGGCACCCGTGGTAGCGGCTGTGCCAAACTCAGCGCTGGTCCCCAGCCACTGCGCCACGGCGTCAGGATCCAGCGCTGGCGGCGGCGAGCATGACACCAGCATGTCCAGCTCGGGCAGCTGGAACTCTGGAAACCAGGGCCCTCCGCCCTGGGGTGGCTCTCGCCCCTCCATGGTGCTCGTGCGCGTGCAACTCGGCTAACGGCAGCACAAAACGGCAGGCAGCATGTGGTGACTTCAAGAAGGCCGGCCGAGGGCTCTGCAGACGCGTTTGCCAGCGAAAACGAAGCTGTACTGCAGGGGCCCACGTGTACCGGACTTGCAGCAGAATTGAGTGCCCGAGCAGCCATTTCGCACCGTGTCAACCTTAGTGGGCATGCAACAGGGCCACTGGAGCCCAGAGGGGCTCGAGCAGCTGGGGGTTACCTAAAGAGTTACAGCGGCTGCCGCCGGCCGACGAGGGACAGCCAGCTGGCCCTGGGAGGGGGTGCAAGCAGCGAACTGCAGCTAGCTGGGCACCAGCCTTCCCAGGAACATGATGGAAGTAAGCAGAGACGTGCGGTAGAGGAGCGCAGGCCAGGGAGGAAACGGCGGCAGGCGGTACCAAAGCAAACGGTCACCGCAAGCGTTTTCGGGGGGGCAAGGCAGATCCGGCAGATTGAAACAAGACAGGAGCGAGCCAACATAGCAGTACACAGAGAACAGTTGCGGCAAGAAGGCTGGCGCAGGCCTGCTCAGCAATGCTGCTGGTGCTCAGCCGGGCGAACCGTCGTGGCAAATGCGTGTGCCGACGTCACTGCATCGCCTGCTGCCGTATCCATCCCGCCGCAGCTGCCGGTGGCAGGATCCCCGCCACCTCCGGCACGCAGCAGGCCGAAATGCTCCAGCCCCCCACGCACAACGCAGGCCACGTCGGGGTGCAGGGGGCGGCACTGCGCTATCATTTTGGACTTCTGCAGGGGGGTCACGTGGGCGCCTGCAGAACAGGTGGCAGGCAGGCGCATGGGCAAGCAAACCAAAACTTTGGCACGGCTGATGCCCTCCAGCCAGCTGCGCCTGCCCAGGAGGGGCCAGGCCATGGCTGCCGTCTGCCCCAGCTCAGCAGCACCACCGAGCCGCACCCGACCCAACGCCTGCATTTCTGGTAGGCCCAGCCTGCCATGCCCACCCGCACCCACCTGACGTGCTCATGAACTCCATTGTGATCAGCAGGGCGGCATTGGGCTGGTGGCTCAGCTGGCCGGCAGCCTCAAACACGCGCAGGTACTGCTGCACTCCCGCGCTGCAGGCAGGGACAGGAGCGAGGACGTTTGGAAGAATTGGATGCTAGCAAAAGACATCATTTGTGTGGAGTTTTCCTGTGGGTCAAACGAATGAGATCGTGGCCAGTGTGAACATGCACCACGAGCAACACACCCCAGAAGCACAGCTGCCAGCAGCCTGCCACAAAATGACTGCCTGCCTATTCGTCTCACCTAAGTCCAGACTCGAGTACCTGTGCATTGAGGTTCTGCACATAGGGTGGGGGCGGGAGGAGAGCTCGGCATGCGACTCGCTGCCACGGCTTGTGCCAAGCCAGGTGCTGCTGCCTTTGCAGCCAGCCCAAGCACTGCGCCAGAAGCCTAAGCTGGCCAGTGCCTGGCCAACGCTGGAGGGCAGCATCAGCAGGGAGGCAGCACAGGCAGCGAGCTCGACCCATGTGCGCACCTGCTGCAGCTCTCGCAGCGCTGCGAGGGAGGCGGCTGTGTCGGCGCCCAGCTGCTGCATCCGGTCGCAGTAGGTGCGGTAGGCGGGCAAGAGGAGCTGCGTCTGCTCCCTGGAAACACCCATGCCAACCTGCGGGGGGAGCCACAATGGAACGTGAGGACGGCCCTTCAGCCCAATTGGTCAACACACAGAGGCCCCTCTAGAGGACAGTCCTCTAGAGTTGCAGCTGGCAGCTAGGGTGCCACAAAGCGCACGCAATGATGCTCGGCGCATGGGCGCAGCAGCTCAAGTCACGCCGTCCTGGGCCTGCACCTCTGCAGCGCCAGCATGCTGACTCACCGCCACGTCGCGCCACCGTCTGCTCCTTTGTCTCTCCGGGCAGCGTTGTGTTCTGGAAGAGGTGCAGCAGCACGTCGGGCTTGTGGTTGAGGAGCACCGCGCCCAGGATGGCCTGCAGGTGCAGCAGCAGCAGCAGCAGCATGAGCAGCAGCAGAAGGAGGAGCATGGAGCGCGGAACATGTCGCTGCAGATGACCAGCTCCCGGCACTAGTCAAAAACGCCCAGCGCCTGCCCACGCTCACAAAGTAAGTGACGGCAGGCGACATCCTCTCCTCCACCTCCGCCTCTGTCAGCTCGCCATCATCATACAGCTGCACCACCTCAGCCGCCAGCTCGCCCAGCTGCCCCCACTCCTGCAGGGCGAGATAGCCATGGAGCCACGGACACATTGGTGGGAGAAATTCCATGTCACACCAACACTGCAGGCCATCCGCTGGGCAGCAGCAGCGTGGAACAGCAGCCTGCTGGATGCCACCATGCCCGGCTGTGCCGCTCATCACCTGCAGCAGCAGCTCTGGCGACATCGAGAGAGCAGCCGCCAGCAAATCTGGGTGGTGCGTTGCCATCTGCTGGGCAAGCTGCTTCTTCAAACTGCGGGCGGACAGGAAGGCACTATCAATAAGCAGGCACCATCGATATGCAGGCGCACAATTGGGCAGTTCCTGGCATACTGCAACAGAACGCAGGGTGCAAGATACAGCTGATGCAGGCGCAGCAGGCAGGAGATGCAGCCAACTCACTCCAAGCTCAGTGCACTGCATTCAAAGCCTGGCTTGGCACAGATTTCGCCGGCATCATCCATCAGAGCACCGCGCGTTGGTGCCGCGCAAAAGATGCTCTCGCACACGTCCACCCGCTCCCGGAATGGCAGCGCCCATATCTGCTCCGCCAGGATGCCGCTGGTACCGGCACGCTCAAGCTGCGAGGGCAGGCAGGCAGGAAATGGCGTGCTAGCTTTTGCAGCAGGAGAAACAACTGGCCACTGCTCGGCCATGTGTCCAGCAGCATGCTAACTGACACAAGTTGGCTCCACTTTCAGCAGGGCTTGCATGCCTGCTCACCTGCTGCTGCTGCTGCTGCTGCCCCTGTGCAGGCTGGTCGGTGCCGGCCGCCGCCTGCAGCACCTGCACCACAACATCCTTCTGCTCCTTCACAGCCTCCAGCGTGGCACATGACACCTTCATGCTGGCGTTCAGCTGCTGCTCGCGCTCCAGGTCTGCCGCAGTGGCCTCGTACTGAGCCTCCAGCTGCTCCTTGCGCTCCTGCGGTACAAAATCACGAGGTGTCATGAAAGCTGAAGCAGCACAAGCAGGTGCCCAATGAGGTACAGGTTGAAACTACTGCCGCCCTCCCCACCGAACGCCCAACGCACCTTCTGCCTGGCGCGGTGCCGTGCCTGCTTAGCTCGGTTAGCTGCCCGTGCCTTTTCTTGCTTCTCCTCATCCTTGGATAACGACGCGGTGGTGCCTGTGCCGTTGCTGCCGCCGCTGGAAGTGTGGACAAGCGGCGGCAGCGGGGTTACGTCAGCCGCCGCCGTGGCGCCCAGCCACTGTGCCACCGCTTCGGGGTCCAGCGGCTGGCTACCAGGCTGGTCTGCAAGGAGCATGTCCAGCTCCGGCAGCTGAAACAGGCCCGGCATAGTTGCAGGGTCGTCCGTCATGGGTTCCCCTTCTCCAGCAGGCTCCGAAATTGAGAGCGGCAGTATCTGCGTGTTCAGCGCCGGGCCGTGAACGGCTTTGCGAAGACCCCCCGGGCGAGAACAGTTCTGGACTCGTAGTGCTGCAGCACCGCCCACAGCTGCCCCGCACCTCCCCTCCTGGGAGCAATCTTTTGAACAAACTTCTCAGTTGAATTCGGATTGAACTTTCATGCCACACACATTGAGTGCAAAAGCCAAGAATGGGGACAAGGGAAGGCAGCGGTCCCGTTCAAACTTGTAATACTGGAGGTGACAGCCGGAACATGTTCCACGGGGGCGGAGCGCAGCGCAGCGTGGTAGAGACCTATTTCACGTCTAGGAGATGCGCTGGTGGCTGGGCTTGTGAAGGTGCCTGCAGCCAGGGGTGGGTCGCCCGCAGCGGCCACACCACGGGTCAGCGGCAAGAGCAAATGTGCACAGTGTCGCCCACCGGGCATGCTGTGTGTGTGACTGAGGGCAAGGAGGGCAATGCACCAAGCAGCGACAACGGGGCGAGGTGTCATGTTTTGCGCGTCGGGTTGACGGGAGCACCCCTCCCCAAACCCTGGCAACATATCATTGAATGCAAGGACACGCGCACCGTTCGGTTCACGCTCGTCTGCAGCACAAGGGGGCAGGCCCTGTGGGACTTGGCCGGGGGGGATGTGCGGCGGCAGGTTGGCCGGGCCGTGTGGGAACAAAGAGTGCTCGAATGCGGTGTAGCGAGCTTCTATACTGCCAAAAAAAATCGTCCGACAAACGCTTTGTGAACCGGGCCATCTACCCCATCACCTAACCACGTAGGCGCCCTGCACAGCAGTTGCGCTTGCACACAGCTGAATGGGTCTCGACAAGTGGCTCAGAAAGGTGCATCTGGATCGGAGGTGCACGAGCTCACATGAGCCCGTGTGCCTGCGCCTGCCCACTGTCGGTGGCTGACGGCAACTGGGGTGCCGCAAGTCTTGCACTCATGAGCTGGCCACCCCGTGCCAGCAGTCTACAGAGATTGTGCAAGCCCTGCATGTGCAAGAAACTACTGCCGCTGTGGGCCGTCCCCGCCGCACGACCAGCGCACCTTCTGCCTGGCGCGGTGCCGTGCCTGCTTAGCTCGGTTAGCTGGTGCCTGCTCCTGCTTCTCATCATCCTGGATTGGGACGCGGTGATGCTTGCACCGTTGTTGCCGCCACTGGAAGGGTGGACGAGCGGCGGCAGCGGGGTACGCCAGCTGAAGCCGCGGCGCCCAGCCACTGCGCGTGTCGGAGTCCAGCGGCTGGCTGCCGGGCTGATCCGCAAGGAGCATGTGCAGCTCCGGCAGCTGAAACAGGCCCGGCAAGGCTGAAATTGGCATGGTTGCAGGGGCGTCCGTCATCGGGTGGGTCCCCTGCTCCACCAGGCTCCGAAATTGAGAGCGGCGGCAGTTCTGCGTGTTCATGAAGAAGAAGGGAAGACCCCCAGAATAGTTCAGGAGTTGGTAGTGCTGGAGTGCCGCCCACCCTCGGCGTGGAGCGCTGCCCACCGTCAGCCTTCGACCGCTGCTCCGCACCTCCCAGGAGCAATGTTCAAAGAGTTTAAATGGTTCATCGGATTGTTCATTACACACATTGTGAGTGCAAAAGCCAAGAATGGGGACAAGGGGAGGCAGAGGGCCCCGTTCCAAATTTGTAATAATGTGGTCGTCGCCGGAAAATGTGGCACCGGGGCGGAGGGCAGAGCAGCCAAAGAGAGCATGCTGGTAGGAAATCTATTTCAGGAAGAAGCACAAACTGAACGAGCAGGCAGCAGTAAAAAAGTACATCCATCAAAGGGGTTCGGTAGCGCTACACGCGGTGACAGTGTTGGGCTGGGAGGCGTGCTCCCTCCTTCCTCAAGTTCACACCCGCGCGGGCTCTTCCTCGATCACGCTGACCTGGAACGCGTCGCTGGAGCCCTCCGAGGGCTCGCCTTGTCCCTTCTTGCCGGCGCCGTGCTGCTGCTGCTGCTGCTCGCCCTCCTCCACATCTGCCACCTGGCCCTTCTTGGCGCTGGGCTCGGGGAGCAGGAAGCCGGGGTGCACCAGAATGTAGGTGGCCACGCTGAGCAGGATGGGGAGCGTGTCGAGCGTGTAGAAGAGCACCTGCAGCACAGCAGGGTGCAGGGAGGCCCGGGTGGGCACAGAAAAGGTCAGGCAAAGTGCTGCAAGTGCTCGCTGAGGACGGCAGCGGTGGCCGTCGGCGCTGTGCCAGGCCCCCAAGGCCTGCCACTCCTCACCTGCTGCTCGCTCAGCACGTAGGTGTCGTCGGGCGGGGGCCACTCCAGCACGGTGGCCTGCACAAACTCCACAAAGCGGAACAGGTTGCGGATGTAGAGCATGGCCATGCCAAAGTAGAGGCCGATGAATAGCTTGCGCGTCTCGGCCTTGCCCGTCAGGCCGTTGCTGCAGCAACCAGGGGGAATGAGAGGCAGGCGCATGGCACGTCAGCTTGAGGCAAAGCAGGAAACGGCTGCCACACAGGGCAGCAGGGCAGCGTGCAGGGTGGCAGGTGAGCAGCATCGGGCAGGGGATTGGGTGTGGCAGCAGGCCAGCTGGATCGCGGGCGTGGCAGCAGCGAGCCCCACCTGGGGTGGCGGTGTGTCCAGATCGTGAGCACGGTGAAGGCGATGAAGCAGATGAGCTGGATGGCCAGCCCCGCCAGCGTGATGCCGCACCCTAGCCGGATCTGATCCTGGTCGGGGTTGCCAGAAGACTGGGAGGAGGCCCAGATGGAGATGCCGGCAGCCTGGACGCTGCAGGCGGGGCAAAAAAAATAAAAAAAAGGCCTACGGGGACAACAGTGGCAATCCCATCAGCAATTGGCAGCAAGACAAGGGAGCTCACATGATTGCAAACAGGTCTGCGCCGGCGAACGTGGTGGTGATGACCCAGCCGCGCAGCCTCTTGCGGCCCCCGCAGGAGTCTGGAGAGAAAGACCAGCACCAGGCCGCCTTGCAGGCAGGAGGAGGGAAGGAAGGCGGACAGGGGCTGGTCAGGCCGGCATCTGCTGGCGGAGAGCAGGGACCAGGTGCAGCAGAGAGCAGGCATGGCTTCGGGTGTGCTGACCGGCTGGCCGGCTGGCAGAGCCTGAGGGCAGGCGGGCAGTCGGGGGCTCACCAGCCAGTACATGGCGGCCTGGATGAGGTTGGGTGCCAAAATGATGAGGACCTGCATCGCCACGTAGGCGTTGAACACGCTGGTCTTGCCGCTTTGGTCAATGGCATAGACCAGGGCTGCATAGCCTCCTGCCTCGCAGAGGCACGTGACACTGCACAGGCCGGGGGGCCGGGAAGGGAATGGAGTGGGAGGGAGCGGGAGAGGCGAGGCCGGTCAGCATGTGGCATGTGGGTGAACGATGCAGGTGTCGGCAGGCCCGCACAGGGGGTGGAGCCAGCAGGGCGGGCGGAGGGGCAGAGGAGAGGGCAGGCGGCGGCGCACGTGATGAGGTGCACAAAGCGGTAGCTCCGCCGCTTCTCGGTCATGAGGCCCACCACCAGGGCAATCACCGCATAAAGGGCCAGCGCGGTGGCGGCCAGCCCCATGGTGGGCCAATACTCGAAGAAGTCATACTGCAGGGGTGTGGGGGGGAGGGGAGCTTGTCAGCTCACTACTACGACTTGTGAGGCTCCAAAGCCAGCCACTCCACAAGTCGCAACAGCCTGCCACACACACATGCCTGCCGGACAGAGCCAACTCACGATGGTGAGTTCGTTGACATCATACTGCTGCTCTTCAGACATGGTGGCAGGGGGAGGAGTTTAGGAGATGCGCTGGTGGCTGGGCTTGTGAAGGTGCCTGCAGCCAGGTGCGGGGCGCCGGCGGCGGCCACACCACGGGTTAGCGGCAAGGGCAAATGTGCACAGTGTCGCCCACCGGGCATGCTGTGTGTGTGACTGAGGGCAAGGAGGGCAATGCACCAAGCAGCGACAACGGGGCGAGGTGTCATGTTTTGCGCGTCGGGTTGACGGGAGCACCCCTCCCCAAACCCTGGCAACATATCATTGAATGCAAGGACACGCGCACCGTTCGGTTCACGCTCGTCTGCAGCACAAGGGGGCAGGCCCTGTGGGACTTGGCCGGGGGGGATGTGCGGCGGCAGGTTGGCCGGGCCGTGTGGGAACAAAGAGTGCTCGAATGCGGTGTAGCGAGCTTCTATACTGCCAAAAAAAATCGTCCGACAAACGCTTTGTGAACCGGGCCATCTACCCCATCACCTAACCACGTAGGCGCCCTGCACAGCAGTTGCGCTTGCACACAGCTGAATGGGTCTCGACAAGTGGCTCAGAAAGGTGCATCTGGATCGGAGGTGCACGAGCTCACATGAGCCCGTGTGCCTGCGCCTGCCCACTGTCGGTGGCTGACGGCAACTGGGGTGCCGCAAGTCTTGCACTCATGAGCTGGCCACCCCGTGCCAGCAGTCTACAGATATTGTGCAAGCCCTGCATTTGCTGCTGCAGGTCACCACGATGTGCACTCTGTTGGCCAGATGGTGCTGCTCCATCTGCCACCTGCATCGTCGTCCACGCCCTGCAAACCCCGCTCGCTGATGCCGGCTCGCTGATGCCGGTGCGCTGCGGGCATGCATTTACAGTGAGCGACAGAGAGCGCAAATAAAGTGGTCAACCGCAAATGGCAGGAATTGACGGGCACCGAAGGGGTAGCGGGCTGAGGGGAGCAAAAGGGCGCAAGGCCAGAGCGGTAGGGGGAGAAGATCCAAGGGGAGAGAGATCTGGATCTCTAGCCACCAAATGTAGCGGCTGCGCAGGTGTAGGTACTGATGCGTGGCGGAGCAGAGGCCCATCCCAGCAGGAGCGCTTTCCAGCCTTACTCAATGACCATGGCCTTCTGGATCTCCTGCTCAATCTGCTTCACATACTCGATCGCCTCGTGGATGTTGCCCCGGCTCACCATCAGCTCGCAGATCCAGGTGGGCAGCCCATCCTCCACGCACACCACCTGCACTCAAAGCCACGGCAGGCCAGGTGTACAGGCAGAGGGGCATGTGGAGGATCGGTGGAGGTGGCCAGGTGGGGCAGCCGGGGCACGCGCCACGCCGGGGCAAGCGCCACGGCCGCGGCCGCGCCCCGCCGCTCCCGTGTGCACCGCGGCGCGCACCTTCTCCCCTGCCTCCACCAGTGGGTTGGCGTACAGCACGTCCGGGCGGCCCTGGTAGGGCTTGAGGAAGTCGATGTCGCGCAGGCGACCCGTGCGCAGCGCATTCACGCTGTACTCAGCAATGTTGCGCAGCGGGCGGGCGGCCACGTTGGGGCGCGATGGGATGCCTGCGGAGGGTCGAGCGGGTGTGGTCGGGACGGGGGCCGCGCCAGAAGGGAGGAGTGGAGCGGGGCGGGAAGCGCCCGAAGGAGGTGGGGTGCGGGAGGGAAGGACGGCACGTGCCAGTACCGCCGCCGGCGCCGGCGGAGCGGGGCAGGCTGGCCCCCGCCCCGGGGCGGCCATGCGGTACGCCCATGCGGTACGCCCACACACCACATCCCCGCACCTGCGCTGGCCAGCAGCTGCTCCTCCACTAGGTCCACGCCCCAGGCCAGCAGGTTCATGGTCCGCACGGGACCGCCACCCTGAGGCCAGGCAGGCAGGCAGGCAGGCAGGCAGGGTGTCAAGACGACCTCCCAGCCAGCCACGGAGCCAGGCAGCCGCCGGCAGGCGCTGCACGCGGCGCGGCGGAGCAGGGTCGGGCGCAGCAACAGCGACACCGCCGCCCAGCAGCTGCCGCCGTGCGCCGCTCACCATGCGGCAGTTGACCTCGATCAGGCGCGGCCCCCGGCTCGTGTACTTGCCCTCAACATGGAACACGCCCTGCAGGGCACAGGGACGCACGCAGCAGGAGGTGCGTGAGACTCAGCGGCGTGCCGTCGCTGCCAAGAGCGACCGGGCACAGGAGGCGGCGTCCTGGCTGCCTGGGACGTGTGCATGCAACCAGCACCGCAGCAGCCTCCCAGCCCTCGCCACCAGCGGCAGCGCCACTCACTATCTGCAGCCCCAGCGCCTTGCAGCTCTTGACCGCCAGCTCCAGCAGCTCCCGCTGCTGGTAGGAGGGCAGGATGGAGGGGGAGTTGGAGCCGGTCTCGTTGAAGTAAGGCTCCAAGGTGGGCCAGTTGTCGGTGACTGCGCCATACACGGGCTCGCCCTGCGCAGGAGGGAGGGCGGGGGGGGGAGGGCAGGCGTCGGAGGGAGGAGGGTGGGGTGGAGGGGGTGGGAGTGGAGGGAGGCGCATCGCTGGCGTGTGGGACGCAGGCAACCAGGGGGCCAGCCAGGCACGCCGGCAGGTGGGCACGCCGGCAGGCACACCACTGCCGAGCCTTGCCTGCCACCAGAGGTCGAGCCACGACCCGTGCCCTGCCCCCACCTGCGAGAACACGAGGTCCACGTCCACCTCGGGCCCATCCAGGTACTCCTCCATCAGGCAGTTGGCGGACAGGCCCTTGGACTGCGGTCGGGGGTGGGACAGGGGTGCACGGGAATGGAGATGAGGTGGAGGACAAGGGGAAGCGGCGCCCAGGAAGGCGGCCGGCCGAATGGGAGAAGGAGGTGTTGTGCAGTCCACGGAGGTGTGAGGAGGTGAGCGGGCAGAACCCTCCCAGCTCCAGCCAGCAGACGGAAGGAAAGGAAACAGGGCAGCGGTGAGGGACAGATGCTAGCCACTGATGCGGCCGCACACCTACCTTGGCCTGTGCCAGCTCCTCTGGCGTCGCTTGCCGCACCACGCCGTTCTCGATGATGGTGGCAGCCAGCTCGTGGCACACCTGCGGGGCAGGGCCAGCGGCAGCGGCGCCGGCAGGAGGGTTCGCATGGCGGCCTGCCCCCAGCGCCACACAATCGGGGCCCAACACAAACACACATACACACTCACAAACAACCTCCAACTGCTTGCTTGCTATGTGCAACACACACAGGAGCGCTCCCTGGGCCCTCGCACCTTGTCGTACGCCGCCGCCAACGCCTCCTTGCTGTCCACCCGCAGCACGCCCAGCGAGGCCGCGCCGTGGATGGGCTTGATGACGGCGGGGAACCCCACATGGTCCGCCGCCTGCCCAGAGGGAGCAACCAGGAGAGGGGGAGCCAGGAGCAGGGGGGTGGAGGTTACTGCGCGGCTGGGAGGCCCGACGCGCACCAGCTGCGCCATTCGCCACACGCAGCGCCGCATCATGCGCCACCAATGCCTCCCATCCTCCGCCCGCCATCCACACACACACACGCACGCACGCACGCACGCACGCACGCACGCACACAAGCGCACACACAGATGTACCACAGGCCCCCACCTTGGGCAGGATGTCTGCCGAGGTGATGAGCATGTTGCGAGGCGTGGCCAGCCCCGCCTCCTCCATCAGCGCCCGCGTGGCGTGCTTGTCCCGCGCCGCATCCACAGCCTGCAGCCCAGCGCACCAGCCGCAGCCACGGCGGCGGTCAGCTGGCCGGGACATCCCATAACATCCAGCCGCGCCCGCTGCGCGCGCGCCGCGCTGCCAGCGCGCTGCCAGGGCCCCTGTCCCACCGCCGTACAGCCCAGCCCGCTGCCCCACCACCCACAGCACGCCCACGCGGCACATGCGCCACGCAGCTGCCCGTGCTGCCCACGCTGAGCTCGTGCTGCCCACGCTGAGCCCGTGCCCTTCCTTGCCTGCGGCGAGTTGGTGGCCAGCCCCAGGCGCTCGCAGAGGCGCGAGGCCAGCGGCATGGCCAGCTCGCAGAAGCAGGTCACCCCATCCAGGTCTCCCAGCTCCCGCTTGATCTTGTGGCAGGCGTCCAGGCAGCGGTCAAACACGGTGTCCCCATCCGACATGTCCAGGCCCACAAACTTCTCGATCTGTCCCTCCTCCACCAAGTGCTGCAGGGCAGGGCAGGGCAGGCGGCGCGGTGGTGGGCCGGGAGCGGCGTTGGTGGTGGTGGTGTGCGCACGGTGGTAGCAGGGGCAGCCGCCAGCTCAGGCGTCCCGACGCCTAGCTCTCACGCGCCACTGCCGAAGCTTGCCATTCTCGGCCCTGCCACGCATCATGCGCCACACACACACACACACACCACACCCCAGCCCCCCACCTTGCTCCACGAGTCGGGCCCATCAATCACAACAGACCGCACGCCCAGCTCCTTGGCCCGCTCTGCAGCAGCAGCGGCAGGCAGGCACGTTGATTGATTGTTATATGCAGCAGCCGGCGTGAGCATTGGCGCACGGGCGTGGGCCAGGGGGAGGCCTCTGCACTGAGAGGCCGGCGCCGAGGGCGGAGCCGACTGGCCAGCTCCCGGACGGCAAGGCTGCGCGGGGCTGCCCGAGAGGGCGAAAGAGCCCGAGCCGGCTGCCGCCACGCACCGAAGATGAAGCGCTTGGAGGAGTAGCCGGCTGTGATGAAGACGAGCACGGCGCCGCGCAGCACGTGGCGGCGCAGCCGCGCTCCCTCCATGGAACGGCTGTTCACCTTGTCCTGCTCACAGCAGCCCGGGCGGGGATGGCAGCGGCGAGGCGGGGAGTGAGCGACGCGAGCTTGCCGCCACCGCCGCTGATGCCGAGGAGCAGCCGCAGGCACAAGCGGCCCAGCCACAGCGCGCCACACGCCGCAACCTAGCCTGCCATCTCCGCCCGGCAGCGCTGCACCAGCAGGCGCACCAGCGGCATGGCTCCAAGCAGGTTGAGGGTTGGGGAGAGGGGCGTGGAGGCCAGCACCCGCTCGCGCTCGGTGGCGGTGAGCCCCTTGGGCAGGGACCGCACCACCGCCTCAGACAGGAAGTTGTGGGCTGCCTTGTCACCCTGCGATCATGGCAAGGCAGGCAGGCAGGCGAGGCATGGAGCAATGTGAGCAGGCTCCAGGGAGGAACAGGCAGGCATGCCAGCATGCCATCGACTACAGCCTGGCTGGGCTGTAGCTGGCTGGCAGCTGGCAGAAGAAGTGCAAGCAGCACGAATGGGGCGTGGTTCCATCCAGCTGCCGCCAGCGAGCTGCCGCTCAGCCCGCAGCGGCGCACCAGCGAGGCTGGGAAGATCTCTTTGGCTGACCGCAGGCTGCCGGGGGCAAGCTCATAATCCACCTGCGGATGCAATGCACGATGGCAGGGCCAGTCAGCGCTGCCGGCTGAGCTGCTGCTGGCAGGTAGGGCGGGACGGCGGCGGGGTAGCGGCGGCCGAGGGCAAGGGCAGGCGGCCGACCCCAACCGCACTGGCGCCTCACCGAGCCCTTGTAGCTGCCCATCCGGATCGGCATGCTGCCCGCCAACGTCGAGGTGCTGAGCTTTAGGTCGGCAAAGGTGGCGGCCACATCGTCTGCCATGGGCTTGCCCTCGTCGATGCAGGGGAACGAGCTTGCATCCAGCTTTCCCTCCTGCGGGGGCACGGAGCCCCCCTTGCCTGCTAGTGCCGCTTTCAGCATCCCTGCTCCGCCCTCCTTGCTCGTTTGCAGCTGGCGAGGTGTGGTACAACTGTGCCAGCAGCAGCGAGCTCGAGAGGGCGATAGATCGGCGCTCAGCCGTGGCCGCGCCCTGGAAACCCTGGCCACCTGGCAAGTTCGAGCTCAAGGGCCCACCGAATGAGATGAGCCCAGCTTCAATGCGCCTTGGTGTCACATGCACATCACATGCCATTTGTTGTGATGTCTGCCGCTTGCTACCCCACTGCTAGCTAGCCAGCGCCGGCATGTCTGAGGCATGTGTGGGCAAAACTGCAAGGCAGTCAGACCTCTGGTGCTCAGAAGGCTGCAGGTGAGTTTGCAAGTGAGGCAGGAAGCTGAACTAGATGAAGGGTATGACAGGAGGGTCATGCGGAACGCCATTCTGCTGCAAGCCGCCCCGCGTCCTGGACCCCTGCCCACCCGCCGCTGGCCGCCACTGCGACGCCCACACCTCACGCTGCATGCCATCCTCCCTGCCACTTTGCATTACATCAACAGTGCAGGCAGCAGCGCTAAAATTGGCTCTGCCGCGCCAGGTTGTTGCGGCTTTTGATGGCGCCCGCCCCCGTGCCCATGCTGCTCAGGCTGTGCAGGCAGAGGTAGGGAGACAAGTGGGCGCCCGTCTGCAGCAGGCTGGCCGGAAGCTCCAGCCTGCCCAGCTGCAGCACCGCCACGCTATCAAGCTCTGCCTCCGGCACTGCCGTCAGGATGAGCAGCCGCCGCCGCCTGGCATCCGCCGCACGCACGATGCCCAGCCCCAGGCACGGCAGCGGCGGCGGCGGCGCGCCAGCCGCTGGGCGGGCCGCCTGCTGGGGCGCCGCGCTGCACAGGCCCACCACTGCCCCATTGAGGGCGCAGTACAGCTGGCTGGCTGGCACGCTGGAGTGGAGCACCTGCATGGCACATGGGGGGCCAGAGGCCTGCGATTGGCCATGCGGTAAGGGCAATCATGGGTGCGCTGTGATGATGGGCAGCAGTAGGCAGCTCCCAACGGATGAGAGCTGGCAGCTGCTTCCACACAACATCACCGCCAGGCAGCACAGCCCGGCACAGCGCTTGCCTGCACTTCCAGGCCGTCGGCATCGACCTCAAACGGCACCGCCGCCGCCAGGCAGTCGCCCAGCTCGCCCGCCAGGCCCAGGCTGCCGGCCACCGGCGCTCTCGCTTTGCTGCCGTTCGCAGCCGTGGCTGCCGCGTCCAGCCCGCACTGCTCTATGCACTGCTGCGCCAGTGCCTCCCACTGCAGCGCACGCTGCTCTACCGCATTCAGCCGCCCCTTGCCGCCGCCGCCGCCAGCCAGCGTGGCATCCGATGCTGCCGGGCCCAAGGTCGCGGCGCTCCTGGCAGACGTCTCCGACACCGCCGGCTGTGCTGCTGCCAGGTCCCCTCCCAGCCCCGGCAGCAACCACTGAGCAGGCTGCAGCTGCGCCTGCTGCTGCGGGGCGCCATTCAGCCAGAAGGTGCCGGGGGGCAGGTTCTTCTTGGGGTTGGCCGCAGCAATCTGCACCAGGTGGCTGACTGGCAGGCTCTGCAGCAGCTCAACCAGCACATCAAACCCCATGCCCTTCACCCAGCCGTGCGTGTTGACAACCAGCGGCGGCAGCCGGTGCTGCTGCGCCGGCTGGCCTGCCACCGCCGCTGCTGCTGCGTGCTGGCAGTACCATCTGTACAGTTCCTGAATGTACTGCAGGTACCGCACGGGGTCGCTGGCAGGGGAGGTGTCCCCGGCGAAGAAGGCTGCGACCGGGCGCCGCTGGTGCATGTGTGGCGGGCCTAGCACCGGCTGCCGCACCAGGCTGAGCGACACAAGGCCGGGAGCCGTGAACTCGGGCTGCCCGCAGTCTGCGGCAGCAGCAGCAGGAAGACCATGAGGGATACTGAACTCCCAAAACCTCCTGCACCCGGCCTACCTTCGCTCCACCCCACCCCACCCCACCCGACGCACCTGTGTCCAAGTAAGCCACGCAGGCATGCTTGCCGAGCAGGGAGTTGACCAGGAAGCGAGCAAAGGTGGACTTGCCGACCTTTTTGGCGCCGCAGACGACGATGAGCGGCGGGCCACCGCCCTGCTGCGCCTGCTGTGCCATGCTGTCCTCCACCTCACCCGCCGCCTGCTGCCACAGCGGCGGAAGGGGTGCCACCCCTGCCACTGGCGCGCTAGGGTCGCTGGCCAGCCAGGCTTCAAAGCCTAGGTGGACACCGGCGGTGCTGGCCTCTGCAGCGTCGCCATCCCGGTGCTGCGCCTGCTGCTGCTGCTGCTGCTGGGTGGACTGCCTTGTGAGCGGCGTCCCAGGTGGACCCACCCCAGGGCTGCTTTTCCCTGGGGCTCTGCCCAGCGTGAACACGGCGGTGCTGCTGGCAGCGAGAGGCACCGTGCCCAGCGATGCCCCTGGCTCCAGCACCAGCGCCCCGCCGCATCGCTCATCCGCGCACACCTCCACGCAGCCGCTGGCGGCGGTGAAGGTGCAGCCAAAGGTGGCCACCTCGCCGCTCTGCACCTCCAGGCTGGCCCGCCCCACCAGCAGCAGCGCCTGCAGGGCAGGGGTGAATAACAGCAGGCAGCGCAGCGTGAAAATAGAGCGCAGGGCAGCATGGCACGCAGCTCTGTGTCGGCAGCAATTCAGGAAGGAAAATAGCTCAATCCCGTCGAGGCACGGACCTGGCCCGCAGGCAGGGTGACCGTCCCGCCCTCAGCAGACCAGACCAGGGGTGACGTGCCGCTGCCACTGGTGCCGCCACTCCGGCGGCCCTGCTGGGAGTTGGCACGCTTGGCTGGGGACTCCTCGGCGGCCACCGCCGACTTCCTCTTCTTTTTGGAGCCCATGTGAAGCAAAGGCTGCCGATGGGGAGGGCCTGCGGCCACGCAGTGACGAATGGCAATGCGGCTCTACCGCTGATGGCGATAGAAACCGCCTGGCGCTGAAAAAACTCGAGCACGATCGCCAGGTTCCCACGGCGATATGCATGCATGTGCAGGCGGGCGCCCCGGCAAATGCGGAGGAAGGCTGGAATGCCCAAACTGCACCAAGCTGGCTGCGTTTGCCGCTGGATCATTCGCATCGGGTAATTGGACCTCCAGTGAGTGTGTGGAGCGCAATGCAGCAGGCCAGTGGCACAACGCTGAGCGCTGCCACTGCCCCAGCTCGGGCTGTGCGCAGGCGGGCGTCTGTGGCGGTGCACGCTCGTGCGGTCCAGGTGCGATGTGGGCAGGGGCTTGCTGCTGGGATGGCGGCTGCCGCCTGCATGACCTGGCGACGGGCAGCGCCATGGCGGCAGCGCCCGTCAGGGTCGAGGGCAGGGGCGAGCCCAAGGAACAGTTTTGCTCCATGGCCCACTTCACTTACTTATTTTGCCTGGCCTGGACCTGACCTCCACCTGTGTGCAGTTCCGTCCCTGCATCGATATCCACAAGGTGAGCTGTGCCAATGCCGCTGCCCTGCCGCCACCCCGCCTCCATCCCCGCCCCAGCGAGTGCAGAGGCCTGAGACCGTTTCATGCGCTGTTTGCAGGGCCAAGTGAAACAAATTGTGGGATCCACGCTGCAAGACCTGCAGAGGTAGGCACCAGTTTCCTTGTGATGCATTCATGCCCGATGCCAGGCCGTGCAGCCTTCGCCACAGGTTGGCTGGCCTTTTGTGCCAGGTCGAACCTTGTTTCACGCCATCCACCCCACTCCTTCTTCCCCGCCTGCAGCGGCGGCGAGCAGCAGCTGCAGACGAACTTCGAGTCGGAGCAGCCGTCCAGCTGGTATGCCGAGCTGTACAGGCGCGATGAGCTGGCGGGCGGCCACGTCATCATGCTGGGCGCAGACGACGCCTCCCAGGCTGCCGCCCGCGCCGCGCTGGCGGCCTACCCTGGTGGCCTGCAGCTGGGGGGCGGCGTGACGGCTGAGAATGCTCAGGAGTACCTGGAAGCGGGGGCCAGCCACGTCATCGTCACCTCCTACGTCTTCCGCGAGGGGCGGCTGGAGGAGGAGCGCCTAGCCGACCTGGTGAGCAGGCAGTGTGACTGTTTGTTTGTTTGACTCGAGCCAGCCAGCCTCCTTGGGCGGCGCCTGGCCCTGCATGATTGAGTGCCAGGCTGGTGGTAGCTGGCTGTGCTGGCCGGCTGCTGCCGGGCTGCTGGGTGGGCCGCGTCTCACGCGCCCGCCTCTGCCACCACCAAGCCCACCCGCTTCGTGTTCTGCAGGTCAAGCTGGTGGGCAAGCAGCGGCTGGTGCTGGACCTGAGCTGCCGCAAGAAGGAGGATGGCAGGTACTACGTCGTCACAGACCGCTGGCAGAGGTTCAGCGAGCTGGCGCTCAGGTGCGGGCTGCGGCCACCACGGGCTCAGCCACCCCTGCCTGGTCGTGTTCTCCCGCACGGATCAACCCGCCTTGCGTCTTTGCCGGCACGCCCCCAGCTTCCCACTCCCCCAGCCTGCCTGCCTGCCTGGCATCCGCTCACCCACCCCCTGCCCACCAGCCTGCCTGCCCACCCGCCTTCACCTCGCTCGCAGCATGGAAAGCCTGGCCAAGCTTGCTGAGTCGTGCGACGAGTTCCTGGTGCACGGCGTGGATGTGGAGGGCATGCAGCTGGGCATTGACGACGAGCTGGTGGGGCTGCTGGGGGCCTGGTCCCCCATACCAGTCACATACGCCGGCGGCGCCCGCACCCTGGTGAGGCGATGCTGGCTGGGGCCGGCTGGAGGTGGAGGTGGGGTGGGGTGGCAGGCTGGCGGCAAGGCATGCCCGGCTGTTGCCGCCGCCGCTGCAACTCTGACAGCAGCTGGGGCGTCTGCTGCCGTGCGAGCGGCGCCGGGCCTGGCCCCGCGCCGGCTGCTTCGTAATCATGGGGTGGCGTGCTTGGCTGGCGGGCGCTGCGCAGGAGGACTTGGAGCGGGTGAGGAGGGCGGGCGGCGGGCGTGTGGACATCACCGTGGGCAGCGCCCTGGACATCTTTGGTGGCCAGCTGCCTTACGCAGACGTGGTGGCCTGGCACAAGCGGCAGCAGGCGGCGGCAGGCAGCCCGCCGCAGCCCGGCAGCAGCAACGGCAGCGGCGGCAACGGCAGCGGCAGCGGTGGCGGCGGCAGCGGCAGCAAGCCGCTGGGCGAGCTGCAGGCCGACGGCACGATTCTGTTCCGGGACCTGCACCTCATGGGCACAGCAGAGATGGCCTCTGATGGCACCTACACCTACAGCTTCTGATGACCCCAGCTGCCCCTGCTGGCCAGCTCAGTGACAGCCGCACGACACGCCATTTCATTTGCACTGTTTCTCCCGCAATTCATCTCCAGATTATTTCCATCCCCTGCTGACTAGCAGGCAGTGTGCCCGCTGACCCTCCGTTCCCCGTCGCCCCTGCTGCTTAGCGCTTGCCCCGCACACCATCCTGTGCTGCAGTATTGTTTTTGCTGAATAGGCTGAAGGTTACATTCTGTGACTGCCAGGACAGCAGAAAAGAAATGAATCAAAGTTCTGCGGCTGAGTACATATACTGTTGGAAGGAGTACAGGGCGGCGTGGTCAAAACTGTGGAGGTGGCTGGAAAAGGGGCAGTGCTGTCAGCAGGGTCTGTAAAGATGCAGAGGCGGCCCTCTGCCGGTCAGTCAAACACATCGCCAGGCAGCATGGCGGAGCGCCGCCACATCAGCGCTTGCCCTGGCCACGCAGGCCGCCCATGCCATGCATGCCGCGGTGCTGCTGGTGCTGGTGCTGGTGGTGCAGGTGCCCGGGGCGGGCTCCATGCATCTGGTGAGCCAGGCCGCCCGCAGCGGCGGCAGCCCCGGAGGCGTAGGCAGCCGCCACGGCCGCCGGCGCGGGTTGCGGCGCCGGGTGTGGCTGCCCGTCCTTCCAGACAACGGGCTCCCAGCCAAAGCGCTTGCCCCAGTCGTACATCTCCCGCAGCTTGGCCTCAAAGGCGCCCTCCCTCACCAGCTGCTGGTACACATCGTACAGCCTGTACCGCAGCCGCCGCATCACACAACCATGTGGGTGGTTTTTGGCTGGCAGCTCCTCGCATCACACAACCCTGTGCATTCAGCGCCTCCAGAGCCACGGGTGCGCTCCCAATGCCTCGGGCGATTCATGCAGCCTTCCAGCCGCATCCCCGCCCCTGCATCTCCCCACCACTCACTTGAGCGCGGTGGCCGCATCCTCGATCGAGTCGTGGGTGTGCTCCTGGATGGAGCAGCGCAGCAGGTAGGAGGCCAGGAAGCGCAGCGACAGCTTGCGGGAGCGCTTGGCGTGGAACAGATCCACGGTGTCCACGATCTGGTGAAGGCGGGGTGGCAGGCGGCAGGGGAGGCGCACGGCACGGGTTCAGGCGCCAGGGCCCCAGCGGAGGGAGCAGAGGCTGGTGTCCGGTGGGTGGCTGGTGGGGCAAGGGGCTGTACAGACCTGGAGCTCCCCTCTCTCTCTCTCTGTCCACACCCCCCCCCACACACACACACACCACCACCACCGCTGGCCGCCGCCCGGGTGCCCACCTGGCTGGGCGGCACCACAATGTTGATCATGCGGAAGTCCTTCTTCAGGCCGTGCCCCACAAACACCGCGCCGCAGTCCACCAGGTGGCGCAGCTTGAGGTAGGCGTGCTTGAGGGTGGTGAGGTGGTGCGGGGAGCGGGCCGGGTCCAGGTCGCCAGGCACCAGGCCGCTGCGGGGAGGGCAGGTGGTGGCGCTTTGGCCGCGGAGCTTGCATCATATGCATTCTGACCAGTTCCGGGCTCATCTCATGATCCCCTTTGCGCTGTCCCCTGCTCCTGCCATTTCACACGTACACACACAGCACCACCCCATCCCAACGCCGCGCACCCACGCACACACACAAACATACAAGCACCCCCAAAAAACTCTCTCTCTCTCTCTCTCTCTCTCTCCCCCTCTGCCCGGAGCCCACCTGAACTTGGTGAGGTAGTCGTACACAGGCTCCGCGCACTTGATGTAGTCGTCAATGCAGCAGGCGCCCTTGGCGGCGCCCTGCCCCCGCAGCACGCTCACCCGCGCCAGGCCCAGCCGCGACGGCCGCACCTCCACCTCCACCCCCCTGCACTCGACCAGGCAGGCAGGCAGGCAGGCAGGCCGTCGAGGCAGGGCGGCAATGGACTTGCCACAGCAGCCTGGGACCAGAGAGGCAAGCCAAGCCACACATACAGAGGCGCAAGCGCTGCACACAGCGCCGCCGCGGCAGGCAGACGCACAGCGTCGCCGCACCTCTGCAGCGCCTTTTCGGGCGGCGAGAAGGCCACAAACTCTGCGTCCAGCGCAAACAGCGACCCCGGCTGCGGCAGCTCGCTGGGCAGCAGCGGGGTGAAGGCGGGCTTGTGCAGCCGCACCTTTGGGCCCTGCAGGCAGGGGCCATGAAGGCCGGGCGGGCATGTGTGCGAGTGTGTCTGTGTACTTGAGCAGGCAGGCAAAGGCGGGTCGGCATGGAGCAAGAGAGCAGGGGTGATGAAGTGGCCCACGAATGCTTGAGCCTGCGCGATGCAGGCAGGCCTGGCGCAGCGCTGCTGACACGCACCTGGAGCGGCGGCATGCGGCACAACGACAGGAAGCCTTCCTGGCTCAGCACCGGCACGGGCGGCAGCGGGGGGCACTCCGCGGCCCGCTGCACTGCCTCCGTCTGCACCAGGCGGTGATGCCACGGCAGAGGGAGCACCATAGGAGTGAGGTCAGGGCGGGAGCTGGGCGCCAACGGCTGCACCCCAAATGCAACACCTGCGGCCCGCAATGAAACAGCGTGGTCCGTAACCGGGTGACCTCCTCCCCCTGTGCAGCTGGCGCCCACCTGTGAGTAGTACAGCAGGCAGGGCAGCTTCTGGCCGCCGTACAGCTCCCCCACCTCCTCTGGCATGCTGGCGGTGATGTGGAAGTCGTTGAAAACCATCCAGTTGTAGCGCTGGGGGGACCTGCGGGGGTGGGGTCAGGTGGGGAGGCAGCAGGGGGAGCAGGGGTGGAGTTGTCGGAGAGGAGGCGCTGGTCAGCTGAGGGTGGTGGAGAGTTGCCGAGGCAGCACCGGCTGCAGTTGGCGACGCTTTCTGCCTTGCCAAGCCACAGACGGATGCAGGGAGGTGCCCAGCCCGCGCTCACTTGTAGGGCGGCGTGCTGAGCGGCGTGGCCATGGCGGCAGCCAGGCTGTCGGAGGCGTGGCGAATGACCTCGCTCTCGCTGCTGCTCAGCGGCGGCGGCGACTGCGGCTGCTGCTGCAGCTGGCCAGGCGACGTCGGCAAAGAGACACCGCCCGCTCTGCCTGCTGCTGCCGCTGCGCCTGCGCCTGCCCCCGGCAGCAGCAAAGAGGCTATCTCGTGAGGCGATACAGGTGGCAGCTTCTGGGGCGTGGTGGGCGCGCTGCTGCTGTTGTTCATGCCAGCACCGCCACTGGCGCCGTTGCCGCTGCCGCCCGAGGCCCCCGCTGCTTGCGCGTCGGTGTCTGAGGGCGAGCGAGAGAGGGAGTGCGGCGTGCTGCCTGCTGGCGACTGCTGCTGCGCTTCAAAGTAGGTGGGAGGCACCTGCAGCGGAGGGTTGCAGTGGGCAGCCCAAGGTGAGGATGCTGAGCATGAGCCCCACTGTCCCGCTGGCGCCTGCCAGCATCCACCGGAGCGGCTGCTTACCTTGATGTGTGCTACCAAGTGTCCCTCATAATCCTGCCCCGACTCCTCCACCTCATCCTCATCCCTGCGCGAGGCAAGCCAACAGCATCCATGCGAGCGGAATCAGCAGCAGGATGCAGCAGCCAGGCACCTGCGTCAATGCCACGCAGCATACCCCGAGGTGTCACCACGGCCAATCCCCCTGGCCTCGCCGCCGTGCCTGCCAAGCTGGCAAGCCTGGCAAGCCCGCGCTTGCCTGATGAGCACCACAGCAGCCGTAAGCTCGTATACAGAGCGGCTGCCGCCTGGCGGCACCACCACACCCTCGCTGCCCCCGCCGCCCTTCAGCTCCTCAGCGCTGTCTGCCTCCTGCACCGCCACCGTCCAGCCATCGGGGTCGGCGGTCACGGCTACGGCCATGGGCAGCCAGTGGCGCTGCCGCGTCACCGCCTGGCCCTCCATGTCCACGGCGGCAAAGCTGTAGGGCTGCCACCAGCAGAGGTCCTCACGGTCCTGCACACCGCAGGAGCAAGCTGTCAGCGTGATGGGAACAGATGTGTGTTTGTGTGTGGTGGTGGTGGTGTGGGTCAAGAAGGGAGGGACTGAGTTGGGCAGGTGAGTACCGGCATCAGGGCAGGGAGGCAGAAGGGTGGGACGCAGCGCAGGAAGCAGCGCAGGAAGCTGCCCGCGCCTGAAGGCCGCAGTTGACCACCAGCACTTGGGGCAGGCTCTTGGGCACGCGCGTCTGGCGCACATACTGGTACTTGACCTGCACAGCAGGCTCAGCAGGGATGCGTGGCGTGTGCGCATGTGCTCGCTCCAGCCTAGCGCTCCACTTCCTCGATTACCAGACACGCCAGGTCGCCATCCCCCAGCAGCACATGATCAACCGGTGCCCAACAGCCTCCCCTCGCTCACCTCCTCGTCAAACCAGGCCCGCATCTCACTCTGCACCTTGAGCGACTGCTGCAGCAGCGCCGCAAAGCTGGGCCGCGCCGCGGCGCCCGCGGCCGCGGCCGCCGCCGCCGCCGGCGCGTCGGGGCTGGCGGGCGTGGAGCCGGGCGCGGGCGCCCTGCCCGGCGCCAGCGCGCTGCCGGGCGCGGGGCGCTCCTTGGCTGGCGGGTACCGCAGGTCTGCCTGGAACACACCCGCCTCCTTCACTTGGTCTGGGCGGTTGGGGCGGGACAGGCACTGAGTGCGCTGCAGCTGCACCAGGCCGTACACGGAATCCACCCAGGATCGCCGCCCGCCGCCGCTGCCCTCCTTGTTCAGGGCCTCCAGCAGGAAGCGGGACAGGCTCTGCACGCGGCGGGACAGGCTGCGGTCCTTTTTGGCCTCCACCTGCAGCCGGGGGAGGGGACATGGCACCGCAAGTGCCAAATCAGCAGGCCTCACACCTGGCGGCAGGGCAGCGCCTAGGCGTCCCCGGGCTAGTAGAGGCACGCACACATGCTGGCAAGCAGACGCGGCGACAGGCAGGTGGCCAGCCAGCCCACACCCACAACCTCTCCCTGTGCACCGCCGCCACCACCACCACCAGGCCCGCCGCACCTCGATGTCCGACGCGCCTCGCTCGCCCTTGACGCCCTCCAGCAGGCCCAGGCCCGCGGCCTCCTTGTTCTGCCGCAGCGCGCGCAGCAGGTTGGCGGCCTGACACACCATGCCCGAGGCGGCGGTGGCCAGCATGCGGAACAGGAAGGACATCTCGCACGTCAGGCTGAGCTCGGCGCCCGGGTCGGGCACGTGGCGCAGCAGCACGTCGCGGGTCGCAGGCGTGAAGAAGAGGGCCTGCGGGGCGGGGCAGGGGCGGCGGGGTGGGCAGGCGGGGTGGGCAGGCGGGCGGGACGGATTGGTGCGTGGCGCCCCCCCCAGCGCCACAGCATCTGGACAGCGGGCATGAACAAGGTACACAGCAAAGGGCCACAGAGCAAGCAAGATCCCCACACAGAGCAAGCTCGGCGCCGCCGCCGGTGCGCGGCCGGCTGCGCTGCGCCAGCACCTAGCCGGGGCCGCACCTGGAGCAGGGCGTTGGTGTAGCAGTTGGCCAGGTCGTTTTCCAGTCCGGTGAAGGGGGTGCGGTTGTAGTATGAGAAGTCAAACTCCTCAAACCGCACCCCCGCCTGCTGCTTGATGGCCACGCGCTTGTACCGCCCGGGCAGCATCACGCCGCCCGCCTCGGCGCGGCGGCGCACGCGCTCCGCCCGGGCTGCCTCTGTGGGGGTGGGGGCGCAGGTGGGCGGCACATGTCAGGGAGGGCAGCCAGCGTGAAGAGGGGGATGGGAGAAGGTACAGGATGCTGTGGCGGCAAGTCCCAGAACACCAACGTTCCCTTCCCCGTCATCCTCCAAGCGTCCATCCAGCCACCCAGCCACCACCACCACACCAAGTGGGCTGCGCCCCCTCACCCAGCTCCTCCATGCCCGGCCGGGGCTGCATCCGCTGGTTGCGCTGCGGCGCCGCGGCGCGGGTGGCGGCGCCGTACGGCGCCCCCCGCTGGTAGTGCGGGTTCTGGATGTAGCCCACAAAGTCAGACTGCGGCGGCGGCCGGGACGCAGAGGAGGCAGCAGTGGGAACGGGGACCGCAGCAGCAGCAGCGGTGGCAGTCGCACCAACTGTGGAACGCAGCGGCAGCGGGCTGGGCAAGTGCAGCACCGGCAAAGCCACAGTGGGCAGGCCCTGGCCACGGCGACCACACACCAGTCATCAGCGCACCCCCCCGGCCCACCTGCTTCATGCTTCTGAGCAGCGCGGCGTCCACCACCCGTGGCGGCAGCCCCACGCTCACGGTCTCATACGGATCCACATCGCTCAGCAGCCCGCTGGCGTCCCAAGCAAAGTAGGTGGGCGCCAGCCCAACAGGGTCCTCCTCGCCCAGGCTGACCAGCGCGGTGGGCAGCTCCGGCACCGCCAGCGCCTGCGGCGCGGCGCGAGGCGCGGCGACGTGCGTGAGCGTGTGGCGGGGCTGAGGAGGCGGTGATGGGAAGCTGGGGGCTCAGCTGATGTTCACCGCACCACGCTGCTGGCAGAACCTTGGTTCGAGCAGCAACGGCAGCCACAGGTCAGCCGTCGTGAGGGAGCCAGCACTGGCAGGAGCCTCGCCGGCCCCACAGCGCTGCGCAGCAGCCAGCGGCCCCCACCTGCCGCATCTGGTTGACCGAGGGCTCGGCGGAGGGTGCCCACAGGTGGATGTAGCCGCCGCTGCCGCCAAAGGCCAGGCACTCCCCGGAGCTGCTGATGGCGGCGCAGGCCAGCATGTCGCCCTCAGTCTCCACCTGATACACGCCGGCGGCTGCGGGGAGGAAAGGACGGCGTGGTGTGGCGGGGGAAGCGGGGCCTCCAGTGGATCAGGGGTGGTGTGGAAAAGGCACGGGAAGGGGGGCGGCAGGGCAGGGAGGGAGGCAACGCCGACAGAGAGCACAGGCGAGGTGCAGGCCAGCCCCTCAGAAACGGGCGTGGGGGACTCCCGAGGCGCGGCCTGCGCCCGCCCCCAGCCGCACCCGACATCCCCTGCGCGTCTGCCAGCGTGAAGGTGCCGCCCGCCGAGGCGAGCAGCAGGGTGTTGGAGAAGCGGGGGTGGAAGCGCAGCAGGGAGGGGCCTGCCGCAAAGGGCACGCTGGACAGCATGCGGGGCGACATGCGCACATCAAACACCTGCGGCCATGCGGCAGGCGGCAGGCGAGGGCTCAGCCAGCAGGCCAGTAAGGCAGGCAGCTGCCAGGGCCCACGGGTGGTATCCAGCAGGCATTGTCCAGTGCGGCTACCGTTCGCCTGCTGTGGGTAGCCAACTCCTGCCGGTGCCCCCACCCACCCGCCTTGCAACGACCGCCACCACCACTCTCACGCCCACCCACCTTGGCATATGTGTCCAGCGCCACCCGCCCCATGCGGTTGCTGAAGCCGCTGGTGGCCAGCAGGTCGCCCTGGGCATCCAGCGCTGCAAACCCTCCGCCGTGCGCCACCAGGCTGTGCTCCGGCCGGTAGCCGGCGCGTGGGTCCAGCAGCGAGATGGCGCCTTGGGTGGAAGCCATGATGAGAGCGCCGCGGCCGGTGGGGCCGCACAGGCCCACCACGCCACGCCCGCCGGTATCCGCCTGCGGCACAGGCAGCAGCAGCAGCAGCCGGAGCAGGGAGGGCAGTAGGGGAGCAGTGAGTGGCCCATCAGAGTATCGCAACAGATGGCAACGCAACAGATGGCTGTGGCAGAACAGTAGAGGAGCTGCTCCCCTGCGGGCCTCACCGTGCTGCTGGGCTTGCCCAGGCTGAGGTCGAAGATCACCAGGCCGCCGCCGCCGCCGCGCCCCAGCACCATGCGGCTGCTGCGCGGCTCCAGCGCCAGCGCCGCCAGGTCACCCACCTGAGGCAGCAAGCAGGCAGGGCGGGTGCTGCTGGAGCCCAGCTCCTTGCAGCAAACATGAAACAACGGCTCTGGCACCGCCTGGCACCTCGTGGCGCACAGCAGGGCCCCCGCCGCAGCACCACCCGCAAGCGCAGAGCAGCGGGCGCACCTCATCGGCATATGACAGCCGTGGCGCGCCGCCGCTGCTGTGCACCGTCACTTCCCCGCTGGACAGCGCCACGGCGGCCTCCCCCAGCGATTGCAGCTCCAGCACGGGCCCCTGGTGCGCCGGCAGGCTGCAGTGTCGGGCCAGCGAGGGGACCTGCACCTGCGCAACGATCCCGCCCTCCGTGCCCACCCACAGCGCTTCCTCGAGGAAATCGAAATCGACGGCGCTCACAACCTCCAGCAGCCGGGGGTTCAGCGCTGCGGAGTGCAGCTCGCCCCACAGGCCGCCTCCACCGCCATGCTGATTCCACATCTGGGGGCTCGGGGGCCCCACGGTGCCCGCCACAATCGACAGCGACGATCGTTTGAGCGATATAAGTTTTTCGGTGCCAGGTCATCGGGTGCGTTGCTGGGCAACCATCTCGGCAGCCCAGCGCGCACATTGCTGCATTTTTTTGACACCCACATAAACGGATCTGTCGTTTTGGAGTGCCAGATCGCTGTTTAACCCCATTCTCGACACGGTGTGTTCGCCAGGCCTCGCTCAGTGTTCCTTGTTGTCCTCCAACCTCCCAGCAAGACAGCAGCAGCATTTCCAGCCGCCCCTAGTCGCTGCAGACCAGGGGCCGTGGCCTGCCCCTGCGCCGCTCAGCCCCGCCGGCCAGCAGCGGTAGCCCGCGTGCGCCGGCAATATGGCAGCGACAGCAGGGCTGCCGGCGGGCTCAGGAGGAGACTTTGTGTTCCCAGTCTTCTACAACTACCCTCCCATGTTCACGTGAGTTCAGGGCCATTGCCTGGTTGCCAAGCGCTGCAGGCATCGCAACACCCTGCTGCCGCCTCCCGACCGTGGTGCAGGCTGCAGCCCGTGAAGGAGTCGCAGCAGAAGCAGCGGCTGCTGTGGAAGGACTTGATACTGCGCTACTGTAAGCACAACCGCATACACATGGTGCCGGCGGAGGATGCAGACGACTTCCCGCTGTTCCACAACCGGGCCATCAACCGTGAGCCACCGCTTGCTCGACTGGCAGCCTTGTGCACCTGCTGCGCATGCACGCCTGCCGCTGCCGCCAGCAGGCGCTCCTCCTGCTCATGGCGGTGATGCGAGGCTGCTGCCTGCCCTGACTGGGCTGTGCTCGTGCATCTTGTGCGGCAGGGCGGCTCAGCCGTGAGTTCAAGGTGCTGCTGCTGGATGACTTGGTGCGGCAGGGCGGCGCGCTGTGGTCAGACAAGAGCCAGCGCGCGGCGCTGGTGCTGTGGCGCGGCATCAAGGAGTGGGCGGACGTCATCTACCAATGGGCGCGCGGCTGCGGCTTTGAGGACAGCGTGGTGACGGTGGATGAGATGCAGGTGGGCTGGGGGCGGTGGGGAGGAGGCATGGGAAGGGGCGCCACGGCAGCAGTCGGCAGGCGGGAGAGCAGGCCCTGGTAGCAAGTCGCTGCGGGTGCGTGCTATACAGCAGGGATCTGCCTAGCGCCAGCCCCTGCCGTCCTCCCGCCCATCTTGTCCCCGTCACCCCTGTTGTTGGTGCCGCGCCTGCGGTGCAGACGGGTGTGCTTGTGGAGGGGACGGAGCTGGAGGGGCTGCACCGCGAGGTGCTGGTGCGGGCGGTGAAGCTGCTGGAGCAGCAGGGCAAGGCCAAGCTGTTCAAGGAGGCGGCGGGGGACGACGAGGGCGTGAAGTTCTTCACAGCCGCCTGATGCCTGCGCCACTCCCTGGCGCTCCGCTCCTAGTCGTGTCTAGCCGCAAAACCCTGTTGCCCTCGACTTGTCGCCCTCCCCTGCCCCTCCTGGTTCAATGTACTCTGATTGCTTCAGCTCAATTATTTCTTTCAATTACATCGTGAAATCGGGATCACCCGGTACCGTGTGGTTGGTTGCGCTGCGGGCGAATTCCAGTGCTGCTCCTCGTGCATGGTGGCGCAGGGCAGGTGAAACAACAGGTGAACGTACACAGAGGGGAAGGCGCTAGAAACAGTGCGGCAGGTGCGTGCACGCGGGTGTAGAGGAGAGGAGCGGCGAGCAAGGTATCTATGCATGGGAGCCAAAAAAGCGTGTGCAAGCACAGGTGTTAAAGCAGTCAGTGCTAAGCCGTGCTCAAGATGTGAATATTTCATTTGTTTCGGCATTGGTTTCGCTGCCAGGTTGGGGAGCAGCATGGTAGGGGAGCAGCCATGTCGAGGTGGACGGATCATGTCCGGCAAGCGATGCTCGTAGGCATAGCCGAGAGCGGTGCTCGAGACATAGCCGAGGTTGAGAATCGCGAGGGACCTCAGACCTTGGCATCCACGGTAGCCATGAAGGAGATCAAATCATTCATGCGCATACTGTAGCCGAATTCTGCACCAAACGGGAAGATAGCAGGGTTTCAGCATTCTTTTAGTGACTGCGAGCTGATCGACAGCACCTGGACAACCGGAACCCTGCCTCGCCCACCCACAATGCGCCCACACACCACGCGCCCACCATCTGCCGCCACCCACCATTATGCCGCTGCCGGCAGCTTACCACCCCTTCCTCCCCTGCCTGCCTGCCGGCATACCACTCACCGTTGTCGTACCACGACACCAGCTTGACAAAGGTGGGGGACAGCATGATGCCGGCGCCCGAGTCGACGATGGAGGAGTGGGTGTCGCCCACAAAGTCGGTGGACACGACCGAGTCGCTGGTGAAGCTGCGGGGAAGGAATGGCGGCAGGGCGAGTAGAGGGCGGGGGAGAGGGGTGAGTGTTGTGTGTGTGGTGGCCACGGCTACCCCCCCCACCCCCCACCCCCCTCCCATACACACAAACACACACAGTGGTGCTGAAGAGGCGTCAGCCGTGCAGGCGAGGGAGCGGGCCAGAGGCGCCGGCCTGGCGCCGCACTGCCAGCAGCCTGAGGCTCACCCCAGGATGCCCTTGAGCTCCTCCTCGGAGGCGCGCTTCAGCTCCGCCATAATCTCCTCGTAGCTGGTGGCGGTCTCCAGGTTGACCGTCAGGTCCACCACTGCGGCAGAGCATGTGTACGCACACGCACATGTGCACACACAGCGGTCAGAGGGAGCCATAAAGTGAAGAAGACACGGGAGACCGAGGGGAGCGAGGAACAGATCTGAGTGGGGTGGGAGGAGGCAAGGGGCTGCGGGAGCGCGGCACGCGGCCCAGCAGCCCCAGGCGGCGCCTCACTACTCACCCGACACGTTGGGGGTGGGCACGCGGAAGGCCATGCCCGTCAGGCGGCCGTTGAGCGCGGGCAGCACCTTGCCCACTGCCTTGGCGGCGCCGGTGGAGGAGGGGATGATGTTGGAGGCGGCGGCTCGCCCGCCGCGCCAGTCCTTGCGCGAGGGCCCGTCCACCGTCTTCTGGGTGGCGGTGGTGGCGTGCACCGTGGTCATGAGGCCCTCCTTGATGCCTGCAGGGGGCGGGGCGGAGGGCGCGCCGGAGGAGGAGGGGACGGAGGAGGAACAGTGTGAGAAGCGTCGCTCCACAGCAAAGCATCGTGAGCTTGCGACTCCAAAGACATGAGAGGCTTGGGGAGGCGACCGGGGGTGGTAACTAAGTCAGCGCCGCTCGCTCCCTCTCTTTCCCTCTTCTGCCAGCCTGTCCCGCCCTGCCCCGCTCACCGTACTTGTCGTGCACCACCTTGGCCAGAGGCGCCAGGCAGTTGGTGGTGCAGGAGGCGTTGGAGACGACCTTGAGGGAGGGCTCATACTTCTCGTGGTTGACGCCCTGCGGTACGGGTGGGGCACGGGGGCGGTACGGGTGGGCTCCAGGGTGCGCAAGGCGAGGACCTCGCAGCAACAGCTCAGTGCCGCTGCGCGAGCATGCCACGCAGGGCAGCTGCCACGCCAGCCTGCCAGCCAGCCTGAAGGCCCCCCTCCGCCCCCAAATCAGCTCACCACAACAAACATGGGCGCGTCGGCGGAGGGCGCGGAGATGACGACCTTCTTGGCGCCGCCCTTGAGGTGGCCCGAGGCCTTGTCGATGGTGGTGTACACGCCGGTGGACTCGCACACATAGTCGGCGCCAGAGGTGCCCCACGGAATCTCGCCGGCGTCGCTGCAGGGGTGGCCGGGGGCCGAAGGGAGGGCGGCGGGTGACGAGGGCAGGAGGGCGACAGGAGGCTGCCCCCAGCTGCTCCAGCGTGGCGCATCATCGGATCCCCATCGTCGGTGCAACCCGCCAAGCCCGCACACAAACAGCCAGCCACGCCACGCGGGGAGCCAGGCCCGCTCACAGCTTGGCGTGCACCGAGATCTTCTTGCCGTCGATGTACAGGCCGGTGTCGTCGCCGTGGATGTCGTGCGGGAAGCGGCCGTGCACGGAGTCGTACTTCAGCATGTAGGCCATGTACTCTGCGGTACAGTCGGTCAGGCGGTACATTCAGCACATCAAGCAGAGTCACTTGCAGGCACGGCAAGCAGGGCAGTGGGGTGGTGCAGCAGGCATTTACTGTGCATGGGGAACTGATAAGGGCGCCCCCACAGAAGCGCACAGTGCGTTAAGCTAGGCCCGTGCCAGGCACGCACCAGCATCCACAAAGGGGTCGTTCACGGCCACAATCTCCACGCCGGGGTGCAGCATGGCCGCGCGCATCACAAGCCGGCCTGCACGGGAAGGCAGGGTGCAGAATGGTTGGCTGGTCAAGGTGTAGGACGTCTGGCGGGAGCCGGGTTTGCAGCCTGGCCGGCTGTGGCAGGTATCCCGGATGCGCTGTTGACAGCACTCAGGCACCCTTGGCTGAGCAGGGGAGCAGGTCCAGCGCTGCACAGCAGCAGCAGGAGCAGCAGGAGCAGCAGGCACTGCACGCACCGATGCGACCAAAGCCGTTGATGCCGACCCGCACCGTCTCCTTGCCGCCCTCGCTGGCAACGCTGGGCGGTACCACCACCTGCACGCAGGCAGGTGAAAGCAGGGTCGACGGCAACGTCGCACAATGGCCATGCATGGAGCATCCTGGCCGCCTGACAGTGTGCAGGCTGGAGCGGCGGCAGGCGGCGACCCAAGCTGGCGGCCGTCAAACCCTGGCACCCTCCCCGCCCCGCCCCGCTCCCCACTCGCCTGCTTGTCATCCACGTATGCCTGCACCTTGACTGGTGCCCGCGCAGCTGCAGCCGCCGCACGGCGGGGGCGCGCCGCCAGGGGCTGCCCTACGATGACCCGGCTGCTGGTGGCCTGCATGCTGTTGTGAAGAGCTGCGGGGGACTGAACCCTACAAACTGGAATGCGGCTGGCGAGGCCTGGGGTGGAGATCGGAAAACGGGCGGGTGATCGGGGAGTCAGAGACTTCTGCCAGAGCAAGCAAACTGCTGCAGCAGGATGACCGGGTGCCAGGGCCAGGATGCAAGGTGAGGAAGGAGCGGGGTGGGGCCAGAGGCTTCATGGGGGCACAGCCCTAGTCGCCGTGGCCAGGTGAATCACTGAGAATCGGGTGCAGCCGCCGTTTGAGCGCCTTGCTGGGCTTGAACATGCTGCATGGCCTAATCCAGAAGGGGCGGGCCCAAGAGGGCCTCTGGGCTGTTGGGTCCCTGCCGCCTCTCTTGCACGCCGCCGCGTTGCCGCCGCTGCCGCAAGGCCACCGCAAAGCAGGCAGGTCTGAGCTATTGTTGGGCTCTTGCTACGAAACAATATCAAATAACGTCTCAATTGTCAGTGCGCCAATTTGCTGACAATCAGGTTCAGGATTTTCCCCGGCACGAAGATGACCTTCTTGACGGGCTTGCCGTCCAGCTGCTTGGCCACCGCGGGGATGGCCTGCGCCGCCACCACCGCGCCGTCCTGCCCAATATCAACCTCCACCTCCACCGACCCTCGCATCTTGCCGTTAACCTGCCAGGAGTGGTCAGGCCGCAGGGGCTGGTCAAGGATCAGCTCAGCAGGGATGCAGGGCCAGGACAAAATATCCACCCTGCCGACGCAGGCTGGCAGCACAGCAGCTGGGCGGACACCGCCCGCCCGCCGGCTTCCCCCCGCACTCCCTCACCTGCACCGGCAGGTTGTAGGTGGTCTGCACAAGCAGGCTTTCATCCGCCTCGGGCCAGGGCTCGTATGCCAGGCTGCCGCTGTGGCCCAGCACAGACCACATCTCTTCCGCTGCAGGCAGGGAGGGAGGGGGGGGATGCGTGGATGGCGGCGCAGCAGTACCGCCGGGGCGATGGTGGCAGGACACCACATGCGGCACCCTGCGTGGCTTCCCTGCTGCATGCGCGCACCACCACCACCACCAGTTCCATTTCCCAACCAAACATCCATTCGTGGACCGCCACCACCAGCCGCCGCCGCCGCCTCACCCAGGTGCGGCGCGTAGGGCGCCAGCAGCAGCAGGAAGGGCTCCAGCGCGGCCTTGGGGCGGGCCTCCCACTTGTAGGCGCCGTTGACAAACTCCATCATGGCGGCAAGGCCTGTGTTGAACCGCATCTCCTCGGTCTCCTCGGTGACCTGCGTGGACAGAGGGAAGGAGGAGGCAAGCAGGGGAGTGGAGCGGGCAAAGAAGGGGAGGCAATGAGGCGCGGTGGGCGCGGTGGGCGCCACATTTCGGCAGAGCAAGAGCAGTCGCTGAATGGCACGGCAGCGCGGGCATTCTTTTGAATCCTGCGCTGGCCGGCCCCCACCCTGCCGCCGGCCGCGCCCGCACCTTCTTAATGGTCTGGTGCAGGAGGCGCAGCTGGTCCTGGCTGGGCGGCGCGTCGCTCAGCGGCTGCTCCGTCACCAGGCGGTAAACTCGGGCCAGGAAGCGGTGCACGCCCTCCACGCCCTTGGTGGACCACACCTGCAGCAGGGGAGGGTGAGAGAGAGCGGGTGGCGAGGGAGGGAGGGAGGTGGTGGGGGAGGGAGGGAGGCAGGGAGGCAGGAGGTGGGGGAGGCAGGGAGGCTGGGAGGTGGGTGGGAAGGAGGGATGCATGCCGCGGCAGCAGCAGGCACATTGTGGTGCAGCCCTGGTCACATCTGAGTAGTGGGGTGTGGCCCTGTGGGCGCAGCAGCAGGTCCAGAGCGTGCCCCACGCGATGCAGCCGCCCCTCACCCAGCAAGGCCCAGCCACCAGGCGCCAGCCACCAGGCGCCAGCCACCAGCGCACACCCACCAGCCACCAGGCCGCACCTTGGTGTCCCGCAGCGGGCCCATGAACATCTCGTACAGGCGCAGGCTGTCCGCGCCGTACTGCCACACCACGTCATCAGGGTTGACCACGTTGCCGCGGCTCTTGCTCATCTTGTGGGCGCGGTGCGAGACCTGCGCGCTGGGTGGCGGGGTGGCGCGCGCAAGGGGGAGCGGGCTGGGCGGGGCAGGAGGCGGGGCACAGGGGCCAAAACCCCATACGCACCCGTCCAGAACATGTGGAAAAACACACAACCACACACACACACACACATGCACACACAGCTCCAGGCTGGCCGCAAACCGCACGCCCAGGCTGGCCAACAGCCGCACACACACGGGGTCCGCCCACCCACCTTGACTGAGGGGTCTGCCTTGAGCACATACCCGCCGCCGCCCGCAGCCTCCACCTCCGATGGGTCCAGCCTGCAGCACAAAGGGCAGCGGAGGAGAGCACCGCAGCTCAGCAGCGACGCCTGGATGCTCAGCAGCAGGAGAGGGTCGAAGCGGCGCAGCCCTGGCGTGGCCCCTCAGCCAGCCCCACCGCGCTCACCGAATCGTCTCCGCGCCGGGCGTGCCCTCTGCGCAGTACGCCCCCGCCGCATCCCGGTGCACCGTGTACTCCACCTCCCCCAGGATCATGCCCTGGCTGACCAGGCGCTGGAAGGGCTCCGGCGTGCTCACCGCGCCAATGTCGTACAAAACCTGCAGGGGTGGCGGCGGGTGGTGGTGAGGAGAGCAGGCAGCGGCAGCGGCAGCGGGGGACAGGTGCAAGCTGGTCAGGTGCCGTCCATGCTGGTCAGGTGCGTGCTGCTCCGCCGGGCCCAACCTGCCCTTCCAGCCCGAAGCCCAGCAGCCGGGCTGCTCTGCAGCGCTGCGTGCCTTGTGCCAGAAGCGTGCGTAGAGGAGGTGCAGCACAGCATGCTCAGCACCGCCCACATACAGGTCCACTGGCATCCAGTACTTCTCAGCCTCCTCCCCCACCAGCCTGAGGGCAGGGCACAGGCAGAGAGCGCAGCACAGGAGCGAGGTGGGACGGCCGGGGAGGCGTGCGGCACGTGGGGGAGGCTTGGGGAGGCTAAGGCGGCGAAGCTGACTGGCGCGCACAGCAAGTGTGCTGCGGCAGGTAAGCGTTGCTGCTAGCTCAGCTCACCTGCTGGTGTTATTGGGGTCGATGTATCGAAGGTAGTACCAGCAGCTGCCAGCCCACTGCAGAGTAGGGCGGGGGACGGGTCGGGACAGGCGCCAGGATACCGGTGTGCAGGTTCATGCGGCGGGCCCTTCGGTCCCCCACACGCACGCTCACAGACACAGGCGCACACCCCAGCGCCACCAATCCCATGCCCGACCTGCGGCATGGTGGAGGTTTCCCTGCGCGCGGGCCTTCCCGCGGCATCGGTGGCTGCCACCCAGTCGGCGCACTTGGCCAGGGGCGGGTCTGGCGTGCCGCTGGGCTGGAAGTCGTCTGTGTCTGGCAGCACCAGCGGCAGCTCGGCCTCGCTGATGGCGGCGGGCTCCTGGGGCCAGGGAAGGGAGTTGGGAAGGTCATGGGGCGGAGGAACCGGCGGGGAACAGGGGCAGGCGACAACCGCACGGGTGTCGCCATTGGAAACACACCCCCAACACCCCCACCGACCACCTCCACCCGCCCTCCTCTGTCAACACCCCGCCTGCACACTCCCATGCCTCAATCATATCCAAACATGTCCAGAGCCGCCAGAGTCCCCCACCTCTGAGCCCTCGGGGTAGACAATGGGGAAGGGTTCCCCCCAGTACCGCTGCCGCGCAAACAGCCAGTCCCGCAGCTTGTAGTTGACCTGGCGGTGCCCGAGCCCCTTGCTTTCCAGCCACTCGATCGCCGCCGCCTTGGCCGCGGCGGTGGGCAGCCCGTTCAGGTCCAGCCCGCTCTCCACGCTGGCAGAGTTGACCGCCACGCCGGGCGCCGTGAACGCCTCGGCCGGGGGCTGCCGCTGCTGCTGCTGCTGCTGCTGCGCGGCCTGCCCGCCCGCCGCCGCCGCCGCCACCACCTGCTGCACGGGCAGGCCAAAGGCCTGCGCGAATTCCAGGTCACGCGCGTCGTGGCCCGGCACGGCCATGATGGCGCCGCTGCCGTAGCTGCCCAGCACGTAGTCAGCCACCCAGATGGGGATGCGCTCCCCGCTGGCCGGGTTGACCGCGTAGGAGCCTGCGCGGGGGCGGCGCGGCTGGCGCGTGGATGTGGGCACGGCCGCCCCCCCCAGCATCCACGGCCGCCGTTGCTGCTTCCCCAGCTGGCAGCCACCTCCAGCCTCCACCCTGCCGCCTCAGCCAGACCCACTACCATGCACACACACAAGGCGCACAACATGGAGCAGCCGGCCCGTGACACCGCACCCGTGAACACCCCGCTCTTGTGCTTGGCGCTGAGCTCGGTGCGTTCAAAGTCGCTCTTCTTGGCCGCCGCCTCCACGTACGCCGCCACCGCCGCCGCCTGCTCGCCGCCGGCCAGCTGCGCCAGCAGCGGGTGCTCTGGGGCCACCACCAGGTAGGTGGCGCCAAACAGGGTGTCGGGGCGGGTGGTGTAGACCGCCACCTCGGCACCTGCGCCAGGGTGGCGCCAGGCGGGCGACCGACAGCTCAGCCAGGTTTCGACGTGGCAGGTGTGAGCATGGGCCGCCAGGCAGCGCGACGGCAGCAGGCAGGGGCGCGGGCAGGGGCGAGGCGGCGGCGGCAGCCCGGAGCGCCGGCATGCGTGCAGGCGGCGGCGCGTGCCTGGCGCCACGCTGGCGCCCTGGCCGGGCGCCACGCCGAATCGGATGGTGGCCCCCTCGCTGCGCCCGATCCAGTTTCGCTGCATCTCCTTGATGGAATCCGCCCAGTCCAGGCCCTCCAGGTCTTGCAGAAGCCTGCGGGCAGGGCAGAGGGGGGCGCGGTGGTGCTGTGTGTGTGCCCAAACACACGCGTGGGCGTGGTGGTGTGTGTAGGGCTGCGCCGCCGCCGGGTGCAGCTGTGCGGAAGCGGGCCCGCTGCGTGTGCTGTCGGCGCAGCAGCCCCAGCCCCAGCCCCAGACCCAGACCCAGCCCCCACCTGTCCCCGTAGGCCGTGATCCTCAGCATCCACTGCTTCATGGGCATGCGCACAACCGGGTGCCCCCCCCGCTCGCTCACCCCATCAATCACCTCCTCGTTTGCCAGCACTGCAGGGAGGCGGGGCCCGCAGCAGCAAGCGTGCAGGGGCTCACGCAACACGCGAGGCACCGCAGCGTTTCATTATCTTTTCAGCCCGCCCCCTCGCCCGCCCCACACACCACCGCTGCCGCGGCGGCACCCAGCTTCAGCGCCCGCGCGGCATGCGGCGCGCGGGCATGCTGGGCACCGGCGCCCCTACCCGTGCCGAGGGCGGGGCACCAGTTGACCGGCACCTCGGCCTGGTAGGCCAGCCCCTGGTTGAACAGCTGCAGGAAGATCCACTGAGTCCAACGGTAGTAGCGCGGGTCGCAGGTGGACACCTCCCGCCTCCAGTCGTAGCTGAAGCCCAGGGACTGCAGCTGCTGCCTGCCACAGGGAGCATGGGCGGAGAGCGGGCAGCGGGGGTGGCGTCGGGTCAGGCAACGGCCGGGGAGGGGGTGGGACCTGGCGGCCGGGCCGGAGAGGGAGCAGGGCAGGCGCGGGCGATGGCTGGCGGCAGCACGGCGCGGCAGCCAACCGCTGCCCTGCTGCTCCCGCCGCCGCCACCGCCGCCGCCGCCGCCGCCGCCGCCGCTGCTGCTGCCCCTCCCTGTGCGCACCTGAACCGCGCGATGTTCTTGTCGGTGGTGACGGCCGGGTGGGTGCCCGTCTGGATGGCGTACTGCTCCGCTGGCAGGCCAAAGGCGTCCCACCCCATGGGGTGCAGCACGTTGAACCCGCGCATGCGCTTGTAGCGAGCCATGATGTCGGTGGCGGTGTAGCCCTCGGGGTGGCCCACGTGCAGCCCCGCGCCGCTGCAGGCCAGGCAGGCAGGCAGGCAGGCGGAGGCAGGTGGGTGGCCGCCAAGCGGCGGCAGGCGGCGGCGGCGGCGCAGACGCGCGCAGAGGCCACTGCCCCGCCTGGCAGTCCCGCTGCCCTGCGGTGCAGCACACGGTGCGCCACAGCTGTGCAGCGGGCTGGTGCACAGCCGCCCGCCTCCCACACAGGCCACGTCCAGGCTGGCGGCGGTGCCCCACCTGGGGTACGGGAACATGTCCAGGGCATAGAACTTGGGCTTGCTGGTGTCCAGCTCGTGGAACTCTGGCGTGCGGAAGGTCTGGTGCTCCTCCCAGAAGGCCTGCCACTTGGCCTCTATGTCTGTGAAGGGGTAGGCGGTGCTCTGGTAGCGCCCGCTCTCGCCCGCCGCTGCCGTCGCCGGCTGCGCCTCCACATCCGTCACCGCCGCTGCCGCCTGGCAGGGCGCCCTGCCAGTGCTGAATGCGACGAATGCGCCATGCTGCTGCTGCTGCCTGCCCGGCGGGAGGAGTGCTGGACGCCGCTGGAGGAGACCAGCCAGGTGGGCGCTGCGGGCTCCCGCGCTGCTGCTCCTTGCAAAAAAGCGCAGAGTGCGCGAAATAGCGGTGCGGGCCGGTGCAGCGCTCGCCATTAAAGGGGCACTGCTAGACTGCAGCACCTGCACTCCCATTGCCCACGCTCTGGCGCCCAATTCAGCCGAGCATATGCCAAATTTGCGTATGTGTGATCCGCTCGGCCGCTGGAGAGTGGCTTAGCAGGATGAGGCGTGCTGGCGGCGCCACGTCAGCCCAACAACACATGCATGCGGTGAGACATTGATGCATGAAGCCCACACAATGATGGCACACATTTTGTTATCAGGTGCTGGAGGTCCTGTGAGGCTGAAAATCACACTGGACATGGTCATGTTTACAGCATTGGAATTGGAAAATGGAGCAGCAGTTTGGAGAGGGTCAGCGGGAGCAGGGCAGTGCGCAACAAATCGATGGGAGAGCATGGTGGGACAATGTACAGGGCTGCTTGTGGGCGCCGCAAGCAGCGTCACAAGTTGCGGCGGCTCAGCGCCTGCACCACCGGCTTGAACACGGAATCCACCCCCTGCACCAGGCCGGCCGGGCACAGTTAGCCAACCGCCAAACCCGCAGCAAGCATCCCACTGCCTCCCAGCACAGCAGAACATGGGTGAGCTGAGACCATGCATGAATGGAGGGTTGCCAGGTGTGGTGACGCACCTCGTTCCATCGCCGAACCGCCCATGCCCGCGCCGTCGCTCCAAGCATGGGCTCGGGGGCCTGCAGGCCAGCAGCGCGGTGCCCCACTCAGCTTCTCGATTGGCAGAGAACGCGCTCTTGAACAAGAACCCAGCCAGCATCATGTTGCGGCAAAAATGGGTTCACATGGCCAGCATAGCTAGCCCCCGTCGTGTGAGCAACCACCACCGACCTGCTCCTCTACGGCCACCACCCGAGGCACGCCGCCTGGCAGCTGCTCCAAGGCCTCCTCGGTTGCATGCAAGAGGTGCGTCTGCGATGAAATGCAGAGGAGGCGCTCGTCAGGGATGCTGCCTCTGTACCTCCAGGGGCAAGGCTCCTCCGTCTGCACTAAATATATGACGCCACGCCGCCCACCGCCTCCGCCGCCGCCCCTGGCTGTGCAGCCCGACCCTGCGTGCTGGACGGCGCGATTGCCTGCGCATGTCTCCGAAAACCTATCACTGACCTTGGTGTAAACATACAGCGCCGCTGCCGCTCCCACTCCTCCTGCAAAAGCCGACAGGCGCTGCTGCCGCAGTATGGAGGTCATGGCTGCTGCCTCAGCAGCGTTGTGGATTACAAGGATCGCAAGACCTCTGCAATAGCAGCAACAAGCCAAGTACAGGGCGAGGCCGTACTCTCAACGAGCCATCGCCCACATCCCGCAGTTGAAATTCCACGATTCACGATGCAGGCCCTGCTCCCACGCCATTCACTGGCTGCAGCTGTTTCATTGCGGCCGCTGCCCAGCCCCCTGCGCAGTCTTCCCTTTGCGCAGTCCTCGCAGGCTGTCAAAGCGCATAGGGCACAGCCTGCACATCTGGAATGGCGGCGAAGGGCAGGTGGGCGGAGCATTGACCTGTGTTGCTTTGTGCCCAAGGGCGGCGGCGCTCCGCCGACTAGCTGTGACCGGTTGCCGCAGAGCCTGAGGCGGCGCCCGAACCCTCCAGCACCAGCAGCACAGCGCCGCAGCCAGACCCAGAGCCGGAGGTCACCTTCTACGAGGGCTCGGGCTCAAACGCCGAGCTCGCGCTGTCCCTTCTGCTGGGCGCCACACTCATCTTCCTGCCGCTGACCCTCGCCAGCATCGGGCGGCGCCTCTGGATCCAGTACCGGTTCACAAACAAAAGGCTCATCCTGACCACCAACTCGCCGGTGCTGAAGCGCGAGGTCAGTGGGCCAGCCTGCAGCCACACCTTGTGCTCGCCTGCCAGCACTCCACCTCCCCGCCGCCTGCTGTTGTGCCGTTCTTGCTCCCTGCAGGTGCAGGTGGAGTACAAGAAGATCAAGGAGATACGGTCCGCCCCACGCGCTTTTGGACTTTGGGGGGACATCGTCATATTCCTCAAGGACGGTTCGCGGCTCCCGCTGGCGGGCCTGGAGCGCTACCAGGAGATTGTGGACTATGTGCAGGGCCACATGGACTGAAGCATGCCAATGTCTGATGCTCAATTTGCTTTTGGTGCCATGCTTGGTGCCTGGGCTGCCCCCAGCTACCGCAGCACCCCTGGCATGATCCATGCTGTCATGCCCTCCCATTTTGACCAACACTTGGATTCATCTCAATTATTCAGCCGCTGCGAGAGTTGTAAACACAGCCGGCAACCAGGGCACACGGCTGCGTCAAGGGACTGCAGCGAGGCTCTGGGCACGGCTGTGACAAGCGGATGCCGGTGACAAGCAGCTCGACAATGCTAATGCCCGCCTCCGCTATCCGTCACGATGCTCGTCAGCTCCATGACATGCGGTGTGCTCCTAACGCTGATGCCCACCCGCCCCAAGCTGCTGCCGCCGCTGCCGCTGCTGCTGGGCTTGCCCCGGTCAGCGCCGTTTCGCCGCAGGCTGCTGATGGGGATCTCCTGCATCTCCTTCTGCATGCACATCCACTCCCCCAGCAGTGCCGTGACCGCCAGGTTGGCGCCCTGCAGCGCCCACCTGCAAGCAAGTGGCCAGGCATGCAGGCAGGCTCATGCTTGGGTCCCCAAACAGCGCAGCAGCGTGATGCGTCCGAGGACCAACCTCCTGCCGGCGCTCACCATGTCAGCTGCTTGGGGAACCCGCTGAAGCAGGTCACCGCCACCGCGTGCAGGAACAGGATGGTACCTGCAAAGTCTAAACACTTCTTTGCACGTTGCACCTGTGGGTGGAGGAGCGGGGTCCTTGTTGGGCAGGCAAGGTACTGTTGCTGGCAAGTCACATGCTTGATCCATGCTGATGTTGGTGGCCCGTGGCTGGCAACAGAGTGGGCAGCAGGACTCACTATGACGCGCAGACAGAAGGCCGCAACCACCGCGTTCAACAACCCCGCCACCGTCACCATCCAGCCCTGGAAGCTGCTGAAGCTAACCCAGCGCCAGTCGAAGAAGTGGTACAGCGTCAGGCCATGCACGTAGGGTGCTGCGGGTGCGCAGGTTGGGCAGGAAGGATCAGGCACACTCCGGCCGGCGGGCCAACAACCCAACAGGGTAAAGCGGCGGCGGCGGGCGGGCGCTCTGGAGTGTGCACCCCCCCGGTGCCTTTCAAGCGGTCCTGCCCTGCGCACCAGCACCCACCTACTATCATCTTGTACAACAGGCCCAGGCTGAGGTAGTACAGGCACTGCAGAGCGACTATTTGAGCGATGATTGCCACCGGGTCCCAAGCTGCGGGGCCAAACAAAACGCCCCCCGCCATTGCTGCTGCAGGGTGTTGCAGCTGCCGCAGCTGTTCAGTGCGATCCAGCCAAACTCAGGTGGTTGCAAGAGCCACCGCCTGGTCGTTTGCAGCTGCTGAATGATACGAGGACAACGCAATGATCGATACTAAATATGTATGCGGGCGTTTTCTGGGAGCAGCTCGAGACAGGTCAGCAGTGCTGACCAGGAGCTGGCAAAACGGGTTTCCCATCCATCCCGTGACCGGTTTACAGTTTCAGAACACCTTGCCGAAAAGGTTTAACGCTCTGCATCGTACTCTCCACTTCCGGAACAGACAGCTGCCGTCTCGGGCAGCCAAGAGCCTCTAAGCGCATGGACACGCTGCTGCAGCCAGCCAGGTGACCAGTGGACAAAGGGTCTGCCGCGGGGGCTGCCCCTGAGGGTGGTGCTGGCGCTTCCACCGTGCCGCCCGGATGCGGCTGCTGCATCCCGTCGTTGACACGTCATCCCACTTGCCGTCTGCGCCCCTGCAGGGACCTGCTGGCTGGCGTGACGTTGCGTGACTACCTGTCCACCCGACCTCCGCGCGCCGTCACCAGCGTAGCCACCACCGACCAGCTGGGCGCTGTGCTGCGCCGGTTTGCGGCTGGCGGGCTGGTCGCAGCGCCGCTGTTTGCAGACGAGGCGCGCACCGCCTACCTGGGCTTTATAGACCTGCTGGATGTGGTGGCGGCGGTGGTGGAAGCAGCACGGCTGTCTGCGGGAAGCTCCGGCAGCGGCCACGAGCTGAGGCAGCGCGCAGCGGCAACAGCCAACGCTCTGGCGTCGCAGCCGGTGGGCACCATCCGGGCCGCCACCAACGACGCACAAGTGGTCTACCTTTCTCAGCTGGGCAGCAGCCTGCTGGAGGTGGTGCGCGAGGGCTTTGCGGCCCCGGTCGACAACCTGGCCTGCCACCGCCTGGCAGTCTTCCAGCCCAGCGGCGGCAGCATGAGCAGCGGCAGCAGCAGAAGCAGCAGCAGCCCGGAGCTCGCTGCCATGGATGCAGACGGCAGCGGGAGCAGCAGCCTGCAGTTGACCCACATCGTCAGCCAGAGCGACGTCCTGCGCTTCCTGCATCGCCACCGCCACCAGCTGGGGCAGTGGCTGCTGGACAGCACGCTGGCCCAGGCAGGTGGCTGCTGCCAACCAGCTGACCAGGGCCGTGGCTGCATGCATGCATGGCGCTGCTTCGTGCAGTGCCCCTGGATGTAGCGCTCATGTTGCCACGTGTGGTGAGACCACCTGGGTGCCACCTGCTGCTGCTCTGCAGGTGGGGTTCAGGGAGAAGGCGGTGATGTGTGTGTCTGCTGACATGGCGGTATTTGATGCGCTGGCGGGCATGGTGGACAACAAGGTGCCCGGTGAGCATGCATATGCCACCCTTGCCTGCACCCATGGCTGCCAGGCGAGCTGGCTGGCAAAGGTGGCGGCACGCCAGCCAGCAACACACTGCGGTTGGGCTGCTTGCAGGCTGCCTGGCATGGAGTGGAGCTGTGCAATATTCAGTGCTGGCTGCTGCTGTGCGCATGCATGATGGCACCCTGCAGCTGTGGCTGTGATAGATTCCGAGGAGAGCGGCGTGCTGATCGGCAACATCAGCATCAGCGAGCTGCGCGGCATACTGCCAGAGCACTTTGAGCAGGTGCGTGCTTGTGTTTTGTCTTTGTGGAACACCTCACAACCATGCTCTGAGGCCATGCGGGCGGTGTTTGCTGGCCTGCCCATGCAGCTGGTGGAGCCGGTGGGCGAGTTTCTGGGCGGCGGCTGGCGCGGCAGCCCACACTGGCAGCCCAGAAGCCAGGGTGGAATTGCTCAGGCGTTTGGCATCCGGTCCCCGGAGCAGCTGCCGCACACACCCAGCCTGGCCTCCTGCACCCTGGACAGCCGGTTTGGGGAGGTGCTGGACCTACTGGCCAGCCTCCACCTGCACCGCCTCTTCGTCGTGGACAGCGAGGGGCGGCCGTCAGGGGTGGTGTCGCTCACCGACCTCCTGCGGCTGATTGCGGGCGACTCGGAATGAGGCGGATGGCCACGGCAGACGCGGAGCCGGCATGGAAGGAATGTGATTGGAGGCAGGCAGTGCATGGCAGCATGAGCATAGAATGCACGTTTGCAGTTTCTCAGCGGAGGTGTGTTACGGCTCGACAACACATAAAGCCAGAAATAATGAGACATGGGAGAGAGACATGCGTGGGGTGAATCAAAGCAGCAGCGACGCTGGGTGCACAGGAGGAGGAGGCCGTCACACCAGCTTCTGGGGAGCCGCCCACAACCGCACCCTGCCGTCAAGGCCGCCGGTTGCCAGCACATGCGTCGGCCCGTGCAGGCTGCGCAGCTTGCTTGAGGACCAAGCCAGGCAGGTAATCTGCGTGCGGCGGGGAAGCAGGGGGCAGCGGCGCGTGAGCGGCAAGGTGTGAATGCAGGCAAGGCATGGGCAGATGATCTTGCTGCTGCCACCATCTCAAGCACAGCATCACAGCACAGCACAGCACAGGACAGCACATCACAGCACAGCAGCCACAGCTCACCGCCGCGTCGTGCGCATCTTCCACCCGGTCCACCACCTCCCCGCTGCGGCTGTCGATGAAGTGTAGGGTGGTCCCGCACACGCCGGCCACCAGGCCCTCGGGGCCCCACGCCAGCCGGCTGTAGCACTTGCCGGGCAGCAGGCTGAGGCCGGTGGAGAGGATGCACTTGGGGTCTTCGTCCATGTGGTACCGCACATTGATGTTCCACACCTTGAGCAGCCCGTCCCCGCTGGCAGTCACCATCTTGGTGAGGTCGGGGCTGAAGGCCACGCAGAAGACCTGCAGCGCAGCGCGGCGTACCGCAACACAGGCAGGCAGGCAGGCAGCAGGTGTCGACAACTGGCTGGGAGGCAGGCTGGTGCGGAGGGCGGGCACACGGGCGGGAAGGTGAGCGATGTTGAGAGCAGGACAGGTAGGAGCGGGCTCGGAGCCCGCTCTCATTTGCCCACGCTCGCCTTGGACTTGTGCCCCTTCAGCGCCATGGCCAGCTTGATGCCTGTGAAGGCGCCCAGCCGGTCAAACGCCACCTCATACACCTTGACGTCGCTGGTAAAGGTGCCCGCCGCCACCCAGCGCCCATCGGGGCTGATTGTGGCCATGTAATTGCTCAAACCGCCCGTGTCCATGTGTCCCAGCAGCCTGCAGCAGGGGTGGTGGAAAGTCAGGGCGAGCAGCAAAGCCATGGGCCGCGAGCGGTGTAGGCAGCACCAGCAGCCATTGCAGCTGCCAAAAGCCCGGCCTGGTCCACACGCAGCAACGCAAGCGCCTGCCTGCCCGCCCTTTCACTTGCAGCCACCCCCCAGGCGCCGCACTCCCACCTGCCGGAGCTGCTGTACACCCGCAGGTCGGTCTTGGTGCTGCAGCTGGCCAGCACGCTATAGCCGGCCTTGGAGGAGGAGGAGGAGGCCAGACACAGGCCCAGCAGCTTGTTGTGCACATTCCGCTCGTGCCACTCCTCCACCGGTTCCTTGGGGCCAAAGTCGAGCATCATCAGCCCCGCAGCGTTCACCAGGCCCTTGGTCTGCAGCAGCACAGGAGGTGCGGTAGGAGCAGCGAGGGTGAGGTGTGCGGTGCTTGCGCGTGTGTGTGTGTGTCAGCCTGTTGACTCACGCACGTCCCCGCGCCGCCGCACCTGCACCGCCACGTGCTGCTCGTCGTCGGCGAAGGCCACGTCCTGCACCCCCACCCGCAGCTCCTTCTTGCGGAACGGAATGCTCTTGGCGGTTGGATCGGCGAGGTTGAAGATTCGCACTGTGCGGTCGTCGCAGGCGGTGGCCAGCGCTGTGCCGTCTGGGGACCACGACAGGCCCGTCACCTCCGCGGTGTGCCCCTTGAGCCCCATGATGGCCAGCTTGCTGGTGGCGTGCTTGTCGGCGTGGGTGCTGCAGCGGGCGTGGCGGCGCGGCGGCAGCGTTGAGCGGCATGCAGCTGGTTGGAAGCAGGCAAGCGGCTGGCTGTGGACTGACCCGAGTTTGCTCTTCTGCGCGCTCTTCATCAGCTGCTTGATGGAGACGCCCTGGGGCTGCTGCTCCTTGCGCGGCCGAGGTGGGGTGCTGCAGGCAGGCGGGCGGCAGGCGGCAGGCGGCGCCAGGTGATGGCGGTGCCCAGCCCCCGCTCGGCGCACCCGCTGTGACCGTGCTCACCTGATTTCGCTGTCAACATCTGTCTTCTTTGCGCTCCGCCTGGGCAGCAGCCACAGAGCGACGGTTCCGGCAAAGGCCGCCACAGCTCGCAGCAGCCGCAGCGTGATCCAGAGTGCCGAGGCGCATACCGTCACAGCCACGGCTTGGCTGGCAACAGAGAGCTGCGAAAACTCGTCCATGAAACTCATTGTTGGGCTTGATCACTATTTTGTGTGTGCCCCAGCCCTCTGCCAAGATGCAAACCAAGTTGATTGTGACGAATGACTGAGGAGCCATCGGCAGAACACGTTGCAGCATCTACTGTACAGGCAGGCGGGCGACTGTACTGGTGCGGCGGGCCTGGACCTGTTGCAGTCCATGTTTCTGTTTACACCGCAGGGAATCATGCCCATTCCTCCAGCACCTCACCATCAACACCAACTCAGCAGCACGTTTCAGCTGCAAAAGGGCGCCGCAACTCGCAGCGCATTGCGGCGCCCGCTCAAAGCACCGCCGCCACCTGACTGGCCAGCCTCCAGCGAGCCCCGTCACTCCAGCGCATACTCTTCCAGCGCCGGCAGCTCAAAGCGCTCCGCCGCCTGCAGCAGCCACTCCTCCTTCACGCACAGCGCCTTCTTGGGGATGTGGGGCGGGCGGGCGCCGCCGCCCACCACGATGCACAGGTTGCACGACTTTGGCGGGGCAACCTGGCAGCAGGCAGGGTAGAGGGTAAGGCGAGGGGCCAGGTAAGGGTTGTCAGCACCAACGCCAACGGCACGCTGAGGAACAAATTCTGCGCTTTGCACTCGGCAGCCCTGCCAAGGACTCCACCCAGCGCAGCTGCCGACGCCGAGGCCTCCTCCACCGCGAGCGAGCCGCCTCACCTTGGCGCCCAGCACCGCCAGCACCCGCTTGAGGGCCGCCACGTTGGCCGCCATCAGCTTGCGCGCCTTCTCGGGCAGGTGCACATACACGGCGCGGTCGTGCAGCAGCGGCTGCGCATCCAGCACCTCCAGCAGGCTGCGCGCCCGCTCCGCCGCCGCCTCGAAACGCACCTGCAGCGGGGAGGGGCAAAGGTGCAGCAGGGAGGGCGCAGCAGCTCAGCGGGAAGTGTGGCAGGTGCCGGGATGCTGCCGCTGCTGCTGCCGGCATGCCCGGCGCCTTGCCTCGACTCCCTGCTCCACTGAAGGGGGCAGGCAGCGATCGCCACCTACAGGTACCCCCACCTGCAGCCCACCCACCCCACCTTTGCCGGGAACTGGCTCTCCGGCAGCCACCTGCCCGCCTCCAGCGACGCCGTGACCCACTGCGGGCTGAGCAGCCAGGCGCCGTTGGCCACAGCCAGCATCAGCTTCAGCGTGCGCCGCTCGCCGCCGATCACCAGGTGCGTCACCTGCCCCTCCTCGCGCCCCTCGGGGCACACGCGCAGGCCCCGCAGACGCCGGGTGGCGGAGCGGGCCAGGTCCACGACAGCGGCGTCCACAGATGTGAGGGCGATACAGCCATGGGTGGGCCCGGGGCCAGTGGAACCGGCTGGTGGCGCCGCACGCTGCTGCTGAGGCAGCCGGTCGCCAGAGAGCTGCGCCTCTTCCTGCTGCGGGCCCGGCCCCACACCGGGCCCAGCCTGCTGCGGCTGCTGCTGCTGCTGGGGTTCACAAGAGCCCCCCTGGTTCTCATCCCCGCTGGCCGCCGCTGCTGCTGCCTCATGCGCTGCGGCCTTGCCGTCCCAGGGTCGCAGCGTGGACCAGGGAGTGGGCAGCTTGCCCTCCCCTCCCGGCGGCGGACGAACCGCGCTGGAGGGCGTGGCCCCGCTGCCGCCGATGCTCCGCATGTTGCTCACACCCAGCAGGCTGCGGCGCCCGCCTGCCTTGGGCCGGCCCAGGCTCGCCCTGCCAGAGGCCTCTGGCTTGCCTGCCGTCCCATCTGGCTGCGAGGCGGGGCTCTGCGTGGGCCCCTGCTCAGCCAGGGCCCAGGGACTGGCCACACGCTCCACCACCGGGATGGGGATAGGGTCAGCAGGCCTGCAAACACACAAGGTAACCCGTTGCAGACACCCAGGCATTGGGGCCCAGCTCTTGCGTGCTCTGGCTTGCGGCAACTGTTGTCAGGCGCAGGGCAGTGAGGTGCATCCCACTAGTTGGCTGGCTGGTCAAAAAAACAACGCAGCACAGCAACCATCCCACTCACTTGGTTTCCGCTGGCGAGGGAGGGAGGGAAGCGGCCAGGGGCGTCCCCTTGTGCACAAGCACTGGCCGCTCGGGGTGCCGCACCAGCTGGCGCACGCTGAAGCGCTCGGCCACACCCTTGACCGCTGCCGCCGCCCTGACGGCCCCCGTCGCCTGCTGCTCTGCAGCCTGCTGCTCCCGTGGCGCCCCATCGGGCAGGTGCTGGGGGGAAGCTTCATCCAGGTGCTGCTCATCCTGGTGGGCCGCCTGCTCATCCACCTGCATGCCCTCTGCCTCCCCGGCATCATCCACTGCTGCCTGCTCCTCTGCCTGCTCGCAAGGCCCAGAAGCCAGGGCCAGCCTGCTGCGCTTGTCGGCGGCGGCGCCGCCGTCGGCTGCACCAGCAGCAGGCGCCGGAGCGCCGAGCCGCCCGCCGCCGCTACTGCCGCCAGAGGCCCACCCCCGGGCCCGCTCCGCGCTGCTTCTCGCTATGCGCAGGGCTAGAGGCGTATCCAGATCATCCTCCTCGTCCTCCGCGGCGCCGCCAGTGCCAGCGCTGCCGCCGCCCGGCGTGCGGCCCAGGTGGCAGTCGTCTGGCAGGTCGATTGTGAGGATGTTGGCCACCTGCTGGCAGGCACAAGCCACGGTGCAAGGCCCAATACCGAACAGGGATTCGGTGAATGCATGCCAACACACCCGTGTGCAGGGCTGGCGAGGAGCACGAATGCACGGGCAGCATGGCAAGAACGAGCCAGCCGCTCACCGCTTGCGTTTCGGTGCCGATTTTGCCAGCTTGCTGCAGCGGCGGCGGCGCCCCCTGCTGCGGTTCCTCCTGCTGCCAGCCTTCCTCCTCATCATCACTCAGCAGCTCCACCACAGTCGGCATGCCCCTGGCCTGCTGCTTCTTGGCGCCCCTGCCGGCGGCGCCGCGTTGCTGCTTGGCGGGGGCACCGCCGCGCGGGCTAGTCACCTCGCCATCCCCGACCGCAGTGCCGCTGGGGACCACGGCTGCCTCATCCTGCCCTCCCTGTCCCTGTATCTGCTGCGTGCTGCTGAAGTTAAGGTCGTCGATGTCGTAAGCTTCTGCCGGCTTTGGCAGCGGGGCCGCCGCGGGGCGCTTGCGCTTCTTAGCGGCGCCGGCGGTGCCGGGAGTGCGTCCCAGCAGCGACTCAGTCGGCTTCTTCACCAGGTACTTGCGCTCCACCAGGCGGCGCCCCGCCTTGATAGACTCCTCCACCCACAGCGGCGACACCACCACCGGTGGGTAGTCCATCTGCGAGGGTACAGTGCGGCGCAGGGCAGCTCAGCACAGGCGGCTGTCGCTGGCTGGTGGCTGGACGTGGTGCCTAGCGACTGCACGTCTGCCAGCGGCGCAGCGCTTCCCACCTTCTCCAGCTTGTGGAACAGCTCAAGCAGCTCGGCCTCATCGGCGGCCTTATCCGAGGGGCGGCGAGAGTGCCGCCGCTCCCACACAATGTGGCTCACGTCCTTGCCGAGCCGTGCTGCCACCCGGCCGCCGTGCTTGTCGATGCGGGCCGTGATGGCGGCCTTGGCATTTGAAACGCCCAGAATGCATGCAACCACATCCTCCAGCACCCGTGGCACCGCAGCGCCCTTGCCCTCGCTCATCTATTCATTCAAGCGCCAAACGGGCAGCTGCTCTGAGGGGGCCAGGGGTGAGCGTGTCTGCAAGACTGGGACTTGTGGAGGCTTCTCTGACCGGCAGCTGCCGACAGGGATAGTTGAAAATTTTGCTGGCTGTACAGTACTGCAAGCTTGGCTATTCCCCAAAGCACAGAGCCGCCTGCCGCCCTTATCAATCGCAGCCGACTGTGGCCGGCGATGCCAGAGCCCTCTGTCGACGCTTGAGCAGACTTAGACTCACCGATGCCGCGCCGTGCCTGCGCTGTAGGTGGCTGGCCGGCAGTGTGCGGGCGGGGGTGGCGGAGGTGCTGGCGCGCCAGCTGCCTGGTGCCTCCACCCCCCTCTCCACCATGCACTCTTGGTGCCCCCCGCCACACCCACCACCCCCGGCCCCCGCCTGGCCCACCCGCCGCTGCAGGCGCCGCGTGCGTCGCCAAGCAGGCGGGCATCCACGCCCCCGGTTCCGATGCCAGGCAGAGGGGCGGTGAGTTGGGCTGGGGGGCTGGGCTGGGCGCCGCCTGCCGGCTTGCCCCGCCACCCCTCCCTCCCCACTGCTGCCCTGAGCCCAGCAGCCACCAGCCTGCCACCCAGCCTGCCTGCCAGCCAGCCCGCCATGCCTGCGTGGCGGGAGGCGGGTGCGGGGGTTGAGTTGGCGTGCGCGCCCGCGTTGGGGCGTGTGCGCCTGCGCTGCGGGCTGCGGTGTGCGGGCGGGGGTGGCGGAGGTGCTGGCGCGCCTGCTGCCGGGTGCCTCCACCCCCCCCTCTCCACCATGCACTCTTGGTGCCCCTGTGTGCAGGTGCAACCGACTCGTCCGCCGCATACAAGCAGGAGCACAGCTGGGCCAGCGGGAAGAACAAGTGGCAGGTGGCAGGTGCGCCACCGCCGCGCACCTCCGCGCGCCGCCCCGCCGGCCCCTCCCACCCCCTGCCGCCTGCCGCCACCTGCGCCCCGCATGCCGCACCGCGCCTGCCCGCCTGCCTGCCCGCCCGCCTGCCATGCCCGCGTACGTGGGAGGCGGGTGCAGGGGTTGATTTGGCGCGTGAGCCTGCGCTGTGGGTGGCGGGTGTGGGTGTGGGTGCTGGAAGTGGCGGCCCCTGCGCTTGATTGAGTGACGCCGCTTGTTGTGTGTGCAGCCGAGGCCAGGCATGCATATGGGGCGGCCCGGCTGGCGCGCCCCAATGAGTCAATGCAATTCCATTTGCGGAGTGAGGGCGGCAGCGAGGAGCTGGGCAAGATCCTGGGGTCCGCCATGCTATTGGAAGACCGGAAGACCATGGCCTGCCAAGCCCCCGCCGATGCCAGGAAGTACGCCCGCGAGCAGGCTGCAGTCAAGGGCCTGCCCAAGGGCCCCGACCGCATCACCTGCTGCATCGCAGGAATCCCGGAGACAGACCTGTACAAGGTCATTAGCCCCGCATGGTCAGCACAGGTGTTTGAGAAGGTGGTACTGGTCCGCAGCTGAGCCCTGCCACGTTGTATAATTCTTGTAATATTACGCCGGTCACATCTGACTGCGCCCCAGGTCACCCTCCAGCTGGGGCCAAATGTGCCCCCCTACATCCGCCCTCTTCCATCCGTTGCTCGATAGAATCCATCAGTGCACGTGTCAATGGACCTCACCTATGGCATTATGGCTCAACCGCTATAGCGAATTTGTAAAGACGCAATCGAGACGCCATCGAGTTCGTGCCCAGCGCAGCTAGACCCAGTCTCAGCATGGGCGCAGCATGCACGACTATTTTCGGCATTCCGGGCCACGCATTGCGCTCAGGGCTCCAAGACAAAGCGGGAGGCGACTAGATCGGGAGGTCTAATCAATCGGGAGATGCGAGGGGCTGTTTTGGGCCTCAGACCAGGGGGGCGTCTTCACTAGTGGCCAAGGGTCAAAATCCACAATTTTCTCCCCCGGCCAAAATTGGGTTTGCACAATTTAATTTTGCACCATAATAAATAGTGGAAGATGACACCAAAAAGGTGCAAAAAACGTACAAACTCATATTTATGTAGTGCTTTTTTTGGTGCAAAATGACGGCGCCACCAAATCAGAAAAGCACACTATTCCCTCCTTGATATATAGCTTTTAAATGTGTACATATAAACCTCATATAAATGCCACATTTAGTATTCCTCACATAAAAAAACACGTTATCTTAGAAAAAGGTGGATTCAGGTAGGAGGCCTACCTGCAGGATTGTGGATTCCTAGCGATTCCTGGTAAAGGATGCTTTTATGCGTGCATTTCACTCGGCTCAGACTCGGATCACTCGGATCACTCCGATCACCACATTAAAAAGCACTTAATGTACAGCGTGCACACGCCAAGCACGGGTGCGCAGCGTCCGGCTTTCAAGGGCAGCACCCCGATCGATGTGGCGGCCCTTAAATGAACGGTGGCTGTAAGTAAATCCAGATGCATATGGATGCGGGGCAGAGCGAAGGGGCGCGTGAATTCAATACTGAAGTACAAGCTTGTCCTGAAGACCGGAAGGGGTCTCTCTCGTCTCCCTTCTCCTCTGCAGGTCATTGCATTTCCCACCATTTGTTGGGGTGGCAGCACGACGCAACTCCCAAGTCGATCTTCGATACAGTCTGAAGCGTCCCAGCCCGAGCCCAGCAGACTGCCCTGCTGGTTGAGGAGCGAAGCGAAGAACGGCAAAAGCTGGCGGCCCCGGCTCGCGGGTTGGCCCCCGCGCGGGCGGCCAGAGCACTGGGGATCCGCCGGGCATGTCCCGCCGTGTCGCACCGCCCTGTAGGCGCCGCCCCCCTTTGGGCGGGCGGGCGGGCCCGACGCCGGGGCAGGGCTGCGCGGGCAGCGCCGCCGCCCGAGGACCCTGGTGCCATGCTTGATGATGCCAATGCCAGCGACCGTGACGAGGAGGAGTTTGATACGGTGTGCATGGTGTTGGCTGGCCAAACTTTGATGCCACCTGAACGCCAGCGCCTCCGCTCGCCACTCCCGCCTCGGCATCTCACCCGCCCTGCCCCTGTTGCTCTCCCCCTTCTTCTGCCTATCCAAAAACAGATTGCAGGCGCGGTGGAGGTGGTCGATGAGGAGGAGGCCGAGGTGCGCTGAACAGCCGGCCGCCTGCCTGACGTGCTGCCGTGCCTGTGCCCCTCGCCTTCGCCTCCCTCCCCTCCACATGGGCTCCCCGCTCCAATCCCCCGCCCCGCCCCGCCCACCCCGCCCGCCAGATCGACCTGTTTGGCGAGTCGACCCGCGGCAACCTGCACTTTGCGGACGAGGACGACGCGGAGCCGCGGCGGCGGCGCATCGACGACGTGCTGGGCCTGCGCAACGCCGAGGACATCCTGGCCATGCCCTGGGCCCAGCTGCGCTCGCGCTCGCAGGCGCTGCTGGGCGAGCTGGGCATCCCGCCCTCCACCTACCCCAACTCCCAGCCCCAGCGCGCGCTCTTCACAAACCGCACCCTCAACCTGCGCAGCATACAGGCGGTCGGATACGATATGGACTACAGTGAGCGGGGGGTGGTGCTGGGGGAGGAGGCGCGGGCCCGGGGGTGTGCATGGCAGCAAGGATGGCACGGCGCCCCTCCCTGCCAGCTTTCTACCTCCCTTAAGGGCCCGCTGCGCACCTCCCTGCACCCTGCACCCTGCCACCTGTCTCTCACCCGCCAGCTCCCCTGCCCTCCCCTCCTCCCCTGCCCGCAGCCCTGATCCACTACGATGTGGAGGCCTGGGAGGGCAAGGCGTATGCGTACGGGCTGCAGAGCCTGCACGAGATGGGGTGCCCGGTGGAGGGGCTGCGCTTTGACCGCAGTCTCGTCATCCGCGGGCTCATCATGGACACGGGTGCGGCGCTGAGCTGGCGCCGAGGTGGCGGGCAGATGGCGGGCTGGTGGGCGGCAGGGAAAACAGCTTGGTTTGGCGCTTGGTTTGGGGGCAGGGGAGGGTGCTGATCTGTGTGCCTGCGGGCATGCCAGCTGAGCTACCCACTCTGCCCCTACCTGTGCCATCCGCTGCCGCAGAGCTGGGCAACCTAGTGAAGGCCGACCGCTTTGGGTGAGGCCTGCCAACAGCACATGCTCCCGGCAGCTCTGCCTCCTGCTCAGCCCCAGCAGGTTGCATGCCCTTCCATGTCCAGCGCCACATCACGCCCCCCCAAACCCCTCCCCTTCCCGCCCCCTGGCCCTCCCTGCAGCTTTGTCAAGCGCGCCATGCACGGCACCCGCATGATGACCCCCGCCGAGGTGCGGGAGAGCTACGGGCGCGAGCTGGTCAACCTGCGCAACGAGTCGCGCTACGTCTTCCTCAACACCCTCTTCTCCGTGTCGGAGGCGGTGCTGTACATGCAGGTGGGGCTGGGGTGGCGCGCCTTGGTGTGGTGTGCCGACACAAGGAGACGCGGGGACGAAGGCTGGCTGTGCCCGCCTGCTGCATGCTGGGCGGCTGGGGGCAGCCTCTACTCCCAGCACGACTCTTCTGCCTGTGTGGTTCCCCACCACACTGGGCCACGGTATCGTACTGTACCGCTGCCGCTGTGCCACCGCCGCTGTACCGCTGTACCGCAGATGGTGGACCGCCTGGATGCCGACGCCATCCCGCAGCAGGTCTGCTCCAACTCCTACCACCAGCTGCACAAGATGGTGGCCAAGGCGCTGTTCAGGTGGGGACCTGCCTGGGGGCTGGCTGGCATGCCGTGTGGGCACGCCGGGGGCACCGAGGCGGCACTGCCTGGCAGACGTGCCTGCATTTCTCCACCTTGGAACCCACCCAACACTTTGCCCGTCCCATGCCGGCAGGGCTCACGTGGAGGGCAAGCTGAAGGCTGAGATCATCCAGGACCCGGCCGCCTATGTGTCACGCGACCCCGAGATGGCGCAGACGCTGCTGGACCAGAGGCAGTCAGGCAAGCCATCTCTGCCCAGCCGTGCTCACTCCGCCGCCTCGCTGTCCGCGCTTCTGCGCTCGTCTTCATGCATGCTGTTCCTGATGTGCCGCCCGTCATCGCGCCTGCCAATCTCTCGCTTTTCAGCAGCGGCCTCTGCCACCACCATCAGCACCGCACGGCTGCCTTGTCGTCCCCTTGTCCGCAGGCAAGACGCTGCTGCTGATCACCAACTCTGACTACCACTACACCAACCGCATGATGAGCTTCGCCTACGACCACTTCCTGCCGCAAGGCCAGACCTGGCGCGACCTGTTTGATATGGTGCGCTGGCAGGATGGTGGTGTGGGTGGGTGGGTGGCGGGGCGGCCTAGTGGTGTGAGGGAGAGCAATGGCGAAGAGCTGCACTCGTGAGCATGCCACCTGCGTGTCCTGGCCTTCCCTACTGAAAACTGAACCTGATGATGCCAATGCGTCCACGCTGTGCGCTGCATGCCTGCAGGTGATTGTGAATGCTCGCAAGCCCGACTTCTTCACCTCCTCCCTCTCCCTGTACGAGATTGTGACCGAGGACGGCCTCATGCGCCCCTCCTACTCCCTCAAACGCGGCGGCGTCTACTGCGGCGGCTCGGGTGGGCACGAGCAATACCCGCTTTTGTGTGTGCCGGGGGCTGATCAGGCTGTGGCCCTGCTTGCATCCCTGTCTTGTTGATGTGCGCCTCCCTCTTCGCTGTCCTTCTCATTCGCCCGCGCCTGCCTGCAGCTGCGCTGGTGGAGAAGGCGCTGGGTGTGACCGGGGACTCCATCCTCTATGTTGGAGACCACATCTGTGAGGCTGCTGCTGTGCACAGCATGCACACCGTCAGCGGTCGCCGTGATTCGCAGCGCAAAGCATGCACTCGAGCGCGCTCCTGGCCTGCGCATGCCCCGTGCCTGCCGCTCCTGGCAGCATTGCCAGCCAGCTCACCGCCCCTGGAACTCGTCCTTGCGCCCCCATGCCCCCGCAGACACGGATGCCGCCCTGGCCAAGATGAAGCTCAACTGGCGCACCGCGCTGGTCATTGCTGAGCTGGAGCTGGAGATCGAGGCTCTGGCGCAGGGGCGCACGCACCGCCAGCAGCTCAAGGTGGGTGATTGCGTGGATGTGTGTGCCTGCATTTGGTGGTGGCGCACGCCCGGCAGTGTGTTCCAGCCTCAGAGCCTCCTTGGCTCGCCGCTCGTGTCGGCAGCATTCCATGCATGCCTGCGCACCTACCTGCTGCCCGCGCGTTGACCCTTCCCCTGCCCCTGCCTCCGCAGGAGCTGCTGAACAAGAAGGACATGGTAGGCGACTGCTTCAACCAGCTGCGCCTCGCCCGCCAGCGCACGCTCAACGAGAATGCTGTGGTGAGTCGCGGCCCTCGCCCTCTGTGCTTGTGCTGGCCAGACCATCTGGGCGTCTCCGACGGGCACCTCTGCACGCTTGAGACTGCCTGCCCTGACGTCGCCCGCCCCTGCTGCTTCCGTGCTGCGCAGGTGAAGCCGGGCCGGGGCGGCCGCCCGCTGGGTCCCACCGCCTGCGCCTCCATGGACGATGAGCAGGACATGAACGACACGCTGGGCCAGCTGCTGATGGTGATGCAGCTGCTGGATGAGGAGATTGGTGAGCTGGTGGGGCTGTCAGGACATTTGGAATTCGTGGGGCGGGGCTGGTTTTGCACTTTTGAGGGGTGGTGGTGGACGGGATCCCCAGAGGTGGACCACGGCGTAGCCAGCAGGCAGCTCTCCGCCCAGGCCAGCTAGCTGACGTCAGTTTTCGGCCGCTGCGCTGCTGGCTGCCTGCTGCTGCGCAGGCCCCATGATTGAGGCCGACGGCATGCACTTCAACAAGCGCTGGGGCTACCTGTCGCGGGCGGGTGTGAACGACAAGAGCCAGCTCATGAGGCAGATCGAGAAGTATGCGGGTGCGTGCACACACACACACACGCGCATGCTGGCAGCCGCGGAACCGCAGCACTCTACTGGTTACTGGCCGCCCGCTGTGGCCGCCCGCTGTGCCTGTGCTGCCTCTGTGTCTTTGTGTCTCTCCTCTCAACGTGTGGCTTTGGCACTGTGCTGTGCTGTGTTGCGCTGTGCAGACATCTTCACCAGCCGTGTGTCCAACTTCCTGCGCTACACGCCCTTTGAGGTGGGCTGGGCCAGGGGTAGCTGCCACCGTGGGCCAGCAGGGCAGGGCAGTGAGCCGCCAGAGGGCAGATGCGTTTGCAGATCTTCATGCTCCTGATACCCCACTACCTTCCTGGCCCGCGCCGCTGCAATGTCGCTGTTTGCCAGCCAACCTGGCTGTGCTGAGCGAACTCAGTTGCCTTCATCTTTTTGCTCCGCCGCCTGCAGTACTTCCGCTCACCGGCGCAGCTGCTGGTGCATGACCGCCCCACGGCAGACAACCTGGTGCTGGCCAGCTGCGCTCTTTCGTCTGCTGAGGCAGAGATGGGGCGCGCGTACAGCAGCGGAAATGGCTATAAGAAAGAGAGCAGCACCAGCAACGGGCGCAGCACCAATGGCAGTACCAACAGCGCCAACAGAGGTGCATTCGCCGCCTCTGCCGCCAGCAGGACCGCACCCACTAGCGGCAGCCAGCCCGCAGCGCCTGTGGCAGGCCCTCCGGCCTGACACGGCCTATCCACTCACCAAAAGGCACCTTCGTACAACCCACCCGAAGCACTTCTTGTATCACCAGCCACCCCGCGTGAATTTCTTGACCTATCCTCTCATGTACCCTTCGCACTTCTCTAATGCCACTCACACTTGCCTTGCCTTGTGATACTTTCATTTTGTGCCCGTTGGGCCTTTGTTCTGCCAAACCCACCCACTCGTCAACCCATTCTTCTGTTGCACACTTGCCTCTACTTTTGTCGCACCCCTCCTTTGTTCTATGCCGATGCAGTATGCTGTCGCGCCCCAGGGTTTGAAAGTTGGCCCGAACACAGATGATGCGGTGCAGTTTCTGACAGACACATGTGTGCAGGTGGCGGTGGCTCAGAACCGACGCTTACTGTGTGGCAGGCAGTGTGAGCTGGGCGGCAAGCTGGGCCTGGGTGTACACGCTGTGGATGGGCATCCGCGTGTCATGCGTTAACATGGGAAGGAATGTACCAGAGGCTGTGAAAACACATCTAGCGCATGCTAGGGTGGCAGGTACGAATGGAACGAGGAACCACGGTGATCAGCACTCTTTGGGGGAGGGTGGAGCATACAATTGATAGAGGCGGGCTGGCAACAGATGTCAGCATAGCACACTCAGCACAGCGACGTGTATGCAATACATGTACCGCATTCACACAAGAAGAATTGCAGCGTTGGTGACAATAGGCAAAGCGGGAGGAGACCCAACATTTTGCCAAGTTATGCATGGATGCAGCATAGAGCGCTGCGTAGCATGTGAAAGAGCGACGGCCCAAAACGGGTGCACCATGGCACAGGCCTGGTCACAACTGTGTGCTGGTATTCATGTTGCGCCGCACATGGTTGCGCGGCGGCTCTGGCAGATCCGCTGGCCAGACGTCTTCCCCCTCGCCTGCAGCCAGGCAGCCAGGACGCATGAATGGCATCGAGCCAAGCCAAGCCACGCAGCAACGCAGCCATCCCACACGCCAGCGTCGTCAACCCGAAGGTCCCAGCAGCGCGTGCCCACCTGAGTAGCGTGGTGAGGCGGGCGGCGAGCTGCGAGGGGAGTGCCGTGGCGAGCCAGCATGTGGGGAGCCCATGCGTGGCGAACGGGAGCCATCCAAGCCATTGCTAGCATGCAGGTGGTGCGGACTGCAGGGAAGCAAAGAGGCAGGCTGAAGTTTGGGATCGAGGCGGGATCAGCAGTGCTAAAGTAGCTGCTTGCTACACCATCCTTGGTCCCAGGCTGCGCAGCATGGCTGGGTTTGCCTGAGCCGCAGGTGCCCCGTCTGTATCCGCAGGCCGCACTCGTGCTTGTATGCGTCTGCGGAGGAAGGGCACACACAAGCAGCTAGGAGGCAGGATGCGTCGACAGAGCGACACTCGGTGGTGGTCCACTGCCTGCCCTCGCAGCCGCAGCACCGTCGCAAGCGGGCCCACAGCCGTTTGGCGTCCACCACCCCAAAGCCACAGCCCACAGCCAGCCCTGGCGCTCACACTCATCGCTGGCCAGGCTGCCCTCCAGGTTGAGCTGCACCCAGATTCCGTCGTCCCGCTGCTCCACATTGTGCATGCGCTGCCGCTGGCCCACGCTGCAGTCAGGAGAAGCGGGAAGATGTTTCAAGCTGAGGCAAGCCCAAGCGACAGCGTGCAGCAGGCAGGCAGCCTCATCGGCGAGCAGCCAGGCGCGCCTTGGCTGGCCGAGGCGCCGCTCGGCTCACCTCTTCCAGGGCCCGGGCAGCAGTTTGCCGTCGGGGCCCTGCACCGTCCCCTGGTAGAACTTCTCCCCGCTTCCAAGTGCGACGTAGTAATAATGCCAGGGGCACCGCAGGCAGGGCTCCCCGCTGGGCAGCTCCTCGACGTCTCCCAGCGCAAGAGGGCCGCCGGCGTGGAAGCACACGCTGTCCAGGCAGTGCAGCTTGCCCTCGTGCTTCAGCACCGTCACGTAGCGGCCCTGCATGTGTGTGCCCACGCGCAAAGTGGGAGTGCAGCCGCGGTGTGTAGAGCAAGCGAGCGCACGTGCGGGATGGCGGCGCCACGGCAGCCATTGACTCAAAACAGGCACGGCGTCCTCCACCATTGCTCTCCGCGATACGCTTGTCCAATGAGCACCTTACCTCGACCTGCGCGTGAAGCCTGCCACCCGAGGTGCTCTCCTCGAGTCGGCCCAGATAAACCCAGGGCCAGGCTGCCGGGGCCTCCTCCTCAGTCTCCATTGCCACGATGTACGCGCAGGGTTGGAGGAGCCCCGGGACGGTTTGAGCACTTCAGCAGGCTTTCGGGCTCCTTCAACGGGGTTTCGGGGTTCGCCTATACGGTTTTTGGGATCACGGTCGGCTTCAAACGTCGATAGTCGCAGTCGCAGGCTGCAAGTTCTCGATGAGTGGGAGCTGGCGGTACACCCGCCAGGCGGAGGCGTACTAGCACTGCTGCCCTCTCATCTCACAGCCTATTAGCACATGATTCCAGCTTGCCAGACACCATCCACAGTTTCTACATTTGACAGCGGTGGGATTGCGCCGCCAGCCGCGCGGAGTCGCACCGCTGCCGCCTGGTGAAGCAGCAGGGCCACGGAGCAGCGCAGCAGCGAGGGAAAGGGCAGCCGCAGCGAGGGCCTTGCACGTGATGCGGTAATGCCTCTTTTGGCCCAGTGCAGCTGCAGAAGACTCCCCTGAAATGATTGAATGCTCGCTGCTGTGCCCTCCTGCAAGCGGGGTGCCGCCTGCACCAGTTGGCGCCGCTCTGTCGGCCAGCGCCAGCTGCACTGGACTGCAAGCGGGCGCACACATCATGGCGCCAGATGCCATGCCTGCCGACACCGTAAAGGCGCCGCCTTGAGCCGCAGACCGGCCAGGATGGGGGACACACATGTGTCCTGGTGTGGTGGTGGCGCACACACCAGCCAGCCATGGTTGTGCCGATGATGCCCTGCGATCATGCAGGTTGCAGCCGGGCTTTCTGCTGCAGCCTGCCGTTATTACCCAGAGACACAGCACGCAGCAGGCAAGGATCATCTGGGTGAGGCCCGGCGGTGTGTTTGCATTTGCCCAAACCGCTCCCTCCCTAGCCCACCATGGCGTCAGCAATTGCTCAGCAGGCGGTGGCCGTGTGCAGCGCCCCGGCCCAGCGCCAGGCGCCCAGGGCATCTGCTAAGGCCTTTGTTGGCGCCTCCGTGCAGCGCAAGCACGCCTTCCTGGGCCGCAGCATTGTTCAGAGCAGCAGCAAGCAGCAGCAGGGCGCCTCCCGCTCTGCTGCCCTCAAGGTGTTCGCTGTGCGCGATGGAACACCGCTGGACCGGCCCCTGCGCGTCGCCGTGATCGGCGGCGGCCCCTCGGGCGCCTGCTGCGCGGAGGTAGGGGGAGATGGAAGCAGGCTGGCGGGGCGCAGAAAATATCGCACCCGCCGCCGCCGCCAGGCAAGGGCAGCCCTGCGAGCCCCAGCGCTGACTGGAAATCCACCCCACTGTCTGATGCAGTCCCTGGCCAAGGGCGGCGTGGAGGCCTTCCTGATTGAGCGCAAGATGGACAACTGCAAGGTGGGTTTGCGAAAGGGCTGGTTTTGTGGCGCCCAGCGTCGGCAAGCCATCACCGCGGCTGGCCTCTGCCATTGAGACCAGCCCCAGCCTGAGCACTCCTGGCAGCCACGGCAATTACAAACAATGGCCGCAGAGGCCAACCAAGCAGTGCCAAGCCGCGCCTGCCCCCTCCGACCTCCCGCCCACCTCCCTCCCCAACGCCTCCCCCCCCATGTGCTGCAGCCGTGCGGCGGCGCCATCCCCATCTGCATGGTGGAGGAGTTTGACCTGCCCATGGAGATCATCGACCGCCGCGTGACCAAGATGAAGATGATCTCCCCCTCCAACCGCGAAGTGGATGTGGGCAAGACGCTCAACGACAAGGAGTGGATCGGCATGTGCCGCCGCGAGGTGCGGCCCCGCCCGGGGCGTGGCGCTACGCCGCCTGCCCCCTCCCGGCTCTGCTCCTGATCCTTTGGCCCCCGCTCAGCGCTCCCTCCTCCTTTCCGCTCAGCTCCCGTCACTCCCTCCCGCCCTGCCCTTGCCCCCCGCAGGTGTTTGACGACTTCCTGCGCAAGCGTGCCGCCAAGCTGGGCGCCAACGTGATCAACGGTCTGTACATGGGCATGGAGCAGCAGGGCGACGGCCCCATCACCCTGCGGTACAACAAGTACAACGAGGGTGAGCACCTACAAGTGCGCGGGGTCCTGCTCCTGCCATGGGCGGTGCTGTGCTGCGCTGCCTGCGCTGCTCTCCGCTGCCGCATGCGCCGCCCCGCCTTGCGATGCCCGCGCTGCCGCCCGGGCCTGGCCGCTGCGGCAGCAGCCAGCTGTGAGCCAGCAGCGCGCCACCGCGCCCGGCAGCACCAGCCGGCCAGCAGCGCAGCCGGGCCCCTGGCCCGCCTGCCGCGCGTGGATCGCAGCAGCTGCCGCCGATCGCTGCCTGGCGCGGCAGCAGTGCATGCGCCCACCCTGCGTGCGTGCCGCCGCCCTCCCGCTCTCCCCCGCAGGCGACAAGGTGGGCACCCCCAGCACGCTGGAGGTGGATGTGGTGATTGGCGCCGACGGCGCCAACAGCCGCGTGGCCAAGGACATTGATGCGGGAGAGTACGACTACGCCATCGCCTTCCAGGTGGGGGCCCTGGGGGGCTTGGAGGAAAGCATGGCATCGCCACATGTCGGCAACGGAGAGCGGGTGCTGTTTTGTCGCATAGGCTGGCCCCGGCCGGGCAGGGGCCCGGTGCCCCGCGCGAGCATCGCTCTCGCCCTGCCAGCCCTCCAGCCAGCCTGCCTCGACCCCTGCCTGTTTGCTGCCGCCCCGCAGGAGCGCATCCGCATCCCCGAGGACAAGATGGAGTACTACAAGGACCTGGCCGAGATGTGAGGCTGCCTTCCTTTCTTTTCCTGCTTTCTTTTCCTGCTTTCTTTCTTTGCGTTGCCGCCGCTGAGCTGGTGCAGGCGCTGAGCTGGCCTCCGAGCTCAAAAGCGAGCAAGTAGCCGCTTCGGCGTGGGCCCCCCGGCCCCTGCACCATCCTGTGCCTCGCTCGCTGCCCCCTGATCTCCCGCTTCGTCCGCTCCCCCCAAACCCCCTCACCCCACCCCACCCATCCGCGCAGGTATGTGGGCGACGACGTGTCCCCAGACTTCTACGGCTGGGTGTTCCCCAAGTACGACCACGTGGCGGTGGGTACCGGCACCGTGGTCAACAAGACCGCGATCAAGCAGTACCAGCAGGCCACGCGGGACCGCGCCAAGGTCAAGACCGAGGGCGGCCAGATCATCCGCGTGGAGGCGCACCCCATCCCCGGTGAGCACGCGGGGCAGGCTCGGGGCTGGCAGCGCGAGGGCGCGGCCGAGCGCTGGAGGCGGAGCCCTGCGGCCGCCGCCGGCTTGCCTACACGCCTCTTATCCGCAGCCACCACCTGTTTGTTCGCCCGCCCTTCCCTGCTCTATCCTGCCCTGCCCTGCCCTGCCCTGCCCCTCACCCCACCCCGCCCCATGTCCCCGCACTCCTGCAGAGCACCCCCGCCCGCGCCGCGTCAAGGGCCGCGTGACCCTGGTCGGCGACGCCGCCGGCTACGTGACCAAGTGCTCGGGCGAGGGCATTTACTTTGCGGCCAAGAGCGGGCGCATGGCGGGCGAGGCGCTGGTGAAGGCGTCGGAGGGCGGCAAGAAGATGGCGGGTGCGTGGGCGGGCGCTTGGGTTGGCTGCGCAGGCTGCCGCCACCTGCGCATGCGGGGCGGGGCGGGGCGGGGCTGCTGCCGGCAGCAGCTGCCGGATGGGGGCGCGGCGTCCAGCCCAGCGCCGCTGCCGCCGCTCTCCCTGCTGCCATCCCCGCCGGCGGCCGCCCGCTGCACCTGCCCCCATCCCTCTCCCTCACCGTGTGTGCCTTCCTTGCTGTCCTCCCCGCAGGCGAGCGCGCGCTGCGCAACTACCTGGACGAGTTTGACCGCAAGTACTGGTGGGTGCCGGCTCGCTTTCTTAATGACAATGCACACCGCCACGCGTCTGCCTCGTTATGTGCACTATGTGAATGCCTTCCTTGCCTCCCGCGCAGCGCAGCACGCCCAGGCCTCTTCCCCGCGCCGCGCCTGCTGCCAACTCAACGCCTCCTTCCTTCTTCCACCCACGCCCCTGCTTTCCTGTCCTTTCCTCCCCGCAGGGCCACCTACAAGGTGCTGGACATCCTGCAGAAGGTGTTCTACCGCTCCAACCCGGCCCGCGAGGCGTTTGTGGAGATGTGTGAGTCCAACTACGTGCAGAAGATGACCTTCGACTCGTACCTGTACAAGACGGGTGAGCCTGGGGGGGCGAGTCGGGGCTGTGTGGTGTGTATGGAGGGTGCGTGTCAGCGCAGGCTGGCGAGGGCCTGTGCGTTTGAGAGTGCGTCAGGCCGGCCCGATACCCCGGTGGTGGCGCTGTGGGTCTGCGCGCATGCGCGCGTGTGGGCTTGGGGGCAAGCGCCATTGTTGCAGCCCAGGCCCCGCGGCGCTGTGCCCTGCTCCCCACCCGGCTCCCCACCCCCACCCCGCCCTCCTCCCCCTCCCCCCTCGCTCTCCCGCCCGCAGTCGTGCCCGGCAACCCGCTGGATGACGTCAAGCTGCTGGTGGACACGGTGGGCTCGCTGCTGCGCTCCAACGCGCTGCGCGCCAAGGACTCCAAGTCCGTCAACGTCAGCTTTGGCAGCAAGAGCAACGAGGAGAAGGTGACGGCGGCCGCGTGAGCGGCGCCCCTAGTGCCCCTAGACGCCAGGGCGCAGGGGAGAGGCCCGCTCCCCTCCCCTCTGCTCCGCCCCTCAATTCCTTTGCTGCCCCCGCGCTCGCTCCGGCCGGCGGCCCGGGCCCCTGTTTATTTTTTGTTTGCTCCAGGCGGCCCGCCTTCCCCTAACGCCTCAGCTCCCCCGAGCGCGCAGCAGCAATTTCATTTGCTGCGCCCTTTTTCCCGTTCAGCTCCTTCTGTCTTTTGCTTTAGCTCTCGTGCGGCCTCACCGCCGCGCCCGTGTCCCGCTCCCGTGGGTGCGGTGGCAGCACATACACTCTGTGCCGCCGCGCTCCACATTGACCTATTATTGCCCCATGGTGCCTACCGGGCTGTTTTCCCCTGCCTTGATGCAAAATGCAAAGGCATGAGATCCCCACCCCCACTCCACTACCGCGCTGCCCCTGTCTGCGCGTCATGTAGCACTGTCTGCACTGCGCTCACACTTGCAGCGCACTGTGACCACACACTGTCACGCTAGCTATTGAACAGGTCTTGAGGAGGGCCCAGGGAGGTAGTATGAACAGTGTGACGGCATGCGCGAGGTGGTGGCAGCGGCATGGATGAACAGGTGGCTGGCACATTGAGAGCGCAATGTGCCTCAATCAGACAGGGAGGACGGAAGGAGGAGAATGGTGCCGTCCACCAGGTTGGGCCGTGCACCAGGTTGGGCCGAGCGGCAGCAGCTGTGGAGCAGAACAGCACCCGTCCATCCCTTTGGCGGCAGGCGCTCAGCAGAAGCACACAGACCCTGGCAGCGCCTGGCCATTCAGGCCGCGGACGCCGTAGGACAGGGGGCTGCTGGAGGCCTGCGGGCGGTGTGGGGCAGGCGCACAGGAAAGCGCATCAGCCTTGTGGTGCCAGCGAGCGGTCGCCCTGTGCTCACCTGAGGCGCTGGGCAGCAGCTGCATGTAGGCAGCTGCATGCCACCAAGCGGAGGCCCCTTCTCGCCCGTTCCTCACCTTGACATAGCTGCAGAAGTTGCCGGCCAGGCCGCAGACGCACTGCTGGGGGGCGCTGCCGGAGCAGCACTGCTGGCGCACGAAGCCAAAGCAGCTGGGGCCGCCAGACGGGGCGGGGCCGGGGGCGGGTGCCGGGGCCGGGGCCGGGGCGGGAGGTGCGGCCTGGCAGGCCTGGAGGTTAGAGAACACTTGGGCATAAGTGAAGGACGCAGCATCAGCCTGCACAGCAAGCCAGGGATTGAGCAGAAGTCGGTATTGTCGGCGTGCCCGCTGCCGTTCCTGGCCATGCCACACGCGCTGCGACATGCTCTCACCACGGCAGTGGCCTGCGAACTGCCAGACGCCGAGGCCGTGGCAGAGCTGCCATCAGCGGCGCATGCCGTGGCGGTGACTGCACGGCAGGGTGCCAGGCGGCCCTCTCAGGCAGCCTAGTGGGCGGCACAGCGTGTGAGCAGCTCCAATACCAGCGCATAGTGCCTGCGACCTCCGCACAGAGGCGCAGAGCTCACCCGTAACGGAAGCCACGGCGATGTTCTGCTCAATGGCGGATGCTGTGGCCGAGGAGACTGCCTGGGAGCAGGCACAGGAGACGCTGGCGATGGCGGAGCTGGCCGCCTGCGGGAGAGGGTGGAGGGGCAGGCGAGGGTCAGTAGCGTCCAAGCTTTGGGGGCTGCCCCTTCCCACCATGGCCCCGACTGCTGCCTCACCTGAGCCCCCGCAGAGGCCACCGCGGTTGCTGCACAAGGGAGGGATGCAGGCAATCAATGCCGGCCTATGGCAAGAGGCCTCAGCGCACCTGCATGCATTCCCATCTCACCTGTGGAGCTCGCGGTGCCGCAGCCGGAGGCCTGGCCGGTGGTCACCACCGTCACCGTGGCATTCGCCACCGCCGTCGCTGTGGCAGACGCTGTGGCAGTGGCTGCGAGCAGCAGCAGCAGCAGCAGAAGAAGAAGAAGCATGATAAGCATGGGCAATGAACAAGGGAAGGAAACAAGATGCAGGCGCTGGAGAACGCTTCCCTACCTGCAGCCTGGGCAGCCGCCTCCACCGACCCGCCCGCGCACACTTGGTTGGCGGCGTCGGCCACCGCCTGCGCCGTGGCCGTGCTGGCAGCGTTGATGGCGGTGGCGGAGGTCTGCACGATGACCGTCACGGTGTCTTGGATGCCCTGGTCCACCGCGCTGGAGGCGGCGGCGGCATTGCCGCTGGACAGGGAGGCGGGGTCGACGGTACCGCCAGAGCCCTGCAGGGAGGCAGCCAGGCAGGGATGGCGCCAGGAAGGGCAGCGCCAGAAAGGAAGCTTGTGTGTTGCTGGCCGCATGCACCGGCTGCCGCTGTGCATGGCGCGTGGTGCTGAGATGCATATCCGCCAGGGCTGCGCGGGCGGGCGCCAGCGGCGCGTACCTGAGACATGGCGGCAGCCACAGCGCTAGCAGAGGCGCCATACATGGTGACCGCCAGCGAGGCGGCCTGGGCAAACTCGGAGGTGGTGCCGGCGGTGGCGGCCAGGGCGGTGGCGGCGGCCACCACGTCGGCGTTGCCGCTGTTCACGCTGTCAGCGATCTGCTGGGCGGCGCCGTCGGTGTTGCCGGCAGCCACATCGGCCTGGATGCCCTGCGCGCTGGCCACTGCGCGGTGCAGGAGGTGGGCAGGGCAGCAAGTGATTCACGGCCAGGCAAACAGAGCGGCGGCTCAAGGAAAAGGAGCCAGCTGCCGGTGCCAGCAGCCTGGACGTTTTGCAGCCATGCCTGTGGGGTTGGAGCTGGTAGGTGGGACGTAGGGCTGGATGGGCTCAATCTCGGCAGCAGGAGCGGGTGGCAGGGGCGGGGCGCCGCTGCCGCCCTGCTCCGCGCTTGGGGCAAAGGCGGAAGGCGGCAGGGCGCCTGCGGGAGGGGCGCGCTCTGGGGAAGGGGGGAGGGCTGCAGCAGGCGGGTGCAACCAGCGGCGGGATGTGATGCGGGCAGACTCATCAGCGCAAGGAAGGCGAGCCATGGCAGCACAGGGCACCAGTCAGGGGCCGCACGCAGTGGGCCAACTTGCCTGTGATGCGCTGGCCTGCTGGAGGCTCGGCCACGGGAGCGGCAGCCACGCGAGCGGGCTGCTGTGGAGCCGATTCGGGCGTGGGAGCAGGGGCGGCCTGGCCAGCGCCGCCATCGGTCGCGATGGTGCCCTGCCGCTGCTCGGGGCGTGGAGCGGGGGCGGGGGCGCCGCCGGCATTGGTGAATTGCTGCAGGCGGCGGCTTTCCCTGGGCGCGGCTGTGCCTGCAAGGAGAAGCTTACGCAGGCCTGCTTGCTTGGCTGGTCCAAGGAATAAGCCAAGAGGCCAGGCGGCGGGAGGGCTGCCGCCGGCGTCTCCTCATGCCCAGTTCTGAGGCAGCACACGACCTTGCAGCACGAACAGCAGGTGCAGAGGTGCCCAGGGAGGCAGGATTAGCTCACCTTGGTGGAGGGCGCCCATCAACAGCCCCAGCAGCAGCACCAGACGGGCGTTGGCCTTCATGGCTGCTACAGCAACGAACCACAGCAACAGCCAGGCAGCCAGGCAAACAGCCATTCTCACAGCTGCATGCACGTTCCTCCACTTTCTTCCCGCCAACGCCGTCCAAGACTTCTGGTTTTGGGCGTTCTTACATTGAGGCATATGTTCCGAGGCATGCATGGGCATAGAAGATGCAGAGCAATGTGCTACTGGCCACTCTGATGGGTGCGCTGAGAAAAAGAAGAGGATAGACGGTGGGACGGAAACAAAAAGCGGGGAGCGGGAGCGGGAAGCTGGTGGTTTTGAGTTTGGGCACCGGGCGGGCGGCAGACATGCACGCTTCATGGTCGTCGGTCACAGGTCACAGGCAAAGGCAAGGAAAACGGTCGGCGCTTGGTCGGCATAAGTCATGGGGTGCGAATGGGAGCAACTAGCTGCAGAATGGTAAGCTGGAAGGAGAGGGCGCAAGCAGTTCGAGCAGCGGTGCTGTGGCGGGAAAGGTGTGGGCCAGAGGACGGGTCTGCTGAATACACGGTGGATGGCGGGTACACGGGCGCCGGGTGGGCGGTTGGTGCGCCCCAAAAAGTGCCGTTGCGGCTTTCTGTCGCTAAGACCGGTGGAAAAGAGTCGAGGGGGCAGCTGGCAGGTAGCTGGGCGATCAGCACCAGGGCGAGCTGCCACAGTTGCCCGCATCAGCTGCTGCTCCGCCTCAGTCCCTGTTGATGCCGAAGATCCGCACTTTGTGCATGCCGCTCATCTTGGCTATCGTCAGCACCACCACCACCAGCAGGTTGAGGCCCAGCGGCTGGCGACGGAAGTCGGCGCCGTGCGAGGCCAGCAGGAAGAGCACCACGGGCACCACGGTGAAGAACTTGCGGGTGGCGGTGCCCTGCACGCCGTCGTCAATCTGCTCCCAGAACGTGAGGCTGCGGAAGCGCCAGACAGGGCAAGAGGGGTGGGTGGCCAGCGTGAGTTGACGAGCGGTTGGGTTGAGTGCGGAGATGGCGAGCGATCAGCAGCAGCGCAGTGGCTCGGTTGCATGGCAGCAGCACGGCGGTTGGGTCCACAGCAAGGCGGAGCAGCATGCAGAGCAAACTGGCGGCACAAGTGTGGCAGTACACCGCTAGCGAAGGCGGCGGGAGGCATGCGACAGGTTGACTGCCCAGTGGTGCAGCGTCGCGGCACAACGCCCAGGCATCCCCCCAGCTCACTTGTCGTAGATGCCCTGGTCGTCCTGGATGGGGGAGCCCTTGTTCCAGTGCAGCAGGAAGTAGGTGATGGCGCCGTGGCCCAGGTGCACATAGGTCCAGGCCATGCCGGGGTCGGTCCAGGAGGCCAGCACCAGCCAGCACAACACTATGAGGATGATGTAGAAGCACCAGGCGGCCTTCTGGTTGAGCCACTCGGTGTTCTTGTTAGTTGGCACGCTCCTGAGCCGCACGCCCGTGCGGGGGCTGGTAACCACGGGCGCCGTGGTGGTGGTCATGGCTGCCTGCCAGCAAGTGGGTGCCAGGCGGCCGGGGTTCTCGAGGGAGCGCAGGGCGCTGGGCGCGTTGGAGCCACGCAGGGGCGATGGCGGGCGACTGGAAGTTGCGGCACGAGGGTGGGAGCGCGTGAGCAAGGCTGCCCGGCTCTCGGGAGCCCTCAGGGTGGCATGGGTTCCATGTACAGGCGTACTTCAATGGGCCGCCGCTGAGGCTGCCTGGCGACTCCAGCAAGTGATCCGGCATCTCATAGCGCCCTGCAGCCTTGTACCCAGGTGCCCCTTCGCCCGATCACGTCGCCCCCAACTCAAGCACACAAATCGCCCATTCCTGCTGCACTTGCCAGGCTACACGGCGGCCACTGGCCCTGCAGCCCGCAAAAGAGCCAGGCTAGCCACCGCGGTGCACACCCGGACTGGCGGCGCCAGCAACGCGGCGGGCGGAGCGGCGCGGCAGCTGGCGACAGGCAGCTGGGTGTGCTCAGGGCTGAGACAGCATGCACGCTGCCATGAATGGCACAGCGGCAGGGGTGCAGCAGGGCGAGGACAAGGTGGTGCTCAACGTGGAGGTGCTGCTCACCCAGGACAGCCAGGCAGAGCTGCCAGCAGTCAAGGCCGCCGCGCTGGCCTTCCTCTCCAGCCTGTCGTCCATCCGCTACTCAGAGGCGCAGCTGGCGCCGCCCCCCGGCCAGCACCCGCTGCTGGATGCGCACGTGGAGTCGATGCGGGTGGTGGATGTTGGGGACAAGCTGCCGCCCGGCAAGCTGCTGCTGCAGTGGGACGTGGCGTGGAATGTGAGTGCTGGGGGGCGCTGTGTGCTGGGGTTGATTCAGGGGAGCGGGCCCCCACATCGTCCTCCGTGCTGCTGTGCTGGGGCGCCGGCAGCAGCGGGTCGGCGCAGCTGCTGCGTGCGCCAGCAGATGGCGGGGCAGTTCGCGTCTCCCATACCGAGGCGCAGCGACGGAATGCAACAGCAGAAGGCAACCCTCCCGCTGCACCTCGCCCGCCTGCTCGCCTGCCTTGCCCTCCCTGCCTCCCTGCCTATGCCCCTGCTTGCCCACCCTGCTTTCCACTCTTCTCTCCTCCCCGCAGGTGCTTGTCTACCAGCTGGATGCCGAGGGACCCGCAGACGACGACGAGTGCGACGATGCCGCCCCCTCGCACCGCGAGTGGGCGCTGCCCGCGGCAGAGTTCCAGGGCCAGTGGGAGGCGCTCTACTACGAGGCAGAGATCAAGCAGCGCCTGCTGCGCTACGCCACCTCGGCGCTGCTGTTTGCGGAGAGCAGGGTCAACCCGCAGCTCATCAGCTGGAACCGCGTCGTGCTGCTGCACGGCCCGCCCGGCACCGGCAAGACGAGCCTGTGCCAGGCGCTGGCACAGAAGCTGACCATTCGCCTGGGGGGCCGGTGGGTGGGGGCGGGAGGGCGGGCCAGCATGCGACGCAGGGGACGCAGCGAGTAGCGACACGTATGATCGGATGGATTCATGTTCTGAGAGCTGCGCAAGTACAGCAGATGTACCTGAGCTGCGCTGTGCGCTGTGCAGGTACACCCACGGCGTGCTCATTGAGGTCAACGCCCACAGCCTGTTCAGCAAGTGGTTCAGCGAGAGCGGCAAGCTGGTGTCCCGCCTGTTTGCCAAGATCCAGGTGCGCAGCAGGGCCGTGCCAGCCTGTCTCCAGCCACAGCCCATCCGTCTTCGTGGATTGATTTGTCGCAGCATGCATGCGTGCAGCAGCGCTTGGTGCCCCTCCCCAGCTGGCCAGCGAGGCAGCTGCTCCCTGAAACGTTGCTGCGCCATGTGCGTGCTGCGACGCGCCGCGCTGCGCTGTGCTGCAGGAGGTGGTGGATGAGCCTGATGCGCTGGTGTTTGTGCTGATAGACGAGGTGGAAAGCTTGACGGCGGCCAGGTGCATAACGGCGCCCTGCCACCTGCCCGGCCTCGCGCTGCTCTCATCAACTCGCCGCCAGTCTCTTCATCTCCCTGCCCGCCTGCCTGCCTATCTACTTCTCCACCTACCGTGCTGCTCGGCCCGTGGTGCAGGAAGGCGGCGGTGAGCGGGTCGGAGCCCGCAGACGCCATCCGCGCTGTCAATGCGCTGCTCACGCGCCTGGACCAGCTCAAGGCAGCGCCCAACGTCATGGTGGGGTGGGAGGAGGGTGTGTGTGAATGTGTTTGCCTGTCTGGCATGTGCGCATCTGTGTGTTTTGGGTTGCGATGCTGCAGACAGGAGGGCAGGCTCTTGTCCCGGCAGCCGCACGTGACCAATGATCTGCCTGCCAATGCATGCGCTCTACCCTCCTTCCTGCCTGCCTGCCGCCCTGCCCCTCTTCCTTTCATCCTGCCCAGGTTCTGACCACCAGCAACATCACAGAGGCCATTGACCTGGCCTTTGTGGACCGAGCCGACATCAAGGCGTACATAGGCAACCCCAACCTGCAGGCCAGGTGAGGCGAAGCGGCGTGGGAGAGCGTGTTCGGTGGGTGGGACAGTGTAGGACGGGCAGGCTGGCACGCAGGCAGGCACACGTAGGTGGCGCCGGTGAACCCGTCCTGCTCCAGGGCCTGCAATCACCCCTTGGGTGCGGCCCTCGGCCGGAGGCGCTCCTCCAGACAGCCCAGTTGGCCCCATACAGCGCCGCACATGCTGCCGCCTTGCGCAGGTACGAGATACTGCGCACCTGCATCGCGGAGCTGCAGCAGGCGGGCATCATCACAGACGGCACGCCGCTGCAGCCCTTCTCCGACGCCTGCTGCCAGGCGGAGGCGCCGGAGGGCGGCCATGGCGCAGCTGCGGCCGCCAATGGGATCGCCAATGGGTCCAACGGCGCCTGCGGCCAGGGCGGCAGCTGCTGCAGCATGGACGAGGAGACGGAGCAGCCGCAGGCCAGCCACCTGAGGTGAGGTTGGCCCGGGCAGCTGTCACCGGGTGCTTGCTTTCAAGGGCAACTCCCATGAAAACGTGGGGCGGGATCGGTCGGCAGGTCGGGCAGGTTACAGGCAGCAGCTTGCCAGGCAGGCACCGTCAGCAGCACGTAATGTCTGCTGCTGATTTGTGCATGCTTTCTCTGGTCCGGCTTCCTGCCCCTGCAGCTGCCGCCTGCTGGAGGCGGCACGAGCGGCCGACGGCTTCAGCGGGCGTACGCTGCGCAAGCTGCCGTTCCTGGCACACGCGGCGCAAGACTTTCCGGGCGGCCGCTGCAGCTGCGTGCAGTACCTGGGCGCACTGCTGGCTGCAGTGGAGCGGGAGCGAACAGACCGGGCCAGCCTGACTGAGGGAGGGTGAGCTGGGCGCTCAGCGCATGACACGTGAGATGCAGCCTGATCGGAGATGCACATCTCACCTGTGGAGACTCTCCACATGTTCATATGACTCTCTTCGCCTGTGATTGTCTCATTTTTAATGTGACACAGAAATGTTTCAAAACAGGGCTGTGGAATGTAAACGGCAGGCTGGGATTGGGTATGGAAGTTCCAGGCTCACGGGTAGTAGTGCAAAGTGCTGGGCAAAAAACAGTCCAATATCTTTTTGCCAACTTATTGTTATGGGCGTGAATAGGTAGTGAGTGAGGGCACACGGAGGCAGGGCATGGTGACAGGAGGGAAGGTAGGAGGCCGCAAGTCTGCCAGCAGCGCCGCCCATCCAATCTGAAGTTGAGTTGGCCGGCGGAAAACGGCTGCCACAGATGCCGGAGGGAAGAAACCCCTCACAGCATACTGCGAGACTTGGGCCTGACACACACGGGCTGGCCCTTCCTGCTCACGATGCAGCGCGGCTTGCGCTTGCTGAGGCACTTCACGCCCACGCACTTGCTGACGCACTTGGCCTTCTTCCCCTGCAGGTTGCGGATGGGCCAAAGAGCACAGCTAGGAGGCATGCACGCTAGTAGAGGCGAGAGCAGGCAGATGGCCGAGAGAGACGGAATGCAGCAGTCCAGTGCTGCCTTGTGTCACCCGCACCTTGGCGATGCACTTGAAGGCCTTCCTGCACTTCTTTCCCTTGCAGGGGTTGACGGGCTTAGGCCGCCGGGTACACTTGGCGCGGCCCCTCTGCATATTATCATTGTGGAAGGAGCACATGCTGTGAATGCAAGGCTTTCCAAAGGGTGGCACAACACGACCACAAAATCGATAACGGGAAGGGCGGGCGCATCGAAGAAAACAGCCAACAAATACAGCAGAACCCTGGCGGATCAGCGGGAATCTCACCGAGCTCAGTACACACTTGAAGCCGGAGCGGCACCTGACGGCAGCACATGCACTAATGCACTTGCCGACATCGCCCTGCAGGGCCAGCGCACGAAACACCACGATCAATGGGCGAAGGGAGACAAACTTTGAATGCATGTGCTGGTGGGCATGAAGGCTGCCGCTGGCAGAGCATGTGGCACCTTGGCAGCGCCAGCTGCCCAGGGCAGGGAAAGCAGCACCCGTGCTCTCCGCTCTCACCTCAGGCACACACGTGTAGCCGATCAAGCAGGTGGTTGCCGCGCAAGGATTGTAGGTCTTATCCTTCACACACTTGCCCTTGCCGCCCTGCACCTTGCAAAGATGCACGAGGCAATGGGTTGGTCCACGTCTCCGATTCTGAGCATCTGGGCTGCAGCTTTCCCCCCGGCCATGCAGATGCCCCTGCTACTCACCTTTGGCACACACTTGTAGCCGATCAGGCAGGTGGTGGCTGCGCATGGGTTGTACTTTTCTTTGATGCACATGCCCTTGCCGTCCTGCAGCTTGGCAAGGGACTCTGACTCAATGGCTGAACTACAGTCCCCTGGCAATGACAGGCACCGCCGTGAACATCTCTAGGCGCCAATACCAGGGCAGGTGGCCCCTGCCGCACCCCAGACTCACCACTGGCACGCAGCTCCAGCCCCGCATGCACGTGGTGGCCGCGCACGGGTTGTAAGCCTCGTTCTCGGGGATGGGCCCGACCATTGTCTCCACATCCATGCACACGCCCTCGCCGGCCTGCATGCACAAACAAGAAGCGCTATGGAACACCCGAGGAGATTGGGCACGCTAAGCTCCCACACAGGCAGTGGGAACACTCTGCAGCAGCAATGAGCGCAAGCCAGCAGCCGCAGCCGCGGCAGCGCACGCCTTGGCTCACCTCGTTCATAGCGCAGACCTGGTTGTCCTGGCAGAGAATAGCGGCGCAGGGGTTGGGCAGACACTCCGCACCGTTCTGCAGCAACAGGCCAACAACCAGGGTGCGACGCACAGAGGGCAAATGCCTGGCAGCAGCCTTGTTGGCTCAGTCGCAGCCTGCTCCCCGCATCCAGGCCATCCTGCCACTGGCAGCCATGTAGCTGAGCAGGCACGGCAGGGAAGGACACAGGAGCAGGGCCTCTCACCCGGGTCGCCACACATTCGGTGCCCTCGGCACACTTCACGAGGGCACAGTCGGTGAGGCAAAGCGGCTCATCATTCTGCGCCAGAGAAGGTGCACGAGACCAAGTTTATGTTGGTTGGAGAATGTGCGTTGGGGGTGGCGCGTACAGGCTGCACTGCAGTAGCAGGGCTGTTGCTGCTCGCCTCCCTGGCGGGATCACCCTCGGCCTCGCACCTCGACGACGCAAAACTCGTCGTCGCCGCAGGCATGCTTGTAGCAGGGTGTGGGCTTGCACACGGCTTCATTATTCTGCAGGTTGGGAAAGGAAAGGGGAGGGAGCGCCACGTAAAAGGGCAGTCAGGGCCTAGAGTGAGAGGGCCTTCCCGCCAGCGCAGTGCAGACTGCATGTCGCCGGAGGCTGCTCCCACCTCCACTTCGCAGATGGTGTATGGCATGCAGTCGGCAAGATTGCAGGGATTTTCAGGATCTCCAGTGCCTACATTCAAGCAAGGAGGCAGCTTGGCAGCCGTCAAGGGGGCGGAGGCAGGGCGAGAGTCCCGATGGACCAGGCTGGCGCAGCGGTCAAGCTAGCGGCGGCGGTGGTGGCGGGGCAAGGCCGGCCGCGCAGGGGCGGTTATGTACAGGCTCCAGACAGCCTCACCTTCGTTCCCCTCGGTGCTGCCCTCCTCTGCGTTCACCCTGCACGACGGGAAGGAGGGGAACGACGGTGGGCGCGAGCCCAGCGCCGGCTTGCAGCTGTCGCAGAAGCCTCTGCTATCATCAGACCCACCTGGCGAGCAGCGCCAGGCCGCAGACGAGCCAGACCAGGCGGGGCATGGTGTGGCGGGAGACCTCGCAAGCCTTGCACAAGGCGGGAGCCTGTGGTTTGTTTGATGGCAAAGCGCCGTTTAATAAAACCGGGGAGGCTTCAGGTAGGAGGTGGAAACTTTTCTACCCCTTGGGAGGTGTGGTGAAGCTGCGCTAGGCGGCAGCCACCAGGAAGTCGCTCCGTGGTCCACACAACATGGGATGGAGCACCAGCACAGATTGCAGTGAGTCTTCGGGGTTGGGCACCAGCATCACACATTAATTTGCAAAGCACAGGTCAAGAAGAGGGCCCAAGGGCACAGGCGGCGTGGCGGACCCGTCAGACGGACAGGTCGCGACCCTGGTGCCAGACAAGTGCCAGGCCGCGCCGCTGCACGCTGAGCTCAGCGCCGCCCCTGCTGCAGCCACAGCTCGTTGAGCATCTGCGTGACGCGGTGGCCCATGGCCTGCCGGTTCTCATCTGCCGAAGCCAGCTTGTCTGGGTGGAACTGCCTCACAGCCGCAACATAGGCCGCCTTGCATGTGGCCCGCCGGCCGCCGCCCGACTGGAACTGCACGCCCAGCTCTCGCACAAAGCGCACCAGGTCGTGGCCAGCGCGCTGCAGCTGCGCCTGCAGCCGCGCCTCCAGCTCCTGGTGCAGCCGGCTGCTGGCGCTGCCGCTGCTGCGGCTCTCGTGCTCGGGGGGGCGTGTTGGGGCCGGGCTGCGACTGCGGCTGGCGCGGGGAGCGGCGCTGGCGCTTGCTGCTGCCGTCGCTGTGGCCGCCGCCAGGCTGCTGCGAGGGGCCTGCGCTGGCGGCAGGGGCGGACCAGGGCATGGTGCGGGCAATGCGCCTGCCTGCAGTGCCGTCGGCCCAAATGAAGGAGGAGCGTGCGCCTGTGGAGAAGTTGCTGAAGAACTGGCGGCCCAGGTTCTGGCGCTGACCGCCCTCGCCCACGGTGTTGGGCCCCTGCAGCGGCACCCCGCTGCCCTCCTCCCGCGGGCGGAAGCGATGCGGCACCGGGCCTGCGTGGCAGGCAAGACAGCACAAGGGGCAGGTCAGCAAGCGCACACACCGCCAAGCAATGACCGTGGCATGGAGACTCTGTGGCGGCCCTGTTGCCAGCCAGCAGACCCTCTATGCACACCTGTTGGCAGCGGCTCCCTGTCGTTTCCAAAGAAGGACCCGTGCAGCTTGGGACCCCGGTGCTGCAGCACACGGCCCACAAAGTCACGCTCGCCAACGGTCGGCGGCCAGCCGGAGCGCCAGACATGCTGCTGGCCTGCCGCTGCAGGCAGGCGCTGGAAGTGCAGGATGTACAGGAGCTGCTCCCTGCAGCGCACGCGAGCAAATGCCAGCAGGAGTGACCAGCAGGCATGGCGCGTGGTGCTCCTAATGGCATCAAAAGCGCGGCAAGAGACACGCATTTGCATGCTCTCCGCTGCCATGTGCTGAGGTTGGAGTGGTGCACAACGCTGCCCCCGAGCCCCGTGTCCACCTTGCCGCCGCCCACCACCACCACTCCTGCCCTGTCATTTCTCCTTCCCGTCGTTGTTTCTCTCTTCCCTTCCGCACCGAATGTTCATCAAGGCGTTGCCAGTCAGCAGCACGTGGCCAGATGGATCACTTGACATGCTCACTAGCCCATCATGAAACCTGACCGTCTCTTCCTCCTCCTCCTCCTCCTCCTCCTCCTCCTCCTCCTCCTCCTCTTCCTCGCTGCTATCTGCAGCCAGGGACATGCCGGCATGCCACAGGACACATAAATGGGTGGGCAACACAGCAATGGAACGCGCAAACCACGTGTTGCATTGGTGATGCCGAGGGACAGCCGAGCGGTGATGGGAACAGCCAAGTACACAAGGCGGCTCACAGCAAGCAGCGGTAAGGACCAGTGCAGCGAGCGGGCATCGCACCGTCAAAGCCAGGCTGAGACCGTTTGCGCTGTCGCTGCGCCTTGGGGGTCGGAGGCAGATCATCGCTCAACAGCAGGAAGCGCAGTGCCGCCTCCGTCTCTTCGCTATACAGCGCTGGAGGCAGAGCCCACAGCCTCTCGTCATAATGACAGCGGAAGCCAAGCTTCTTCAGGCCATCCCTGCACGGGGGGTGACAGCAGACGCAAAAATGAGGTCAAGTGGAGGGCGCCACCGACCGGGTGTTTTCGTGCCGGGCGGCATGTCCACATGTCGCCCGCTCAGAACCTGGCGCGCACTTGATGTGATACGTATGACATCGGGCTGGAAGGGGACGAAAATGGCGGTGCCCTCCGCGCTCACAGAGCGCAGATAGGCCCTGCCGCCCGCGCCCGGCACCTCCACCCGCTCGGGGGAGCTTGCTGGGCCATCACCATCCTGGTACGTGCGATTAAAGCCGCAGGGGCACAAAGTAGGCCCGCTTCCTGCCGCGGCCCATTGTTCGTGCTGTGGGCGAGCACAGCACGATGTGGTGCATCCTTCAAGGCATGCGTTACAAACAGTGTAATGGTAGCGGATGATGGCAGAGGGGTGCATGCATGCAATACGAAGCTTAGCCGCGGCCTTAACCAGGCCCCCAGCGGCCGCCGCCGGGTCACCGCCGCCGTGCAATGGCCGACAGCCTGCAAAGCGCGACGGCAGGCAACAGGAAATTCTTGTGCTGATCGCTCCGCAAGGATATCCAAGGCGAAATGGATCAATTGTGGAGCCTTGACCTCTAGGTCCAACACTCCTGCCCTGCCCCGCTCACCTGCCGGGCTTGCTGAGGCCCTCGGTGGAGGTGCCCGCCAGCACCAGCGCCGCCGTCAGCTTGACCTTGTGCCCCGCCGCCTTGCCCTTGCCGCTGCTCTCATCCAGCACCGTCAGCTTGATGCGGCACTTGGGGTGCTCCGTCACCTGCGGGGCGTCCCCGGACAGGCAGCCAGGCTCAGTGTGCTGACACTGGAACGCAGCAGGTGGCGCCACAACGCCCTCGTGCTACAGGGCCAGCCCTGCGGCACCCCGGAGGCTCTCACCATGACGGTGTGCATGACCTGCAGCGACGCATGCCGCTCCCACCACCCATCCAGCACCGTCGTCTCGCACTCGCACCCGCTGATGCACTCCACTTCCGCCTTGCCCATGCCCTGCAGACCAGGAGAGGCGCAGGTCTGAGTGGATGAATGCAACGTGGTTTGAAACCAAGCAGCCCAGCCGGCAGCGCGCATGTTGTTGTGGCCGGCACCAACAGCGGCCAGCTGCCGCGCTTGCCTCGTAGCTTGCCAGGTGCCCTATGAGGACCTGGCTCATGGCCCCCTGCTGCTTCTCCTCCTCCTCCTCCTCGCTTGCCGCCTCTGCACAGCATGTGGGCGCACAGCCGGTGTGATGCCACCACGCGCCAAGCGGCACAACAGTGCCTGCATGCCAGCCGCAAGCCTGACAAGCTGCCCGGAAGGCTGCTGTGCTGCGGCCTCCCACCAGCATCGGGGATGCCTCTCATGACGGCGCTAGTGTTGAGCGGCGTGGTGACGGGGCCGCGCAGGTGGTTGTACGAATCCAGGATCACATGGGCCCGCTGGTTGAGCACCGGCAGCAGCACGTCCGCTGCAGGCGGTCACACGGCAGAGTCAGCCGGCAACATATCCCTCAGCTCACCCCTCCCTGCGGCCCTCTGGGCTGAGCCAGGTTGCTGATGCATGCATGCATCAGCATCCAAAGACTCCGGCAGCTGCCACGCTGCTGCTTAGGAAGGCCACCAGGCACCCCGCCCTCGCAGCGCAGGAGCGGCAGAAGTTCTGAACTCCTCCGCACCTACGCTCGCGCCCTCCCCCGCGCCGTCGCCGCTGCTGCGCGAGTCCACCCCCAGCACGACAAAGTCGCCCGGCTTGCCGCCGATCCAACCCCACTTCTCGTCGTTCTCACTCTTGGCGTCGGGCCGCTCGTTCACCCACTTGAACCCCTTCTTCTCCACCACCACATCCTCAAAGTTGCGCTGCAAGGAAAGCCGCGTGGGTGGGGTGATGGAAGGGAGGCCACGCATTGCAGCATTGCACCGAAACGCACGCCACAAGCAAGGACGGGTGGGCTAGGCACGTCACGGCAGCCTGTCGCTTCCCCCTACCACCCAGGCCCCCCAGCTCACGCTCATCAGGCAGGAGGCCGCCTTCTTGTCGTAGTTGCCTGGGATGATGGGCGGCGGCAGCACCTCCTGCGCCACCTCGTGCTCCGCCTCCTGCAGCGGCCGCGCCTGCAGCGACCCCGCGGTTAGCTGCGCCAGCCCGATGAGCAGCTCGGCCATGTACCTGCGGCGGTACAGGAGGGCAGTGCAGGCAGTCCATGAGGCAGTGCGGTACAGGAAGTGGGGGATGCATTCAGGCATAGGGAGCCCCTGCAAGAAGCTCCCAACACGCATTTGCAGCGGTGCTGCCCCTGCTTGTGGGCCCCCAGTCAGCACCCTCCCTGCCGGCCCTGCCCGCCAGCGCGCCCTGCCGTGCCCCTCACCTGTGGCCGGTGGGGCCGTAAGGATGGGAGATGTCGAAGAGGAAGAGCTCGTTGGGCTTGCTGCTCTCCAGGTTTTCGGTCCGCACGCGGTCCACCTGCGCCCAGCCAGCCACCCGCTCCCGGCCGCTGGTGAGCTGCCGCGCTTGCCAAGCCGTGCGCCAGCAGGAAGGCCAACAGCCCACCGCCACCCCACCCCACCCCACCAGGCACACCCACACCGCGCCACCCACCCACCCGGTACCCATACTGGTTGCGCAGCATCTGGTGGAACACGGCAGCGCGCATGGACAGCGTGGGCAGGCCGTAGTAGGCGGCGATGATGGACATCTCGTTCTCCGCATTCTGCAGCCACGTCAGCAGGACGGTGAAGCAGAGGGAGCGTGGCGCGGCGCCGGCCATCGGCGGCAGGAAGCGCCACGTGACGGCTCGCAACATCAGGAGGCAGCGGCATGCGGCACGCCAGCGGGGCGCAGCTGCCGGCTGACCAGCCCTTTGTGTTGGTGATTCGCAGCCTCCTTATCCCTCTGGCCCAGCCTCAGTCCACAGGCCAGCCTCAAGCCCACCCACACCTTGAGGTAGGATCCCACCGAGCCGCGGATGAAGCTGTATGCGTTGAGCACCACCACCGCGGGGCGGTTGGGCAGCGCCTGCAGCTTGCGCAGCAGGCGCTCAAAGGAGCCACGGGCGGGGACGGTGCCGGAGCCGTCGCGCGCGCAGTCCACCTGCGGCGCAGCGCGGCACGGGGGGGGTCATACGCTTGTGCTGCCGCCCCTGGCCATGTGGCGGCGCCCTTGCGGGAACTGTTTGTGTGGGCGCCGTGCGCGCGCCGCAGCTGCCGCACCTGCGTGCCGTCGTTCATGGCAAACTCCACCACCACGATGTCGGCATCCTGTGCAGGCAGGGCAGGCGGGCAGGCAGGTGTGTGTGTTTTGTGTGTGTATGTGTGTGAAGGGTGCGCATCATGTGGCAGCAGCCTGCCCGCCCACCTCCCGCACAATGCTGCCATCTGGCGGCCCTGTTTGGCCCCACCGGGCTTGCTCCGGCTGCCTGCCCACCCGCCACCTGCCCCCACAGCACGCACCTCAGGCACCATGACCTCGGCGCAGGCATCAAAGATGTTGCTGGTGCTGCCGCTCTGCGCCTTGTTCACCAGCTCGGGTTTGGAGGCGGGGAAGGCGGCCCGCAGCCAGGCGTGGAACTGGTCCAGGTAGGAGGGCCAGGCGGTGTCGATGTCAGTGCCCTGCGGGAGCAAACGGGGGAACAGGCCAGGGCGCCGCGCCAAGGCAGGGCCACAGGGGAGCGTGAGCTTCAGGGTCTCAGCAGGAAGGAGAGCTGCCAGCAGCACAGCATGTGCCAACACGCCGCGGCTGCCGAAGCGGCAGCAGCGCCAGCCTGACGAGACGTGGTGGGCGCAGCAGGCAGCAGCATGGCCCAGCCGGGACAGCTGCACTGGGTGCGCCCGCCCCGCCCTCCCATGGTTTGCCGTGCGCGCACCTGTGTGGCCGAGCCGCGCCCCACGCTGATGCTGCCCCCCACCGCCGCCACCACCGTCTTCTGGCCGCTCATCAGCTTGTGCAGGGCGCGGCGCAGGCGTGCGGGGTCGCCGTGGTGCAGCAGGCCGCGCTGGAGGCCGCGCGGGTCCAGCGCCGGCACATACCCCCACAGCACCTCCTCATCCACAGCCCGCTTCTTGGACTTGGGGGCTGGAGGGATGAAGTCCTGCACCCAGGCCAGGCTGGAGCGGGCAGGTGGGCAGGCGGGCAGCCAGGCAGGCGGGCGAGCAGCAAGTGTGCCGCGTGCGGAACGATGCCAGAACAGGGACGCAATGTGCCGCCCCCTGAGCGGCCTGGCCGCCGCCCGGCTGCCGGCCCTGCCTGCTGCGCACCGCGGGGCTGAGCTCGGTGGAGGGCCAGGTGGGGTAGATGAAGGAGGAGAAGGGGCCGGCCTCGCCGCCAGCCGCGCTCTGCGCCGCGGCTGTCAGGTTGCGGGGGCTGTTGGGGCACAGCGAGACGCAGGTGCAGCTGAAGAGCTGGGCGCCAAAGAGCGACTTGAGCACCGGCAGCAGGCTGAGGCCGATCAGCACGCCCAGCACCAGCGCGATCCCGGGGGGCAGGCGGTAGCCCTTGGGGCAGACGCTCGGCGCCACCATGGCGCGATGCCTGCAGGGCAGGCGGCAGCGGCAGGCGGCGGGTCGGTTGCCGCCAGCGGCGCGGCGCCAGTCCCGCGCAGCGCGTCGCGCTTACTTTACTGCTGCAATTCCTTTTGGAGCGGATGCTCGGCGCAGGACCCACGGGGCCAACAGCGCAGCAGCGAGAGGGCTGCTGCAAGGTTGGTTGCTGGCGCTGGGGCAAAGGCTGCCAGAGTTCTACCTGTTGTAACCAGCAGGTTGCAGTGGCGCCACCCCAGCCAACAGCAGCGCCAGGCAGCCCTGTTCTCAGATGAAGCAAGCTTGGGAGATGCCACAACGGGCTGGGCTGCTGTTCACTGCAGACACAGCGTGAAAGCCGGGCGGAAAACAGAACCGGCTGCACTGCATGCTGAGCCCACCGTCACCATGGGCGCGCCAGCGCCGCCACCTGCCATCCACGCCGCAGCACCGCGGCCAAACCTCCAATCCAATATGTACAAAGAGCCTGGGCCAAGTGCTGGAGATATAATACACGGCGCTGATGCAGAGTGAATGAAAGCGCTGAAAAATGATTTTCAGACATGAGTCTGGACAGGCAGGCTTGCCGCAGCCTCTTCGGTCCAGTTGGCGCCCGGTGCCAATCCGCACGGAGCCCGGCCTACTGCAGGCCCGCCGCAGCGGGCCCCGCCTCCTGGGCCGTCTGCCACACGTGGATGCTCTTGTCGTCGCTGGCGCTGGCAAACATGTGTGGGTCTGTGGGGTTCCACGCCACAGAGTTGACGGTGCCGCTGTGGCCCTCCAGAGACAGCAGCCGCTCGCCTGTAGGTGGCGGGAGCAGGGCAGGACAGGGCAGGGCGGGGCGGGGAGTTGGAAGGATGGAGGGCCCAGCATCCAGTTAGCACAGCCGCAAAAATCACGCAGCGCCACGAGCAAAGCGGGCAAGCGAGGTGCTGCCGGAGGCTGGGAGCAGGCAAGCAGCCGGGCTGCATCCAAGCCTGTTCCCCGCCCCGCCCCACAGCAGGCTGCAGGCAACCTCCACGCACCCGTTGCGCGGTGGTAGACATACACGCGGCACTCCTCGCTGCCCGTCAGCACAAAGCGGTCGTCCAGCCCCCCCAGGCACGAGCGCACCACAAACCGGCTCTGCTTGTCCTGCGGGTCGGGCGCCGGGTATGCGGGCACGGCACAGGGCACCGCCTCGGCACACAAAACCCATCCACCCACGCACACACACACGTGCAGAGCCCACAGACGGCAGGGCTGTGAGCTCCCACTGCTGCCCCGCACTGCCACTGCTCTGCCCCCCGGCTCCCCGCCCAAGCATCCTCCGCCCAAGCATCCTCCGCCCCCGCTCACGTTGGCTCCCTGGTAGCTGGCGCAGGGCATGGCGGGCAGGTGCATCTCCCGCGGCGCGTCCCCGAGGTCCCACAGGTGCATCGAGTTGCTGGTCAGGTTGACCAGCAGGTAGCGGCCGTCGCGCGAAAGGCTCATGGAGATGAGCGTCTCCGCCTCGGGTATGTAGCTCTCGCTGTCGCCTTCGAGGTCATACACGCGCACCTTGCGCTCGCACGTGGTGGCCTGCAGGGGCAGAGCAGTGCATGGGTAAGCATCATGACAGGGGAGGAGGCGAGGCTCAGTCCAGCAAAGGAGCAGAGACGGGGCGCTCGCTGCAGCCAAAGCGCACTGGCGGGCGCACAACGCAGCACATTGAATCCCAGCTCGGCGGACAGGGGCAGCAAGGCAGGGAGGCGGCGGCGGCGGCGGTGGGCCGCCTACCAGGATGTAGCGCCCGCCCTTGGCCACCACCACCTCCTGGATCCGCTGGATGCGCCACTGCCGCTCCACGCTGCCATCCAGCCCCACCACGCACAGCTGCTTGTCGTGGCTGCCCGTCACCAGGCGGCGGCCGTCTGGGAACCAGGCGGCGCAGGTCACGGGGTCTTTGTGGTGGCGCAGCACCCCCAGGCACTCCCCGCTGGCCACATCCCACAGCCGCAGCGCATCCTGGCCTGCAGGGTGGTAGGGCCCGGGGGGGAGGAGGAGCTCAGCAAAGCGACCGTTGCTCCCAGTGTCCACAGCGAAGTGGGAGGCGTGCCCGCGCTGGGCAGCGAAAGCCAGGCTGCACTGCACTGCGCCTGGCAGCAGTGCACCGAGGGCCGCCTCACCGCAGGTGGCCAGCTTGCTGTCGTCGGGGCTCCAGCACAGGAAGGCGATGGGCCCGCTGTGACCGCGCAGCACGTGCCGCTTGCTGACGGTGCTGCCGCGCGCGCCACCGCCTGCCTTGCTGCCAGGGCCGCCGCCGCCGCTGCTGTCGCTGCGTTGCACGTCCCAGATGATGGCGGTCTGGTCCTTTCCGCACGAGGCCAGCATCTCGCCGTCGTGCGAGAACTGCAGGTGCCACACCTCATCGCTGTGGTTCAGAAGTACCTGCGGGGGCACAGGGTCCAGGAGAGAGTGTCGACGGACAGCGCCGGGATGAGCGGGAGGAAAGGCTGGATGCAGTGCGGGATGACTGGGAGGAGCAGCGCTGCTGCGCTGCAACCCCTGTGTGAGCCCAGCCCAGCGGGCGCACCTGTGTGGTGCAGGTGGGGATCTGCTCTGTGCCGCAGGTGTAGTCGCTCAACAGGGAGGGGCGGGCGGCTGGGGTGTTGTGGAAGCAGCAGGCATCGATCTGCGCCACCAGCGCCTGCTCCACAAGCTCCTCCAGCCGCCGCTCGGGCAGCATGACCTCCGGCGGGATGACCACCTGCAGGCGGCGCAGCACCTGGTGCCGCGCGTCGCAGGGCGGCTCGCCCTGCCAGCCGCTGGGCTGGGGCAGGGCTGCAGGTCCCGCGCCACACATGAGGCAGGCCGCGAGCTGGTGCAGGCGCTCGGGGTTGACGCCCAGCGGCGCCAGCTGCTCCCGCAGGCAGGCCAGCGCTGCCGCGGAGTCGCCCGCATGCAGCGCCTCCAGGAACGCCTGCTCTAGGATGATGAACTTGGCCTCCTGCACATCGCCGCAGGGGAGCAGCGCAGCGGCAGCCGTGCGTGCGGTGGAGAGAGCAAGCGAGCGTACGGGCGGGCAAACGGGGCCAGCCCCAGGCTTCACCGCAGGCGTTGACGCAGCCCAAAAAACAGTCCCTGGCCTGTCCCCACCGTTTTCAGTTGGCGGCTCTCACCTGAAGGGCCTGCGTGCCCTGCAGGTCCAGGCGGCACACGTGCTTGGTGGCGGCCGCCCAGTCGCCAGCCAGGATGGCCTGCTGCAACTGGTTGACCTGCAGGCAGGCGGGTTAGCGGGCAGGCAGGCAGGCAGGCAGGCAGGCAGGCAGGCAGGCTGGCAGGCAGGCATCATCTTCGGCAGCAGCAGTGGGGGCCTAGTATTATGGCAACCACAGCACGGCGCAGGAGCAGATTTCCCTCGGATGGCACAGGCGCGAGCGCAAGCAAGAGCCGGGGCGGCGCACCTGCGGCGGCTGGCTGGCGATGCCAGAGGCGGCCTCCAGCTGCTCCGCTACCTCTGCAAACCCCAGGCTGCTAAGTGCCTGCTCAAGCAGGCGGATGTACTGGCAGCGGTCCACCATGCCGCAGCGCCCCAAGTGCCCAAGGGCCGCGGCGGCGTCAAGCAGGGGCGGCGCGGCCGGGGAGCTGGGCTTCCGCCCGGCCAGCTCGCTGCACGGGGAGCGCCCGTTGGCTGCCACCGTGGGACTGCTGCTGTTCGTCATGTCCTGCAGTCGAGGTCTCTTGGTTCTTGGGCCCACGTCCTCTTCTTCAGAGTGCAGCGCTGAGCGTGTGGTCATCGCCGGGGGCCTCCCAGCGTCATCCAAAGCATGCACTCCTCTGCCGAGCGAGGGTCTGGGTGGCAAGCCAAGCCGCTCTGACCGGCTACTTGAGCTAAAGCAGCGCAAACTCTCTCCCAGCTGCCCTGTTCCTGCCAGGGGGAGAGCCGGCGAGGCGCGCCATGCCCACCTCTCCTCCTGACCGCTCAGCTGGCGCACGGCAGTCACAGCGCGGCCCACTATGTGGGATCCAAAGCTGTGAGAGGCCTGGCCCCCAATATCTTACAACGGAATAATTGGGTCCAAAAAAGTGGTTTATTGTTCTCACCGGGGGTCACAAGACACCGCAGTGCTGGCAAGCAACAGGCTGTTCGAGACAGTTGCGGCGGGGGCCAGAGGGCGGCGGAATATCTGCACCAGAGTAGTTCAACAACACTGCAAGTAGAACGAGTGCATGTCTACGACTTTGACTGGGAAGACGACTGAAGGAAGATGAAATTTGGGGAGAGCTGCTTCTTGAGTTTCTGGTTGGGTACCGGCTAGTTGACCTCCTTGAGCGGCACATGCTTGCGGGCCTTCCACCTGTACAATATGTCCACAACCTGGGGCAGGCCCATGACCACCAGGCTGGCGGCGCCAGTGACGAGCCAAACAAAACCCCAGGAGTCATGTGCGATAAGGGACACGATGGACACGACCGCCAGCACGACCTGCAAAGCAAGGAAAGGAAGGGGGAGGTGAGGAGGGTGAGGACTGTAGCGCTGGCCTTTCTTGCCTCGTGCCTGCTCTGGCACCCCAGATGCCGCACTCAGTGCTTTGTGGGCACACGGCCGGCAGCGGGCCGGCGGCCTCAGGTACAGGCTGTACCTGCATGGGCGTGCCGAACTTGAGGAAGTCGCGGCTGGAGTGGCCCCCTGCGGCCAGCGCCATCAGGTTGGTCTGGTACCCAAAGCTGGACATGAAAACGGAGCTGGCTCCCAGCATGATGGCGTAAGAGAGGAGGTAGATGTCGACATTGTCGTTCTTGGAGATGGTGGCGGCGATGGGGAACCTGCACGGTAGGGGAGGCGGGGACAGGCGGGCAGGTGGGCTTTTGCCAGCGCGGCAAACATGGAGGCGTGCAAGGGCTAAGTAGGCAGTGGCGACTCCCTCAGTCGCGGCAAGGACATAGTCCAGGGCAGGCCGGCCAGAGAGGCACCAGTGAGGGGCTCACATGAGCGCGGCAGCGCTGTTGTTGGCGATGATCTGGCTGATGAGGGTGGTCGCCACGTAGACGGCGGCGATGGTGAAGTTGCCGCCGCCCGCGTTCTTGCCAATGTCCACAATCAGGTTTGCAATGGCGGCGGCGCCGCCCGACTGCTCCAGCGCGGCAGACACGCCAAAGGAGCCGGCAATCATCAGGTACACGTCCTGCAGCAGCCAGCAGGAGGCAGCCAGTGTGGGGGAAACACACCTGAATATGGCGATCGAGGGCCCAGGCTGGCAGCGGGCAACCAGCAGGCGCACAGGCGGCTGCCCTCCAACCAGCTGCAGCCGCTCACCCAGCGGATGGAGCGGCGGGCCTGGTCGGGCGACATGCAGCCGGTGAGCAGCATGATGGCGACCACGATGGTGGCTGCGGGCAGGATGTCGATGATGGAGGTGGCGTAGAGGGTGAAGGCGGTGGCGATGGATGCGATGGCGATGGCGGTGTGCAGGTAGCGCGGCGGGTTGGTGTCCGGCATCTCGATGATCAGCTGGAAGTGCTTGGAGTCCTGCAGGCGGGCAGCAGGAGCGGGCCAGAACAAGCTTGAGGGTGGGAAGTGGAACTGGTGGTGGGGACGACAGGCATCAGACCCTCGAGGTTGAGCTTAGCCAGCGCTGCCAGCTACTACACGTGTGCCTGCCCCAGGCTGGCTCCGCATGCACAAGCCGCTTCCTCAAACACACAAGGCGCCCGCAGGCAGCCCACTCGCCTTGTGCTGCTCAGCAAAGGCGGAGCCGGTGTCCAGCAGCAGGATGTCGCCCGACCGCAGCTCAATGTCGCCCGGCTTGGCGCGGATGCGCTCGCCCTTCCGCGCCACGGCCACCACGGCGGCGTTGAACTGCTCGCGGAAGCGCGACTCGCGGATGGTGGTGCCTGCCGGCATGGACAACATCAGGGAAGGGTTCAGGACAGAGAAATTAGAGATCTGCACAAACCCTCAAGAAGCAGAACTCAAGAGGCAGTAAGTGGCAGGGGACTGCGTGCGCCACGCCGAGGCGATGCCGCTCTGGCGGCAGACCCACAACTCACCAACCAGGGGAGACTCGGGCGCCACAATGGCCTGCACCAGGCGGCGCTCCACGACGGCGGTGTGCAGCAGCTTCGACGCGTGCTTCTCGGCCAGCGGCACCAGGCCGGGGGTGTTGCGGATGAAGCGCACAGAGGCGGCGTTGCCTGCGCGGCAGGAGGCAGAGGCGGCAAGGAGGACTGATCAGCGCCTGCCACTCGCCTTGGGCCACAGCACCCAGGGCCTCGGGTTCTGCGACAGGACGTGAAGCAGCCAAGCCATGCCGCCTGCCCGGCGCCACCCACCCGCAAACCACAGGATGTCGTCAACCTCCAGCTCCTCGTCGGGGGACACGGCGTGCAGGGTGGCGCCGGCGCGGTCAATGGCCACCAGGAAGGCGTTGGGTAGCTGGCGCATGCCCGACTTCTGCACCGTCTTGCCCGCCATCGCCTTGGTCACGCGCATGCCCATCAGGAACTCGTTGTGGCTGCGCACCTGCAGGGCGGAGCGGGGGAGCAAGCGGGGGGTTAGCAGGCAGCAATGACAAGGAGGGCAGCGGGGGCGGCTGAGCCAGTAGCCTTGGACAGCAGCATAGCGCCCCTGGCCAGGTGCACGCATGCATACTGCGATCTTGGCGCATGAGCGCCGCCTGGCGAGTCCCTCTCCCTGCCCACCTGGCCGCCCTTGTGGAGGTCGGTGAAGGCCTCGTTGACCGCGGGGGAGGTCCAGAACTGAGGCGCCACATCCAGCAGCAGGGTATCGCCGGCCTGCATGGGCATTCAAGCAGCGGGCAGCCTCGAAGCTCCTTGTCAGCATCAACCAGCCCCAAAGGCTGGCGTGCAGACTCGCAGGTGGCAGCGGGCACGCCGCACCCACCTTGAGCACTTCGTCGCCGATCTGGGTGCCGGTCCACTTGAGGGGCATGCCGTTGCGCTTGATGGCGACCACGGCGGCATGGAAGCGGCTGCGGAAGGCAGAGCCGCGGATGGTCTGGCCCACGATGTCGGAGTCTGCAGCCAGGGGTGAGGGCGCTCGAGTCGAGCATGATCAGCATGGGCAGCCCAGGCATGTCGAGGTGTTGGCACCGCAGGTGGCAGGCTGCTCAGAGCCGCAGGGGGCAAACGCGCATAGCGGGGCAGGGGCGGGTGCACCTCACACCTTTCCGGATCGTCGCCTCCACCAGCTCAGGCGGGGAGAAGGACACGTCGCCCTGGCTGTCCACAGTCTTCAGGTGGCCCACCTTGGGCACTGCAGGGAGAGCAGCGAAGGCAGGATGTGAGCAGGCCGCAAGGGAGCAGACGCTTACTTCAACAAAGGCGAGGCAGCTGGCAATCCAGCACGCCCGCGCAGCCGCAGCTTGTGCTGTGTGCTTCGCACCGGAGATGGTGGAGACGCCAAAGGTGCCGGAGAGGCCGGGCAGCTCGGTCTCGTTAATCTCCTCCAATGCATCGCTGAAGGGAACCAGCCCCAGCTCCGTCAGCTTGTCGGTGCCGTCGGGGAGGCCTGCAGCCAGACAGCAAGGCAGCTCTCTTCAAGGGATGAAGGGAAATCGAAAAAAGCTGAACAGCACCACAGCGCTGGTGCAGGCGCTGCCGCTCACCCGACAGGTACAGCACGTCTCCGGTGGCCAGCATGAACTCGGGGCCCACGGCATGCACCAGCTCGCTGCCGCGACGAACAGAGGTCACATACTGGCCATCCAGGTTGCGCAGGCCTGCAGCACCGTGTGGGGCGGGCGGGGTTGAAAGAGCGATAATGTGTGGAAAAGGGGGGTGGGCCAAAGGGGGTTGGGTCAAGATGATCAAAAGGCAGACGAGCTGGGCGGGTGGGCACAGCTGCGTGTGCAGCCCACCTGCAGCCTGGATGCTGTGCCCCACCACGGGGGAGCCCTCAGTGACGAGCACGCCGAAGAAGAAATCTGCGCCAGACTCCTCCACCAGGCCGCCCTGGGCCTTGCGGGACAGCGCGCGGCCCATCTGTGGCGGGGATGACCAGCGCCGGGGTGAGCCAGGCAGCCATGAGCAAGGATGCCTGTGCCAAAACACTCTGGAAAGCAGGCAGCTGCTCCATCCAGGTGCACGAGCTCACCCGCTTGTAGACCTTCATGCCGGCGCCGCCGGTCAGCAGGAAGGGCGCTGCCAGGACAATGTAGATGATGCCCTGAGGGGGGCCATCAGAGAGGTGCAAGGCACATCAGTTCAACGTGCGTGGCGAGCTGCGCTGCACTTTTGAGCTGCGGGCCTATTGGCAGCCTCGCCCAGCCTGGCTGCCTGCTCTCACCCAGAATGTGTTGGGGATGCCGTAGGGGGCAATGCCAAATAGCTCAATCGGCTTCAAGCCCTCCTGGTAGTACTCACTGCAGGTCGAGCAGGCGGGAGAAGGAAACTGTTGGGGGCAGCACCGCAAGGGAAAGGCTGGGTGGTGGCAGCAGCAGCAGGGGAGCAGCAAGCACTGCCAGCGCACCTCTCGGGGTCGAGCACACGGGAGTCAAAGGCGCCTGCAGAACGGGGAGAAGGCAGCGGGGCACAGCAGGTTGAGCAGAGAGCTCGCTGCGCGCTACAGTGTGCATAGAACTCTGGCTGCCATCACCATGCTGTGGTTCACATCACCATGCATCCATTCCGCGGTTGTTTGCCTCACCGGTGACCACCAGGTTGGTGCTGGTGCCGATGGTGGTGTTGAGGCCGCCCAGCAGGCAGCAGTAGGACAGGGGGATGAGCAGCTGGCGGATCGACAGGCGTGCCTTGGCGGCCCACGTGAGCACTGCAAGGGGCACAGGCAGCGGGCGTGTCAGCTGGGGGCAGTCGCAGGATTGCGTGCACGTGCCGCGCTCAGCACAGCATGCCAGACGCGGCGGCATATCCCTCGAGGTGCTGCTGCCAGCCTGGGCGGGGCGCACCAATGGGGAGCATGATGCAGAACACGGGGGTGTCGTTGACGAAGGAGGAGAAGAGGGCGGTGACGAGGCACATGCGGACTTGGGCCAGCATGGTGTCCTTGGGGGTTCCCAGCAGCTTGGTGATGATGAAGTCGGCGCCGCCGGTGGAGGTGATGCCCTGAGCAACCATGAACAGAGTGACGACAGCTGCGCGGGGGCAGGGCAGGGCGGGGGCGCGGCATAGCGTCAGAATGGGAGGCAATCTGTGTTGCAGTCACCCCGTTGTGATAGGCCGCATGAGCTGGGGCAGGGGACGAACGCGTCGAGGGGCATTGGGAGGCAAGGCACTTCCAGTTGTCCCCCATCCCCAGGTCAGCCGCCGACATCTCCCCATCCACCGTCACTCACTCATCAAGCCCGAGTTTCCGTAGCCCACAAGAGCAGACTTGATGGTGATGATCTGCAGGCAAGAGAGGTGCGCGACAGGTGGGAAGGCGGCGTGCGCGTGGTGTGTGGCGTGCAAGTCATGGCAGGTTCAGCAGACAAAAGGCAGAAACACGGCCCTCACTTTGAATATGACCATAAGGGCCAAAACCATGTTCATCACCAGGTCGGCTGCAGGTGTAGAGGGAGTTGCTTTGGTGTTTGAGCGGCATTGTGGCGTGCCACCTGGGCAGAGCAGGCGCCAGCACAGCCCCCCCCCAACAGAAGTCCTCCAATCGTTCGATTCCCCACGCACCCCCAACAACGTCGAACACCATGAGAATGAAGCCCATTGCGATGAAGGCGAGCGACAGCCAGCCCTGAGAGCTCAAATCGGAGAACGTGGTCTCCAGGTTTAACTCAGCTGCAGCGCAAAGGGGCGCAGGCGTCGTCAGGAGGATGCAAATGCATTTGTGAGGCAGAACACGACCCCTCCAGCACCACGCGTGGTAGGTTGCCTTGCTTGTGTGGGCTTAAAGTCTGGTAAAGCAAGAACTAGCTTGCAACATAGACTCCCCGCCGAAACGGGACGGGAACCGGGCGAAAGCAGAGAAAGCAATAAAACAGGGGTGGAGCAAGGCGACATGCAACGCAAGCAGCTGACAGGGCACGCATCGAAACGTGTGTATGACTGGCAAAGTGGCATGGCGCATTGGGGAGAAACGCAACGGTACGGGAGCATGGGCTGGCCAAACGGCAGTGCGGAACGCTAGGTCACTAGAAAAGCAGGGAAAGGCGCACTATGTATGCAATGAGGGCAGCCCCGGCTCGGGGCCGTTGAGAAAGCAGTGGGCGGGAGGGGGGAGGCCCCGGTGTGGGCGGGCCCCATCGAGGGGGGATGGGGCGCGCAAGCGGCCAGATGGGGCGGGGCGCGGGCGGCAGTGGAGTCCTGCGGCTGGGTGGGATATAGGGCAATGAGCGTTGAGCAGTGTGCGATGAGCAATGAGCAATGAGCAGTGAGCAGCCCCTCCCTAAACAAAGTGAAGCGCANGACGGGGTCCGGTGGATG